CTGCTAGTCAGTGCCCTCTCTCCTCCCTTTCCTTCCCAGAGGGCTGCACGCTCCCTCTAGCCCCCCAGCAATACGCTCCTGCCCCACTTCCCTGTCCTGTCTGTCTTGCTGTCCCTTGTCACTGAGAGGCATCCATCCTGATGCTTGCCTGCCAGCAGGTGGCACCACGTGCAGACCGGCAGGGCCTGGGGTGGGGCCTGGCGCCTCTCAGCTGTTTCAGGGTGTTGGACTGTTTTTTCTGCAGAATGACCCAGACAAGGAGTACAATATGCCCAAGGATGGCACCGTGCACGAGCTCACAAGCAACGTAGGTGCTGCCCAAGGCCCTTGGGTGGGGAGGGCCCGGTGGGCCCAGTGCCACCCTTTGCCTTCCTGCACGGTATGCGGGATGCAGGATGGAGGTGGTGCAGGCAGGCCTGCGGGGAGAAGCTGAAGCCAGCAGCCGCCTCTTCACTGGGAGTGCCTGGCCCTGCCCCTGCCCTGGATGGGGCAGAGGCTGTGTTGTGGGAGGCATTCGGCCCCCGGCTCCCACCCTGACCTCCTGGCCCCATTTTCTCCCCACTCAGGCCATCCTCTTCCTGCAGCAGCTCCTGGACTTCCAGGAGACGGCGGGTGCCATGCTAGCCTCCCAAGGTACTTGGCACCACCCAGCATGCCCCCTGCTGGCAACCCCTCCTCCCTCTTGCCTGGAGATGCAGGGTTAGGCCCCCTGGGGGCACCGGCCAACTCTGACCAGCGAGCTCCCCTCAGTGGAGCGGGATGGACATGTAGCTCATGGCAGGACCCTGGAGCTGACTGGGCCCCCCAGGGCTGAGCACCAGGAGAGACGGGTTGGCTGCCTTTCCTGACTGACTTCCCTTCCCTGTCTGGCTCCTTCACCCTCCTCCTGTGGGAGAATCTCCGGCTCTGGAGAGCCCCCTGCTTGCTTGTTTGAAGGTGCCCTCCCCCGCCCCTCCTGCACGCCTCTCCCTGTCCTGCGCAGCCTGTGCTCCCGAGTGGCCTCTCACAGCTGCCCCTCAGTGGGCCAGCCTCCCTGGGCGGCCGGCCTCGGCCCTGGGACTGGCTTCCGGGGCTGGCTCTCCAGAGAGTGTCTGAGCATGGAGACCCGGCCTGCCTGGTTGAGGTCCCCCGGTGCCTCCCCTCTCTCCCGGATCTCTAGAGGGTCTGGCCTGCTGCCCGTGTCCCGCCGTCGTGGGGAGTGGTCTGCTGGCGGGTGACTCGCGTTTCTAACCTGTTTTTGCACTTTGCGTCTTTCTCCCTCTTTGTCTCCCTGCGCCCCCTCCGCACTGCCTCTCACTCCGTAGTTCTCGGGGACACATACAATATTCCTTTAGACCCCCGAGGTAAGCAGCAGGGCTCTGCAGCCCATCCTCCCCCTGTGAAGCCCCGCGGTGAGACGCCCTGGGGACCCCTCAAGAGAACAGGACCTCTCAGGGAGTGGGGGGCAGACAGACATGGGTTCTCTGGGGTGTTCCCGCCTCTCAGCTCCCTCCACGGCCTCCTTCTGTCTCTGAGCTTGTCCCAGTGGCGCTCTGGTGTTCAGCACCCCCAGTCTCTCCAGGCGAGCCCTGCCTCCCGCGCCTCCCCTCTCCCCCGCCCTTGGCCTCCCCTCTGTGTAGGCAGCAGGGCCCCGTCCAGCTGCCCAGGAGAGGAGGCCGGAGCAAGCGGGGAGGGCGGCGAAGGGGCCGTGGCAGCCAGTGCTAAGATGTTGCTACTGACAGGCAGGCTCTGTGGGCCTTGCGGGTCCCACCCCGCGGGGTCGGGTCAGGCACTAGGGGGCCGAGGGCTGGGGTAATCTCACTTGTGTCCTGCGTCATGGGCCAACTCATTAGCCACCCCACCCTCTCACCCCCGCCTGCTACCACCGAGGGGCTGGGCTAGGGGCTGGGCTCCGCAAGCCGTCCGTGCGCGGCAGGGTTCCCGCGGCGGGCAGGGAGCTCCGCAGCTCAGCGGATGCCAGGCTCTGCCCAGAGCGCCTCAGTCCCATCTGCCCGGAAGCCTCGGGGGCCTCCCAGTGTTTCCCCGGTGGCTCCCTGGGCTGAGGGGAGGTCAGAGGGCCTTGGCCGCTGCTGACGGGGCTGTAACAGCAGGACTTCTCTCCCAGAGACCAGCTCCTCCGCCACCAGCTACAGCTCCGAGTTCAGCAAGCGCCTCCTCAGCACCTACATCTGTGAGTGTCTCTGGGGCCCGCCCCCCCTGCTCCGCCCCGGCTGGGCTCCTTTTGTTCCCACTGCCCGGTGGTGGTGACTCCATCCTCCCCTGCGCAGGTAAAGTCCTGGGCAACCTGCAGTTGAACTTGCTGAGCAAGTCCAAGGTGTATGAGGACCCAGCTCTGAGCGCCATCTTCCTGCACAACAACTACAACTACATCCTCAAGGCCCTGGAGAAGTGAGTGGCCCGATGCCGGCCGCAGCTCTCCCCGGGCCTGCCCCTGGCCAGGCGGCGACCCCCCATGTCCAGGTCGGGGGACGGCCCGGGGACCAGTGGGGGCAGGTCCCATGGAGCCAACTCTGTCCTGCTCGCTGCCCCACCCCAGGTCTGAGCTGATCCAGCTGGTCGCTGTGACCCAGAAGACGGCCGAGCGCTCCTACCGGGAGCACATCGAGCAGCAGATCCAGACCTACCAGCGCAGGTGCCCCTTCCCCGCTCTTCTTCCCTGAGCCCCGGGACACTGCGCCCATCGGGGCAGGGTCTCACCACCCTGTGGACCCCAGACTTCCAGCTGATTTTTAAATCAAGTTGTGGGGTATTCTCAAGGGGCTCACTGTGACCAGCCGGGACGGCAGAACTGGCGAAGCAGACGTGGGCCCACGTTTAGCCCACGCGAAGGCAGCATTGTCAGGGTGGTCGAGCTTGGCTGAGCGCACGCTCCCGGGCACGCTGTTCTCGCGTTGTCCTCTGTGTGTGTCTCTCCCTTTGTGTTTCCTCCCGGCGAGTGTGTCTCCTGCTTCCTTCCCGCCTCCCCATCTTGTCCGGCCATGGGGTTCACAGCACACCGTGCTTAGTATGCATGAGGCATGGCGAACACACTCCACTTCTGGTTCGTCATTTAAATTGAGAAGCTTAAACCTTTTCTGTTCCTGCGGAAACATCTCAGTGGTGTTTTGTTTAATTGTGACCCAGATCGAATCCTCCCCTGCCCTGCCCCCAGTAGGTCCAGGTATTTTTAAAAGACACAAGCCCAGCCCAGGGAGGAAGCAGCTGTCTGAGGCCGCTCCTCCCCTGCCCTCTGCTCTGTCCCCTCCTGGCAGCTGGATAAAGGTGACTGACTACATCATGGAGAAGAACCTGCCTGTATTCCAGCCGGGAGTCAAGGTGGGCTGGAGGCCTGGCCTGGGAGGGGTGTCTAGCAGATGTGAGACTTTTTGTCGTGTGTCTGGTAAAAACAGACAAGTGTCCCTCAGAGCTGAGAGAGCACAGGCCGCCTGTGGCCATCTGGGCACTGGAGACGGGCAGGCTGGGCTGGGTGCTGGGCAGGGACAGGCCTCTTCCCTGAGCCACGCTTTCTCTGCATGTTCCTCGGCCCAGCTCCGGGACAAGGAGCGGCAGATGATCAAGGAGCGATTCAAGGTGAGCGGCACCCCTCCCTGCCCCTGCTCCCCACTGCTGCTGTCAGGACACGGACCCCAACATCTGTCTCTGGGTCGCTTCTCTTTCCACCTTTTTGGTGGTCAGGGCTTCAACGATGGCCTTGAAGAACTGTGCAAGATCCAAAAGGCCTGGGCCATTCCCGACACAGAGCAGAGGGACAAGATTCGCCAAGCTCAGAAGAACATTGTCAAGGAGACCTATGGGGCCTTTCTGCACAGGTGAGCCCCCACGGGGGTGGCAGTTCCGGCGCCCTGGGCTTTGGTGTGGGGCCAGACAGGGACATCAGCCAAGGTCACCCCATCAGGAGTGCCACAGACTAAGATGGAGCTGGGGGTGCAGGGCCTCCCCCTGACCTCAGTGCCTGGTAGGTACGGCAGCGTGCCCTTCACCAAGAACCCCGAGAAGTACATCAAGTACCGTGTGGAGCAAGTGGGCGACATGATCGACCGCCTCTTTGACACCTCCGCCTGAGTGTGAGCACCTCCCAGCTGGTGCCCAGGCCGGCGTGTTGCTGGACAGATAAACCAGTGTTAACTTGCCTCTGGGCCCGGTGAGTCCGACATCCTTTGCGACGGGGACCTTTCTTCACCACCCTGAGCCCTTCTGGTTCTGGTCCTACAGCCCACGCTCCCCACCCAACCTTCACACCTGAGTTTTTGTGGCACTGACCCCAGCCTGCGGGCGCCATATGAGGGCTTCCTGACAGGAGGCGCAAGGAGGAGGACTGTGTCCCAGATGCCTGGCATGTACGAGAGCGGAGGCCTAACAGCCCACCTCCGGCCATTCAAGGCTGGGCATGGAGAGCCCCTTTTGAGGCCCAACTGTGGGCAAGGCTGGGAGCAGCAGGCCCCATCCCAGCAGAGGACCTGGAGAAACAGCACACAGGACGGCCCCTGCCTCTTGGATTAGTGCCCCGCACCCGCATTCCTGTCTGGGGTGTTCTGTTCCCCCAGTGTCCCTCCCACACCCAGTGACTGCAGCAGGAGTACCTTCCGTCTGCCCCCTGGGGCCCAGCACACTACAGGAGCGAGGCAAGGTTCTGACCCCTGAGGTCTGGCTCACTCCCTGTCCCATCCCCACTGCCTCCTGGCCCAGAGGCTGCGCGTGGGGCCTCTGGGTGTCTGGCGGGCACTGAGGAGAAGTCCAGGAGTTGGGTGTGGGTTGGGTGTGGGTTGGGCACCTCATCTACTTGGACAAGAGTGATCAGTTAATCTCAATGAAGACAGACCCCTGAGGTGCACTTGAACCTGGGTGATGGGTTTATTTTACCCTGCATGCATGTTAACAGAAGGGAGAGCTCGGGTGGCCTGGGGTCCTCCAGCCTTAGGGGAGAGTTGGCCTCCCTCCCCCTTTCTCCACTGACCCCGTCTCGGACCTCCCCCCTGGTGTGTGCCCCAGGCCTCGCCCCGTTACAGCCTGGGCTGCCCACCGTGGGGTGAGGCCTCGCCAGGGGCAGGGTCAGACTTGCACGTCGCCCACATCCAGAGTCCAGCGAAGATGAGCTGGCTGCACACCACCCCCACCACGTACAACAGGAAGAAGATGTGGTCAACAGCCTCGGCCCAGCTCCTCCTCGACCCCTTTACTCCTTGGGAGCCTTCTGTGATAGGAGGTGAAGAAAAGGAGCTGTTTGGGGCTCAGGAGGAGGGTGAACCCCAGGGGTGTCCACCAGGTTTCTCCTTCCCTTAGATTCATGACTAAGGGGCGCTGGGGCCTGCCACCTGGGCCTCCTTGGCTTGAAGAGTCACTCCCATGGAGAGGCCCCACGGGCATAGGGTTATCTGGGGGAGTTTGAAGGCCCCAGGCCTAGGGAGGTCATCCTGCTGCAGATCCACTTTTCCCAAGGGGAGCGCAGGGACAGCGAGGCCAGCAGAGCAAATGTGAGGAGCTGCTGAAGGGCCTAGTGACCCCTGGCCCCAGCCCACCCCAGGGGTGCAGCCTGCTGGGCTTGCCCTGCCGAAAGTTGCCTCATCCCTCACACCCTCCAGGAAGGGCCTCAGCCCCTGCCCACCTTCAGGACGGGGCGCTGGCTTGCCATGGTCCCGCTGCTCCTGTTTCAGGGCTGGGCTGGGGCTGCTCTTGACCCCGACGCTGCCCCGGACCAGCAGCGCAGCCATCAGCACGGTCTCCGCAGTGCTGACGAACAGCAGCAGTAGCAGGACCGTGAAGTAGTAAACTGAGGGGAGGGGCCGGTCAGAAGGTGGCCCTGTGCCTTGAGTGCCAGGGTCTGGGCAGAGGCGCCCTGGCTGGCGCAGTGATGGCAGGAGTGGGGGACATTCCACTAGGCAGAGCCCCGCGTCCCCCTGCCAGGTGAGGTGCAGGCTTACTGAACAGCGGGTTGCAGGAGGAGGAGCTGGGCAGGGCCTGCACCAGGGAGGAGTGGAAGACGAGGTAGCCCAGCAGCAGGGTCACCTTGTAGGCGATGCGCTCGGTGGCCCTGAGGGGCAGCAGCCCCCCGCACACGTCGGCCAGCAGCAGTGCCTCCCCGGGGACCAGCAGCGCAATGATGGCCTTGAGCGCTGTGTTCTGCAGGCACAGCTGGGGGGAAGCAAGCCGGGACCCTCCAGCGTTGGGCAGCAGAGGGAGTGTGTCGTGACCTCTGGCTCAGCCTCCCCAACACCCCCATCTGCCCTCTATCCGCCCGTCCCGACTCACCGTCACCCGGAAGCAGGGCACCAGCTTCTGAGGTGGGTCTTGAGTTTTCAGATCCCGAACTACATATTCTCTCTTGACACTCACGATCTCGTTCACCGCTGTGGCCCTGAACTCCAGCTCCGTCACTGAAAGGGTGGGGGGAGAGCACTGATGGAGGAGGAAACCCCCCACATACCGGGTCTGTGCCAAGCCGGAGTCCAGGTCGGATTGGCTGGTGGGGAGGGGCAGACTGGGACACAAAACTGGTTCCTACAGGAGCCTCTCAAACCTCATTTCGTAGCACCCCGGGCTTTCCTCAGAGGAGAGGCCTCATCAGATTCGTAGATGAACTTTCTTTGTAAAAATAAGTGGGCTTTGTACCACTTCACGAGGGAAAAACCATACCCACTCACTGGCACACTCGCTCTAACGGATGTTTGGGAAGGACGAGGGTCCCAGCTGCTGTGGTGGATCACGCTGCGCATGGCGGGCCTGGGCTTCTCTGTCAAACTGAACATCCCCTGAGGGGTTGCAGGGGGTCACTGGGTGACCACACCTTCAGGACATTTACAGGAGTGAGCTGGTCACCTTCACCGAAGGGCCAGCCGCTGCACTTGGGCTGCTGGGGGCAGTTGCTCTGGGGTAGCTGAGGGGCAGGAGAGGAGACAGACTGGTAGGGCTGGGGCTGAGGCCCAGAGGAGGGCCGGAAGGAGGGGCAGGGCAGGAGCACGTCCTCCTGGGTCTCCAGCTCCCCTAGCCCTGGTGTGGGCTGTGAAAAGTGGCGTGGCACCTATGTCCCCCATTTGCTGGCTGAGCCCCCCCACAGCCCCAGCCCCCAGCTCCCTTCTTGTCAGCACCAGAATTGCTGAAAGCGTAGAAGCTGAGGCTGCAGTCGCTCTGGTCCCTGGGGTAGTGAAGGAGCTCGAAGTCACAGTTGGTCTCGGTGGTGAGGGCCAGGTAGAGCTCCACGTGGCCATCCTGGTCCACTCGGACCCGCGGGTGCTCGTCCTGCCAGTCTACCCAGAGCCTGTGGCGGGAACCCCAGTTCCTTACCTCGTGGGTAAGGGGAGGGGTGGGGGAGCCCTGGGCATGTGCTGGCTGCCCTGCTGCTGTCAGGGTCCCAGAGGGAGGGAGGTGGCAGTGAGGCCCAGGGCCACAGCGGGGGTAGTCAGGAGGTCCTCGGGGCTCTGACAGGGAGGAGGTGGGGTGGGCTCGGGGGCTCCTGGAACAAGAACTCACGCCTCCTGGATGGAGAGTCCTGGCGTCCAGACCGAGTCCCAGGGCAGCGTGACCTCACGCCGAGGGTGTGCACTCGCATTCCAGGCCAGGCGTGTGTCCAGCCAGGACTGGGGACACAGAGATGCTAAGGCCCCCCTTGGGCCACGCCGCGCCCCGTGGCATATGGACGAGAGCTGAGCTGGCCTCAGACCTCAGTTCTCCCTCCCACCCCCGCTCCCCGCAGGGGCTCACCAGCCGGAGCAGCAGCATGGAGGACACTGTGTACCGCAGGATGTCCTGGGGGAGGGGGCAGCACATCACGGGGGGCAGGGGACCCCAGCACTCGCTGGGCAGAGTCCTGTCCCACCCCAGCCGAGCACTTGGGCACTTACCACGTTAAACACGTTTGACACGAACACCTGCACGTCCACCAGCAGTGGCGCGCTCTCGTTGTGAGGGATCTGGATGGTTTCCTGAGCCTCCTGGGGTGAGTTGAGGTTGAAGAAGGGTGGCGAGGCTGAAGGATGGAGGTTGAAGTCAACAGGGTGCCCTGGAGCCTGAATCCCAGAGCTCACCAGCTTACCCTCCCCTACCGACTGCTGGGGTGTGGAAGCCTCGCCCCTGGATCAACGGCTGGGTGGCACCTAGACCGAGGAAGGCGAGAGGGAGCAGGAGCCACAGGGCCATCCCAGCGGCTGCACAGAGGGCCCAGGCAGAGGACAGTGCCCGAGCTCCCGCCTCTGCTTCCGTCCTTCTCTGGGGCACCAGGCAGTTGCTTGAAGGCAGCTGCACTGTGCAAAGACCCTGGAGTTTTGGTCTTGGCACCCCACCCCCTGCCTGGGTTCTGCAAACACCCAGAGACAAAGCCTGGGACCCAGCCCCTCCCGCTGCACCTGCCCGGGCTTCCCTGTCCCGCTCCATTTCCACCACCTGGAATGGGCTGCCACTTGGGCAGGCCCCAAGCAGGGCTGGGCAAGCGCAGGACACCCACCTTTCTTTGACTTGGCCCTTTTTTTTAAAATTTATTTTTTATTTATACAATAGCTGGGATACAGGCCAGAGGAGCAGGAGGGTGAGAGGATTCACCACAGACAGAGCGGGGAGCAGAACAGGCAGATCCACTGAAATACACTGCTGCGGGGAGCAGTGGGCGAGACCGGAGAGGTCTGCTGCGCCATGTGGAAATCCTGGCTGGCCGGTAATCGAACCCGTGTGCAGAGGCTGAGGACAGCGCCACAGCACTGCGCTCAATCTGCCGTGCCACCGGGGAGGCCCTGACTTGGCCTTTCAATTTGGGCAGACACCTCGCCAGCTACCCAAGCCTTTGGCCAAAGCCCCTTGTGCTCCACAGGGCGAGGTGGGCACAGTCTCAAGAGTGTTCCTGTCCCCCCAACACTGAGCTGACTCCATGTAGAATGGGCAGATTGGGGGCAGGGGCAGCTCAAGAGCAAAGATCTGGGGCACTCTTGTTGCCACGTGGGATTCTCAGCCTGCCCAACGCAGCAGCACGTTAGAGCCGCTGCTATGGCCTTGAAGCCGAGCCCATGGGGTGAAGGTCCCTTTCCTGTTGGGGAGGAGAAACAGTAAGGCCTGGGACCTGATCTTGGCCATCTGCCGCCAGTGAAGGAGCCTGGAGGCAGAAAGACACTGATTGGCTGTGGAGATGCAAATGGCCTCCCACCCTGCCGCCCCCCCACCCAGAGCTGAAAGCCCACCCAGATGCGGGGGCTGTGATGGGGGTGCACGGGGGTCAGGAGGAGTGAGCAGTTGGAGGGGTGGTGTGGTACCCCACAGCGACCAGCAGCGGCTGCCCACCCCCCGGGCTGCACTCTGCCTTCTCCCAGGCACCCCCGCCACCACCGGCGTCATCGGTGGACCCCACCATCCGGGGTCCACTGTGCCTGGCCGAGCAGCTAAGTGACCTCCTAGGTAGAAGCCTAAGTAGTGGAGGGACTGACCCCCAAAATCTGTGTGCGCGCAGCACTGCCAGATACACCTCTCCTCTTCCTAGTGGGGGCGCCCAGTCTCCTGGGCTGGCTAGTTCTCGAAGGAGTTGTGGGCAGCCCCTCAGCAAGTGGGGTGGGGAAGGATGCTACCACTGTTTTTTTTTTTTTAACATTTATGCATACAAGAACTGAGGTACAGGCCAGAGGTGTGGGGGTGAGAGAATTCACCAGAGGCAGAGTGTGGAGCAGAACAGGCAGACTGACTGAAATCCACTGCTGAGGGGAGCAGCGGGGAGACAGGAGAGGTCTGCTGTGCCATGTGGTTAGCTCCCCGCCTGGGGATCGAACTCATGCTGCAGAGGCTGCAGTGCTGTGCTTAATCCCTTGCGCCACCAGGGAGGCCCCAGGACCTCGGGTTTTTGGTACCAGTGGGTGGGACAGCCACATAGCAGGCGCCAGGCCTCTCATTTCTAACTCCCAGGAGCACCACGCCCCAAGGGAACCTGAGGACAGCGCTGGGGAGGGTGGAGGGAGGTTTGAAGGACCTTGGTTAGTTTCATCGCGTTCTCTTCCCCATTGGATGTTTCCCCTCCAATTCAATCCAATAAATATTCATTGACCATCTCTTGCTTGCAGGCTCTGTCTTTGGCGCCGAGCCTGAGTCTCCTCAGCTGCAATGTGGGATAATAGAACACTTTCTCAGAGGACTCTGGTGAAAATACCTGGCAGAGGCGCGAGGCCAGTTGGGTGAAACAATGAATGAAACTCCTCTTTCTCCTTCCCCTTAGATATCCGGGAGGGGAAAACTGGAAGGAAACACAAAATAGCAGAAACCCATCCACCAGTAGCCTCCTCCTAGGTGGCCAGGGGGGTGTTCAGGTTGCAATAAAACTTAAATATTTGCTTCTTATTTTGATGTATAAGTAGCCCACACTTGTGACATGGAATCATTGCTGTTACTAAAGAGCTTAAACCTGTCTGCAGTTCACTGGGTCTGGAATCACCACCTTCTGCCACTATAGCTTGAGCTCTGCTTCTTCACTTGGGCCCCCCCCTTTCCTTGGGTCCCAGTCAAGAACATTCTTTTCCCTCTCCCCACCCCCCTATGATCTCAGTCCCAGAAACCCAGCTACCTGTTCCTCTGGGGACAGGAACTTTGTTCCTATCCTGCCCTGCTTGCCTCTTCATTGACCAGGATGATAATAGAGCTCACGTGTGAGATGCTTGCCATCCATTTAGTCAACAAGTGTTTATTAAGGACTTACTCCTTGCCAGGCACTGTGCTGGGTTTCTTGGGATATACCAGTGAGAGCCACACACAGCAAGATCATCCATGAGCCAGATGATAACCTAGAAATGTTGCTCTTACAGGTTAAGGACTTGCAGGTAAAGGACTCCAGGGTGAGGGTACTGGGGGTGCTGGGGAGGGGCGATGGTGCCATTTAAAAGAGTGGTCAGGCTGACCTTATAAGCAAGGGGGCATTGAGCAAAGATTTGAAGGTTGTTAAGAAGCTAGTCTAGCAGGTGTCTAAGGAAAGAGCATTCCAGATCAAGAGAACAGCAAGGCCCTAAAAGCAGGAGTGGGCAAAGAGGCTGGGATGGCCTTAGTGGAATGAACAGGAGAATGATTGGAGGAGGTGAGAGACAGAGCATGTAGGACACTTTAAAAAATCCATTTTAAGGACCATGACTTCTAGTCTGAGTGAAATAAGGCGCCCTTCTAGAGTCTCTACTACTACTACTACTACTACACAACTAACATGGTGTGAATCTTTTTCCTTAGGTAAAGGTTTCTGCTTTTTTTCTTTTAAATTCACATACTATATAATTTCTCCACTCAAAGTGGTGATTGGTTCCTAGTCCATTCAGAACCATGCAACTGTCACCACCATCTGCTTTAGAACATTTTTCTCCCTCCCTAAAGAAACCCCTGTATGTTAGTTACCAGCCTCCATCATCTCCACCCTCACCTGCTCCCCACAGTCCCAAGCAATCACTGCTTTCTGCCTGGAGATTAGCCTGTTCTGTATATTTCCTATAAATAGAAACATGCATGTGGCCTTTTTCTATGTGGCTTCTTTCACTTCACATAATACTTCTAAGATTTGTCCATGTGGTTGTGTGCAGTACTTCATTCCCTTTTATGGCCAAACAGTATTTCATTGTATACTTTTATCACATTTTTCTCATGCCTTCATGTGTCAGTGGACATTGGTGAGACTTTGATGTTTTTTTTTTATTTGTGATAAAATACAAGTTATACAACTTACAACAAGTTATACAACTTACCATCCAAACCACTTTTTCATATACAGTTCAGTAGCATTAAATATTCACATCATTGTACAACCAGTCTCCAAAATTTTCTAAACTTACAAAACTGAAACTCTAAGTCCATTAAATAATTCCCATTTCCCCAACTCCAGTCCCTGGCAGCCACCATCCTGCTTTCTATGAATTTTACTGCACTAGATAGCTCATATACATGAATACACATCAGATTTGGTTTTTTGCAACTGGCCTGCTTAATTTAGCACAATATTTGCATGGCGCATTCATGCTGCAGCATGTGTCAGAACTTCCTTCCTTTTTTGAGGCTCAATTCTAGGTAGCTAGCTATGCTCTATCAATACACATATATATCACATTTTGTTTATTCTTTGAGGACCATTAGTTGCTTCCCCCTCTTTAGTGAATACCATTGCTATGGACTCGAGTATACAAATATCTCTTTAAGAACCTGCTTTCAGTTCTTTTGGATATGTACCCCAAAGTGGAATATCTGATTATACAGCTATTCTTTAATTTTCTTTTTTTTAAAGATTTATTTATTCATAGAAGAACTGGGGTTTAGGCCAGAGGTGTGTGTGGGGTGTGTGTTTGAGAGGATTCACCAGAGAAAGAGTGGGGAGCAAAACAGGTGAATTTACTGAAATACGCTGCTTAGCAGAACTGGTGGATTTACTGAAGAGGGCAAGACAGGAGAGGTCTGCTGCACCCCATGTGGGTCAACTCCCTGGCTGGGGATCTAACTCAGGCCGCAGCTGTGATAGCACTGAGACTTAACCCCTAGGCCACGAGGAAGGACCCCATTCTTTCATTTTCTTACGGTCCTGCCACCCCGTCTTTCACAGGGCTGCACCATTTCACATCCGCGCCAACAGTGCACCAGCGTTCCAGTACCTCCACCAACTCATCAGCACGTTATTTCCTATTAGGTTTTGTTTTTTTTTTTTTCTTTAGTAGAAATCCTAGTAGAGGTCGGGCATAGCTCACTGTGGTTTTGATTTGCACTTCCCTAATGAATAATGATGTTGAGCAGAGACTTTCTTTGAAATGAATCATTTACCCCGTCTTAATTGGCTGCCCCTATTTCACAGATGAGGGAAAAGGTTTAGAGGGAGATTAAGCTATTTGCTCAACATCTTCGACTTGGCTATGGCCCTGCCGCAGAGCAAAGACTCACAGTCTCCCACCCTCCACACCTCTCCCTCCTCGGACCGCGAGCCCCGAAGTCCAGAGAAGGGCCCCCATACCGGGCCCACGTGCTGCCGGCCCCAGGCACCGCCTTCTCACGGTGGGTGGGGAGGAAGGGGGGGGCAGAGGCTGACGAGGCCGAGGCGGCTCCCTAACACGCGGGGCGCTCTGTTCCGGCAGTGACAACCCCATCTTTTGAGTCCCCAGAGAGCTGCACCCCGAGATCCAGAGTCCTTAGCCAGCCGCCCCCTCTGCGCGCGCCACACGAGCCGGGTCCCCAGCGCAGCCAGGCGGGCCAGGGCGCGTCTCCGGGCCCGCCTCCCTCGGTGGGGCTGCCCCGGGAGCCCCCCGCGAGCCCCGCGCCCGCGAGCCCCAGCCCCGCCGCCGGCGCCGCGCGAGCAGCCGCATCCAGGGGCCGCTCCGGCGCACGCGTGGTAGCCGCCTGCGGGCAGGGCGGTGGGCGTCAGAGTCCGCCGCTATCCCGTCAGCCCGGCCGGCGGGCCGCTCTCTCCGCCCGGCCGTCCCGCCTCCTCTATCCCGTCCTGCTCTGCGGCGCAGGGGCAAGATGGCTGCCGAGAAGCAGGTCCCCGGCGGCGGCGGCGCGGGCAGCGGCGGCGGCGGCGGCGGCGGGCGCGGGGCCGGGGGCGAGGAGAACAAGGAGAACGAGCGGCCCTCGGCCGGGTCGAAGACGAGCAAAGAATTCGGGGACAGCCTGAGTTTGGAGAGTATCCTCGAGCGCCGCGGCCTTCGCCCTGGCGACGTGTCGGCGGGGCCGGGCGGGGGCGCGGGGCGCGGCTTCCTGGGCTCGCGGAGTCCGTCGCCCCCACTTCTCCCGGCGCTCGGAGCCCCGGGCTCTGCGTCCCCGCCCGCCTTCCCGCGACCCCTTCGCCCTCCCGGGGGGGACTGTCCTTTTCTTTGAGGCGGTGTCGGGCCGATTTCGGCAGTTCCCGGCCGCGGTCCGGCGGGCCGGCGCCTGCCCGGGGGGCGAGAACCACAGCCTGGACTTTCTGGCTTCATATTTTTTTTCCTGACAGCCGCCAGAGGCCGGGTATTAAAGATCGAGGCACATTGCGCCTTGATTCTGATGCCGCACGTAGCTGAGGGGCTTCTCCGTCGGCCCGCAGGCTTTTTATTTGAGTCGTTCGGATTGAGCTGGAGGAATCGGTTTCTGGTTTTTATCAGTGTATCACGAGTGCTTCTCACCCTGGTTTGTGACTTTTTGGCTAGCATAAGTACGTGGAGAAAATGTAGGAGCGTTTTCTGAAATAACACGTCTGACTTGACAGCTTCATGAATTGTGTAATGGTTTGGAGTTTTCCTTTCTGAGCCGGTGTCATAGTTCCAAATGGGTGTTAGAATGCTTTGGTTTTACTACAAACATACCTCCTTGTTCCTTTTTTAGTTTCTGAAATAGGCCTTTGAGTGGTCAGCATTTTAAAATACGTTTACAGAAAACCGTTGAAGAAACTTTAAAAGAAAACTAAAATTGTGGACATTGGATGTCCTAAAGTTTGGCATATACTCTTAATATACTTTAAGATTCTTAGAAAGGGGACTTTGGTCCAGGCTTTGCTTTTACAAGGATTTTTAATATTTTTATGCAGACCATAATCTAGTTGGGTAGCATGTGCTCTCCACAGGTTCATGCAGCATCACAGCTGTTAAGGAAAGATTTGCCAGATGTAGGAGGTTATGCAAATAGAGGAAAAGTACACGTCATTTTAACCTGGGTCTGCCTGAATGAGTAAAATATTGGATCCAGATGTAAATCAGTGGAAACCACCCTAGTTGCTATCAGCAGTTTTAGAATCCAGTAGATTTATTTAAGCTGCTGGGTTACAGCAATCCTCAATGGCTAATAGTGCTCTTTTCTAGCTGGTCATAATAACATATGACTCCCACCATCAATTTTTCTACCTTCTTAGCCCTGTCCTGTGACAAGATAGTTACTGAAAATAGTTATAAGAGATTTCACTAGGTAATGTACTAAATATTTAAAAAAGGTTTGATGTGTTGTGGTTTGATCAAATATAGACCAATGGGACATGTTTTGACTTATTTGGATTCTTGCCACTGTAAGCTTTTCCTTAATCTTGGCTCCAGTTCTTCAGATTATTAAGGAATCCCAGCAGCAGCATGGCTTACGGCATGGAGATTTTCAGAGGTACAGGTTAGTATCATATTCAAGGTGTGTAGAATTCATTGTGGAATTTTCAGACTTACCTTGTTTTTGTTACTATTCTATTTATTCTCCTACATCAGAATATATACGTAGAAGGTCTAGCTCTTTGTTTATATTAAATCCTCCAAGTGTACACATACTTTTCAAATTTAAAATTTTGTGGTAAAAGAAGCCAATCTCTGTCCATTTTGCCTTGCAATATTGCAGATACATTTGGATGCTTCTGCTCAAAAATAACAGTAATTAGTTAAATTATGTTTTAACTTAGCCATGTTGTAAGAGTCAAAACTTTCCAGTATTGCCATATCATATAAGGGGAATTTCCAATAAATTATAATTTATTGGTAAACTTTTGTAACAGTCTTCAAGTTGGAAAACAAATTTAATATGACTCTTACAAATTAAAATAGATACCTACTTATAATACAGTCCTGTACTCTGAAAGCAGAAATTTCCAACTATTTCTATATTGTAGATATTGTAGGCTTTTACTGCTGATTTTTAAAAGTCCTGCTAAGACACTGGACACCTCGGCTTCTAATTCCCAGGAGTCAGCCATTGTGGTGAAGGGTCAGCAGTGAAGGGTCTGCAATGCGGGATAGAGGGAGCAAGGAGGGTGGTGGTTGGAAATGGAGTGAGAGCAGTAGGCAGGGCCAGAATGTGTAGGGCTGAACGCCCCGGGGTAACTCTGTCCTCAGTTAATGTGGGTGTGAGGGCGAGCCAGGAGAGAGTTTTACACAGGAGTCTGTTTCGACTTGGTGTTTTGTTTGTTCTTAATTGTTAAGGAAATTTTCAAAAATGTAGAGGTGATAGTACAAATGAACCAGTTGGTTCTTACATTTATCAACTTTCTGCCCTTTTTGCTTCATCCGTTCTCTCCCTGCTTTTATTTTATTTATTTATTTATTTTGTGGGACCCTCGCTGGCGGCCAGGGAACGAACTGGCGGGGCAGCCTCGCAGCCCAGCGCTCAACAGCTGTGCCACCAGGGAAGGCCCCACTCCCTGCTTTAAAAATTTTTTTTTTCTTGAAGTATGTTTACATCCGAAAGTGATGAATTTTGCAGTCATTAGCCAACACCCAGATTAAGAGAGCACTTAACCAGCACTCCAGAAGTCCCCCTTTAGCTCCCAATCACAAACCCCTCCTTCCCAAGGGTCACCGTGATCTTGATTTCTTTCTTTTTTGAAATGTTTATTTTGTATTGAGGCAGCATTGATTTACATCACTCGTTATGATTCAGAGCCATAGAATCACCCCTCTTTGGGTGTGTGTCCCAGACCCCCCACCAAGGCACCTGCACAGTTGTGAGTTCTAATACTTCAGTTGTGCTTATTGTTGAGATGGATCTACATAGCATTGGACAGTGTCTATTCCTGGGAGAGGCTTCTTTCTTTCAACCGTATGCCTGAAATGCTTCCATTTTGCATATAGCTGTAGCCTGCACGTTCCCCTTGCTGGATGGTAGTCCCTTATGCGACTACCCCGCTGTTTATTTTCCACTTTACTGTTGTTGGGCGTTTGGCCAGTTTCCTGTTTGGGCTGGTGGAAATAGTGCCTCCATGGACCTTCTTACACACGTTTTGGTGGAGGGAAGTATTTTCTCTGAATATACACTTTGGAGTGAAATTCTTTAGGATTAGCTTTAGTTCGGCCTTAGTAATGTACGGCCCAACAGGTGCCCTAAGTCCTGTGCCAGTGTGCGCCGGCTGCTCCACAGCTGCACCAGCATTCGGTATGATTTACGTTGCTTTTCTTCCTGGATTATTTGAAAACCTGTCATACCATTTCACCCAACAGTACTCAAGTTTCTGTCTCCAACAAATGGAGCTTTTAAAAACGTAATCAGAATACTCTTATTCTACCTAGCCAGATTATCAATAACTCCTCAGTATCATCTTATACAATGATGATATAAATAATAAAGAAAATTGTTGAGTTTTCTCTGATTTTCTTTTTTAAAAGATTTTATTTTTGGTGTAGAAGAACTGACCAGAGGTGCAGGGGGTGAGAGGATTCATCAGAGACAGTGGGGAGCAGAACAGGCGGATCCACTGAAACACACTGCTGAGGGGAGCAGCGGGGAGACAGAAGTCTGCTGTGCCCTGTGGGTGGTTCCCTGGTGGGGATCAAACTCGGGCAGCAGTGGTGATAGCGCTGAGACTTAACCCCTAGGCCACCAGGGAGGCCCGAGTTGTCTCTGATTTTCTTTCAGATGTCTTAAAATTGTTGACTCCTCCTCAGACCCATTCACGAGTCTCTAATGGTCCCTGTTGTTTCCTTTATAGTGAAACGGTCCAGGTCAGAATTGATCCCTGTAGTCGTCTCATCTCCTCAGTCTTCTCCCTGACACATCTCCGTAGCCTTTCTTTGATTTCTCAAGACCTTGCTGCTTTTGAAATTGACAGGCCGATTGTTTTGTAGCTTGTCACCTGCCCGAGTCTACTTGCAGCCTCCTTCTGGTGAGATTCAGGTTCTGTGTCTTTGTCAGGAGAGTCACAGGAGCGATGCTGCCTTCACCTCGTGGCCCAGGGCCCCATGACTGCCGCTCGTCCCCGGAGCGCTGTTCCCTGGACCACTTGCTTACTCCAGGGGTCCCAGCTGGAAGTTGCTCCTTGGCCCTTTGTGATTACCAAGTACTTTGTGAGAAAATACTTTGAAGCTATGTAAATATCCTGTTCTTCATCGAACTTCAGTGTATTCGTTTGTGTGTCTGTGTGTCCTTAGAGTTTACCTCGTCCTCTGTCCGTGGGGATGTGTGCTCACATTACTACACTGCTGCTCTGACTGGGTCTGGCCAGTGTAAGCCCCTTCAGGTCAGCTACTAAGCTTCGATGTGTTCCCACTGCCCTTCTGTTAAAAGTCAGGCTTAGGGCCTCCCAGGTGGCGCGCGGGTTGAGCACAGCGCTATGAAGCTATCCGCAGCCTCTGCATCATGGGTTCAGTTATTGATAATCTGGCTAGGTAGGATAAGAGTATTCTGATTACGTTTTTAATCAATTCCCGGCCGGCCAGGGAGATTCCCACATGGCACAGCAGACCTCTCCTGCCTCACCCGCTGCTCCCCTCAGCAGTGGATTTCAGTCAGTCTGCCTGTTCTGCTCTCCACTCTGTCTCTGGTGAATCTTCTCAGCCTCCCATGCCTCTGGCCTGTACCCCAGCTCTTGTATGCATAAAAATAAATCTTAAAAAAAAAGTCAGACTTACATATTGGATACCCAAGTCAAATTCACCCTTTTTAGGTATACGGTTCGATGAGGTTTGAGCAAGGTGTGTGGTTAGGTAGCCACTGCAGTGAGGTGCAGGACGTTTCCGTCACCTCTCGCTCAGCTCCCCAGTAGGCGCTCCTCTGCCGCGCCCCGCTCCTGGCGGACACTCGTCGCTGCTGCTTTTTAGACTGTTACACAAGTGGGGCCACGCTCTAGGCAGCCTGTCACCCGGTGGGCCAGGTCTGCTTCCCTGTCCCCCATGAGCAGTTTTCGGTTGGCTGCAATTTTTGGTCTTCCCCCCAGTTGTTAACTTTATTCAATGTTGTGTTTGCAACTGGATCTTTTTTTTTTGGCCGTGAGAGGTACCGTTTTTCTCTTAGCACGACAGTGTGTTTGTTATATGTGTTTTTGGTCTTTCTCAATGCATTGTTTCATAAGTTTGCTCATACTGTCTGTAGAGCGTTAGTTGTATTTCTCCTTGTCCATGACAATGTTTTGTACACGTGATCTTTGTTGGTTGCTGTGTTACCCGGTCTGTAGCCCGACATCATTCCCTCTCCCCGCTAGCTAGTTGGTCACATGAACTTCCGTTCATGGCTCGCCTGTCCGTTCATGTCTCGCCTGTTCCTGCTCAGTCCCGCGAGTAGAGCGACCCAGCCGCCAGCGCTCAGGAAGCGGGGCACCCTGAAGGCGCTGCTGAGCGTGTCCTTCCTGCCGGGATGCTTCCACCAGTTTCTTTTTCTGCCCATAACGTATATGTTTTCCATTTGGTTTTTATGTACAAGGGCAAGTGATAATTAAAGCTGATATTAGCAGTTGAGGGGGGAAAATTTAGTTCATAGATTAAATCAGACAGTTCTTCCTTCTTTTCAATAACCCGGGCCCTGGTGGCTCCAAGGCTGGAATGCTAAGTGTCATTTAAATACCATCTCGCATTATAAATTATATGCTATATCATTTGATTAAGGGTTGGTATATTTTATATTTATTTTTATACTAATTTAGTCAAAATACATTTATTGAACATCTGCTTATTAGGCATTGTGCTAAGGCTCTGGGTGAAATTTGAAAGTAAATTCTTCCCCTGCGTGAAAGTTTATAATCGTGAGAAGATAGACGTGTAAAGAACTTGATTATCATGCCCTGCACTATCACGAAGAATCATTTCCTGGGCACAGGGGAGGGAGACTTGGCATGAGAAATGATCCCTCGCGTTTCCTAGTGATAGTCTAATGAGCTCATTTTTCTCCAAATGTGCTTGCGCTTCCTTTCTGCCTTCGCTGTCACCAGTCTCCCACCGGACACCCCTTCCTCGCAGCCGGCAGGATTCTGTTCATCTGCTCCCGCAAGGGGGTTAACAAGACGAGGATGAGGGCGTGTGTCCTTACATTGGCCTTGACAATCACCTTGTCTTCGTGGCTGTCATTTTATGGTGCATGATCCCCCCCAGTTGGAGTGCAGGTCCTCTGAGAACGGTGCTGTGTGCGCCCTCTCTTCGTGCTTTCGTGATACCAGGCACACTTGTGTTTGCAAGGAGATGTGTGGCATCTCTACAAAGTCCCAGGGTTCCGCACTGGCCCCCATGGATTGACTGTCGACACTCCTGTCAGCGTGACCGGGCGCTCTGGTGTGTGGTCTCTTGCAGGGGCTACTGTTCCCGCAGACAGAGACGGCTCCGGAAAACACTCAACTTCAAGATGGGGAACAGACACAAGTTCACAGGGAAGAAGGTGACTGAAGAGCTTCTGACTGATAACAGGTACTGGCCGCTCGGTGCTGGTTCCTGAGCAGCCTCGGCCCGGTGGTGTCCTTCCCTCCCGCTGTCCCCAGTGGTTCTTTCAGCAGCTCTGTGCAGTGGGCATTTGTGCTTTTCCTGGCCGGAAGATGGAGCCGCTAAGGCTCAAAGAGGTTTAGCAACTTGTCCCGGAGCTGGTGGAGTGGTGGGTGCTGAAGCCAGTGATTAGAATATAACCAGTTACTGGGTTTCTAGAATGTAAATTTCAGTTTTCAGGTGCTCTCCTAACTCAGTCTACCGTAAGTGAGGCACGACTGTGTCTTCTTGCTGTGGAAGAGTGTTGTGTTTCGGGGTCAGGTACAGCCGTGCTTCACGTCTGCTAGAGCAGGGATCTGTTGAGCCACGCCTATCACAGGTCCTGCAGGTCACTTCTCAGCCTTAGGCCAACTTGGTCCTCCTGCCACATATTTCTGTAAGTAAAACTTCGCTGGACCATGCCACTCCACTTGCTTAGGTTGCTTTAGCTGCTTTTACGATACAGCAGCTGAGTGGTCATGAAAGAGGCCACATGGCCTGCAGAACCTAAAATGTCTGCTACTAGGCCTTTGAACAGTGTTGGCTGCCCGCCGTCCAGTGTGTGGGCACTGAACTAGACACTCCTGGGGGTAGACTGGAGAGGCGGAGTCCTTGGACCTCATTGACTCTGCGCTTGTTGGGAGATGTTGTTCAAGTACAGAACAGGGAACAGTATAAAACAGAGACCTTCCCTATTATGTGTCCTTTACTCTTTCGAATGCCGAAGTCTGGAGAGGGTTCTTTTTTTTTTTTTTTTTTATAGAGGCATGTTTTTTTTATTTATTTATTTGTTTGTTTGTTTGTTTTGTTTATACATGCACTGGGTACAGTCAGAAGCGCGGGAGGGTGAAAGAATTCACCAGAGCCAGAGTAGGGAGCAGACCAGGCAGAAGGACTGACGTACACTGCTGAGGGGAGCAGCGGGCGGCAGGAGAGGTCTGCGCGCCATGTGGGACCCTCCTCCGGTGGCCGGGGAGCAGCCGGGGATCGAACCGGCGCCACAGAGGCCGCGGGCAGCTTCGCAACCCAGCGCTCTACCGCTGCGCCACCTGGGAGGCCCTGGAGAGGGTTCTTGATGGGGTAGCCAGGAGACCTGCCTGGAGGAGGCTGGGCCCTGAAGGATTTGTGAGAGGAAGGAACATTGCATGAGGGGAAGCACACAGTGTGTGAACACCCTTGAGGAGCTGAAATGTTCTCCCAGGAGGCAGTGAGACTCAGAACTGGGTGTCCAGAGACACAGGGCACTTGAGCATAGGACTGCAGTGGCACGGAGCAGGACATGCTGGTTAAACCTAATGGGGGCATTAGAGTTAAGGGAGTGAGATCGTTTATCCTGGAGTGACACGGTCAAGCTGAAGTATAAGGAAGATTCATCCAGAAAGTAATTTTACAGGAGATTCACCAGAATAATATCAAAGTTGCTGACTTGTGTTGCACTTCATAAGTGCCAGCTCTGGCCTGAGTGTGTTACTGTGTAGGAGAGGGAGAAAAGGTCATACTTCTGCCCAAACCCCACACAGCTGGTGAGTGGTGGTACTGAGATTCCACTCAGACTCTAGAACCTTCCTATAACTCCTGTAGTGTACTGCCTCTTCAGGATGTGGTTTCTAACTTGGTTGGGGTGAGGGGGTGTTGATTGAAAGATGAGACCCAGCCATGTGCCTGGACTGCCTCTATCTGCTAAAATTTGAGAGGGGTCGGCCTGGGCTGGCCAGGTTCCAGGCGGTGGCCGACTTTGCAGTGAGGTGTGTCGGCTCAGGGCTTAGAAACCTGAGGAGGCACCAGAGTCAGGATGCGAGGTGCTGATGGGGAGTCCTGGCCGACGCTGCACGCGGGTGTCTCCAAGGGTGAGAGCGGCAGCACGCCTTGGAGAGCAGCCTGGCCTGTGTTCAGCTCGCTCCTCCCTCTCCTCGTACAGGTACTTGCTGCTGGTCCTGATGGACGCTGAAAGAGCCTGGAGCTATGCCATGCAGCTCAAACAGGAGGCCAACACCGAGCCCCGAAAGCGCTTCCACCTGCTGTCTCGCCTCCGCAAAGCTGTGAAGCACGCGGAGGAGCTGGAGCGCTTGTGCGAGAGCTGCCGCGTGGACGCCAAGACCAAGCTGGAGGCTCAGGCTGGTGTCTTGGCCTCGCTGGGGCGCGGGGAGGGGGCTTAACAATAAGCTGCAGTTCAACAGGACAGTATGTTAGCTTACAGATCAGCAGTCAGGAAGGAAGGCTTTGCTCTTTAAAAATTAGTGTCTCTTGTCTTTGAGCTCTTGGTTTTTAATAATCAACTTTAAAAATCTCAGGCTTTTTTGGATATGTATGTGGAAATCTTGCATCTTGTATCTGGGAAAATTCACAGAGCAGGCATTTTTTAAATTAATTTTGTGAAAGAGATACTAAATACTGCAAGTTTTGATACTTACAGTCAGGAGCAGGTTGTTAAGTCAAATGAAGAAAACAGACTTCTTTTATTTTGGGGTGCTCTCCTGGGAAACAGATGAGAGCCAGTGACTGTGTATCACCTTTTATTGGTGACATGAGTTTTTCTCTTAAACGCAAGTGATGGTGTCTGTCTTCTTGATATCAAACTTGGAAGCAAGTAGCAGGCTCGGGCGGCTCACACCTCCTGGGTGCTGAGCCGTCCTCTCTCCCCTTGGTGCAGGCGTACACGGCCTACCTCGCAGGAATGCTGCGCTTTGAACATCAGGAGTGGAAAGCCGCCATCGAGGCATTTAACAAGTGCAAGTAAGTCCCCGTGCAAGGCTGTGGCCAGCTTTGTCGCTGGGTGTTCAGATTCAAGCTGTAGATCAGCTAGTGGTCATTTCTGTGAAAGTTTATACAAGTTCTCTTTTTCTTCTTTTTAGAAACATTAGTTATTTCCTTTCAGCCATCAACATGCTAGTTCTGGTAGTTGGGCGTCAAAGGGCCATTGTTTTATTTTTAGTGTCTGTCTTTGTGAGTTTATTCTCATAAAATAAGGCCGCTGTGAAGCCTGGCATTTCTGTCCTCACAGGACCATCTATGAGAAGCTCGCCAGCGCGTTCACAGAAGAGCAGGCCGTGCTGTACAACCAGCGCGTGGAGGAGATCTCGCCCAACATCCGCTACTGTGCCTACAACATCGGTGGGTGACCGCCGACCGTCACGCGTCGGGACTGGTGGGAGTTCATCCCGGGAGCCTGGAGGTTTTATTTAACTTCCTCTGCTTTCCCTTATGCCCTTCTGGGCCTGGATTTTAGCTGAGGGACACAGTAGAACTGTCCAAGCAGGCCCTCCTCAAAACCACTGAAAGCTGTTCCTTTGCTTCTGTCTCCATCCTGCTCCATCTTCTGTCCTGCCCCAGAGCTTTGTGAAAGGACTTGGCACTCCTCCAGCGACCTGCAGACGGGAGGAGCCCTTCTGAGTCTGAGTTGAAGCTAGCGTTTCTCAGGAGAACAGGCCAGGCCTTTGAGGAGTCTCCCTGTCTTTCTTTTTCCAGGGGACCAGTCAGCTATCAACGAACTCATGCAGATGAGACTGAGGTCAGGGGGCACCGAGGGGCTGCTAGCTGAAAAATTGGAGGTAATCTGATTTGTGTCTTTTTATGGAAAAGTCTCTGGTTTGAAAAAGTCCAGTAAAAAGAAGTAATTAAAATTCTACCACCAAGGGGTAGTTGCTATTACTGTATAGTTTAGCTATACATTTTTTTAAAGATTTATTTATTTATGCATACAAGAACTGGGGTACAGGCCAGAGGTGCTGGGGGTGGGATTCACCAGAGACAGAGTGGGGAACAGAACAGGCAGACTGACTGAAATACACTGCTGAGGGGAGCAGCAGAGAGACAGGAGAGGTCTGCTGCGCCATGTGGGTAGCTCCCTGGCCGGGAATCGAACTTGTGCTGCCGTGGCTGCAGATAGCTTCATAGGTTGCATCTTAACCCCTTGGGCCACCAGGGAGGCCTGGGAGTTTTATGTTTTTAAGTAAGTTTCTACTAGTTTACATTTCCGCTTGTGGTTTGTACAGCTTTGCTTTCTTCATACGCCCTTACCAACACTTAGGAATTCTCTTGTTAACCTTTCGTTATGTCATTTTAATGTTTATATTTCAAAAGCTAAGTTATATGATCCCGAGGAGGAATTGAAACATGACTGTGTGTATACGCTCCTCCGTAAGGGGTGATGTGCTGATTCTAGAAAGGGACCAACAATAGTTGCCACATTCTTCCTCCTCTGTCACTCACATCCACACTTAAAGCTTTAACTTTTCCAAACTACTCCCCAGGCCCTGATCACTCAGACCCGAGCCAAGCAGGCAGCTACCATGAGCGAGGTGGAGTGGAGAGGGAGGACGGTCCCGGTGAAGATTGACAAAGTGAGGATCTTCTTGTTAGGACTGGCTGATAACGAAGCGGCCATTGCCCAGGTAAGGAGGTGCCTGTGCGCTCTTCTGTCTGTGTCTGAAGGTGATCCTTGTGTGTTTAAGACGCAGTGCTGGTTGGCGTTCGTTTCTGGAAAAATAAAAATTTATCTCAATGCTGTTTGGGATTTGGCAACTGTCTCAAGATGCGCCCTTTTAAATAAAGTTATTTTGAAAGCTGCGTTTATAAGTTGTGATGTTTAGAGGGCGAGGCACTGGCGGCATACAGATGGGAGCATTGAGAGGCGGGGTTCCGTTCTGCCCAGCAGGTGGTGCGGTGCCTTAGCGTTCATGTCCCTCAGGCCTCTGACCTGTGCAAGCTTTCCGACCCTGCAGGGGCCGCCTCTTGTTCGAGGACCCTTTAAGGAAAGCCTCGCTAAGCCAGAATGTCTTGTTTCATGTGTGGAATAAATGTCATATTTATGCAAAGCTGTACTTTAATTGATGCTGCTAAACTGACATAATTGGTACCTATTCGTGGGCGTGAACAGCCAAATAAATCCTAAAGATGAGAGATCACCGTGGTCTTGGTTTGTACAAAGTAAACAGTGACTGGGGTGCCTTGTACAGCTCCTTTTCCGTACGAGGGGAGGGGCATCTCAGAAAACCAGCCAGCGCTATAGCTCTCTGGATGCCAGTGGCGTTTCACGAGACGCAAGTGAGCTGTTGCGCCCTGAATAATGTGTTTACGGGGCTGCTCTGTGACGTGTGCTGCTGAGTTGTGTTAAGCATCCAGGCTTCGCAGGGACTTGTTCCACAATGGCTACTCTGGCGGGGGGGACTTTTGGTAGGGGCAGTTCCTTTGTGCCTTCGTGTTGCATTTTGCCCCTCACTTCCCAGGTATTTGCCTGAAGGAGAGAAGATAAGGGAGTGAGAAGCTGGCGAAAGCTGGCCTTTCCTGAAACTGAGGGCCGAGAGGCCCCGGGAGTGCGTCGGTGCTGGGCCGAGTGGCGGGCCCGCTTCTGACGGGACTCCGTGGTGGCTGCTCAGCTCGGCTCATGCTTTTGCTTTAAAGGGGTAGATGCTGGGAGAAGAGTGTTGCTGTTCCGTGCCAGGCGTCAATGACGGTGGGGCGGGAGAATCCGGCTAGATGGGGGGTGGGTGGAAGCCGTGGGAGCAAGTAAGCGGGAACTCCTTAAGAACGGGGCTGCAAACATAGATCAAAGCAGGAAGCTGGTATCAGGTAATTTAGAAATGTATTCATGCTTAAAGTTTAGCAGATACAAATGATGTTTTTAAAAGATCATGTCTAGTACCTCCTGCCTTGGCATTCATTGCCTTTTCGCCTTTTTCATTTTGTTAAGAGGTTTTTTTTAATGTGTTGGAATTATACTGAGATCAGATTGGCATCCTGTTTTTATTAACATGTTGTAAGGATTTTATTTATGTCCTTACAAATCATGTCACAAATTTTTTTTAAAAACCGGGTGCTCCCCTGGACAGGGACACTGCGGAGATGAGCGGGGGGTCATGGTCCTCCTCAGTGTCCCGGACTCTGCAAAATACTTCCTGTTTGTCTCTTTAACCTCGTGGGGGGTGGCGAGTGTGGGGGTGACTCAGTCGTGAGTTACTGGCAGGAGCCCCGGAGACCCTGGAGCTGGCCCAGGGCCGTGCCTCTCACTAGGGAGCACCTGCCTTTGGCCGTGCCCTTTGGACTCCAGCTCAGGTCCCCCCCCCCCCCCCCCCCCGTCATGCACATCCTCCTAGAGCCATTGGGAAGGCTAGTAACATGATCGTTTTATTGGACTTTGGTGAGTAGCTGGTTGTAATTTCACTTAACAAAGTACACAAGCAGGGTCCTGGAGCCTGACAAAGACAGAATAAGCAGAGCTTTCATTAAACAGTCCTCAGCGGGAGAGTCATCTCCAGCTCGTCAGGTTAGTCGGGGAGGGGATTTCCCACGTGGGAAGACACAGTATCGGGGTTTTGTTTTTTGTTTTTTTTTTTTTTTTTTTTAGGGGCATGTTTTATTTATGTATTTATTTATTTCTTTGATTGTTTTGTTTATACAAGCACTGGGTACAGTCAGAAGCGCGGGAGGGTGAGAGAATTCACCAGAGCCAGAGCGGGGAGCAGAGCAGGCAGAAGGACCGAAGGACACTGCTGAGGGGAGCAGCGGGCGGCAGGAGAGGTCTGCGCGCCATGTGGGACCCTCCTCCGGTGGCCGGGGAGCAGCCAGGGATCGAACCGGCGCCTCAGAGGCCGCGGGCAGCTTCGCAACCCAGTGCTCAACCGCTGCGCCACCGGGGAGGCCCAAGTATCGGGGTTTTTTATCTTAATATATAGTTCTCTTTTTACACATGGAGAAGAAAAACCTGTATCAGGGAGGTCTTTTTGTCTTACTCATAAAATATTGTAGGCTAACTTAGATCATGTGAGAGCATTTCACAACTGCACTTGAAGCCATTACTTTTAAGATTGAAGGTTGGGTCTGGCTGGTGGCCTACAGGTTAAGTCTCACCGCTACGGCCTGAGTTCAATTCCCATCCAGGGAGCTGACCCACGTATGGAACAACAGAACCTCTCCTCTCTCCCCGCTGCTCCCCTCAGCAGATCCTCTTGTTCTGCTCCTCACTCTGTCTTTGGTGAATCGTCTCACCCTCAGTGCCTCCGACCTACACCCCAGTTCTTCTATGCAAAAATAAATAAATAAATAAAATCTTAAGATTGAAGGTCGGTTTCACCCATGTGATGATTAATCGAATTCTGTGTACATTTTTTAAAGTCTCGAGTTTTAATAGTCAAAGGGTTGATTTCTAGATCTTTAGCTCATAGCGCCCCTTCTAAAGCAGTTCAAGATTGACCAAAGATTTGATGACATTGCCAAGAAACTACAGCAACATTATTCCAAACTTAAATAGATGAAAAACACAGTGACTCAGCTCAGCACACACGCTGCCGTCTGTGTTGCTGCCGTCTGTGTTCCCGCCGCCTGCTCGGCGCGCGCTCGTCTCCAGGTGCAGCCTGCTTGCGGTCCCTCTTGAGCACAGGTGCTAGCAGGGGGACTCTTTAAAGGTTATTTAGTCAAGGCACTTTTTTTCTCTTATTTCAAAGGACAGCATATTGGACATTTGCGAGCTGTATAGTTTTGAAGCCCTGTAGAGGAAGGTGTGACTCTGTCTAGCCAGCTGTCTGTATTTTGATTACAATTGTAAAGTCAGTCGCCTGAAGTGAGACTACCAGGTAGATCTAAATGTATGTAACTTCTTTTCTGATTGAATGACGTTATTTAATAATTCTCAATCCCAATTTAATGGAGACAATATTCATTTTAAAGCTTTTGTGATTGGGCCCTGCCCGGAAGAGAGAGCGGAAGAGCCCGCTAGCGTGGGCAGTTTCTTCAGCGCGCTCCGTTTCGTTGCGGTATTCAAGGTCCTTCCCAAGCAGGAAACAACCCTTCCGGAATCAGCTCTGCGTGTTGTTGGGGACATTTTGGAGCCCACTTTCCTCTGTCTTACATTGTCTCCATCCGTCGATTAAAAAATACGCAAGTGAGGGCCTCCCCCGGCGGCGCAGCGGTTGAGTGCTGGGCTGCGAGGCTGCCCGCAGCCTCTGCAGTGCCCGTTCGATCCCCGGCCGCCAGCGAGGGTCCCACGCACACACACACACACACACACACACACACAAATATGCAAGTGCTTCTGCACACAAGGGTGGAGCTTTCCCACTGGACGTGCTCAAGATGCCGCGCGCAGGGAGGTCAGGCCCTGTAGCCGAGGCGTCTGCCCGGCTGCCACGCTGTCGCTGCTCGGTGTGGCTGCTCCTCGGCCAGGCGGGGACGGGAAGCCTGGCTGTGCAGGCGCGCGGACACTGCGCGGGCCTCGTCGTTCCACAGTCTCGGGGGCCTGAGCAGTGTTTGAAACCAGAGGCTGGAAGGAGCCGTGTGAGAGAGTTTCAGCTCTTTGCATCTGGAAAGATAAAGGCGGAAGGGGGAAGAATTTGAAGCCTGTTGACATGGTGAATGACTCTGATTTATCGTCATTGTTGACATCCTGGAATCCCGGGATAACGCCTCCTGGCTCTGCTGTCTTGTGCTTTGTATGTGCTGCTGTGTTTGGTTTGTTAATGCTTCAAGAGTTTTGCATCTCTTTTCAATTATAATTGCCTATAATTGTATTTTTTAGGGTTTGCTATCAGGGTCAGACAGCCCTCATAGAACAAGTTTGGAGATAGTCCTTTCTCTGATTTCTGAAAGTGTGTGATCGGTCAGTGTTTTTCCACTTATTTTTTAAAAAATAAATTTTTAAAAAGTGAAGTGACATTAGGATTCCACTGTCAGGCATCCCCGCCATAGCCCACCGCCATAGCCCACTGTGCTTCCTCCCCTCTTTGTCCTCACCTCTCCCCACCCGCCCCTCTTCCTTACACCTTTGCTCTCATTCACCACTGAAACCATTAGAACCAAAATTTTCTTTGCGGGAAAGTTTTTTAAATTTGTTTTTCTTTTAATCGTGTTTCTTTTTTTTTAAGATTTTATTTATTTATACAAGAACTGGGGTACAGGTCAGAGGCGCGGGAGGGTGAGAGAATTCACTCGAGACAGAGCAGAGAGCAGAACAGGCAGACAGACAGAAGACGCTGCTGAGGGGAGCAGCAGGCGAGACAGGAGAGGCCTGCCGCGCCATGTGGGATTCTTGCCGGCCAGCCAGGAATCGAACCCGGGCTGCAGAGGCTGCAGACAGCTTTGCATGTAGCTCAACCCGCTGCGTCACCGGGGAGGCCCTGTCCATTTGGATATATTTTGTTTTAAAAAAGAATTTATTAATTCCATGTAAATTACTGAATTATTGACATGTATAGTCTGTTACAATTCCTTGTTTTAGCGTTTATAGACCCTGTAGTGTTTTCTCCTGTTAAGTGCCTGGCTAACGTGCTGGTTGTAATGAATACTGTTACATGTGATTTTTAAAGGTATGACAGTGCGTTAGGCTCTCTTTTTGAGTATTAGAGGCCTTTAAATAATGTGGTAGATGTAAAAGTTGTAGCTCAAACAAAATGTGTGTTAATCCCAGGGAATCCTGGTAAGGTTTTATTTAACACTCAGAACAGTTACGTGCCTAATGTCCTGCATCACACATAAACCACATCAAGCTGGTGAGGAAAACAATTGTGTCCAAGTTTAGTTAAATCCCTAGCTGTCAGGTCTAGCACTGTAGCTGAGTAAGTCTCTGTTGAAGTGAATGAATCATGACTTATTAAATATGGACTTGCCCTTCGGCTGTCTGAGGTTAATCCCGAGAAGAACCAGTCGGCCTTGCTACCACTAGCAGACAGAGGCTGGCTCTGACGGGCCGTGGGCTGGCGGCTTGGCCAGTGCTCACTCTGGTGGTGATGTCCTTCGTCCTGGACGCCCCAGCTGCGCCTGAGATACAGATGCAGGCTCTTCATTTCACAGTCTTCTGTCCTAACTGGTGGCTTTGGTGTCCGTCACCTTCTGGGAACTGGGACACAAACATTTGGTAGCCCCAGGTGATTACTTGCTTGTGGACTTTCTTACGATGTTTAAATGCTAAGGTAGCAGTTTACTGAGAAGCATAGAAGGAAGGCATAATTCAGAGAGACTGAGACCGAAAAGACTGGAGCTGAGGGTTAAGTAGCTGCTAGATCCTTACTTGCAAAATCCTTCGTCTCTTTAGCTAAGCTTTGAGTCTTCACATCTTTAATTATCAGTGTCTTAATTGTCTTAATTTGTCAGTGGTCGCTGTTTTGCTTTGCTGATGCGTGCCCCGCCGAGCCGTCGCCAGTACATGCAGCATGAGGTGCTGGTAGACATCAAGGGGGGACAGGTTTAAAGTGCCTGCAGCATTGATGGGTTTAATGTCTCAGGTTCTGGGCAATATTTTGGGTTTTTTTTTTTTAAGATTTATTTATACGGGGCCTCCCTGGTGGCGCAGCGGTTGAGCGCTGGGTTGCGAAGCTGCCCGCAGCCTCTGCAGCGCCAGTTCGATCCCCAGCTGCTCCCAGGCCACCAGAGGAGGGTCCCACATGGCGCGCAGACCTCTCCTGCCGCCCGCTGCTCCCCTCAGCACTGTACTTCAGTCCCTCTGCCTGCTCTGCTCCCCGCTCTGGCTCTGGTGAATTCTCTCACCCTCCCGCGCTTCTGGCTGTACCCAGTGCTTAAATAAATAAATAAATAAATAAATAAATAAATAAATCTTAAAAAAAAAAAAAAAAAAAAGATTTATTTATACAAGAACCGGGGTACAGGCCAGATGCGCGGGAGGGTGAGAGGATTCACCAGAGACAGAGCGGGGAGCAGAACAGGCAGACTGACAAGTTACACTGCTGAGGGGCGCAGCAGGCGAGACAGGAGAGGCCTGCCACGCCATGTGGGTTGCCCCGTGGCTGGGGGGGATCGAACCTGTGCTGCAGAGGCTGCGGACAGCTTCACAGCACTGCGCTCAACCACCTGCGCCTCCAGGGACGACCCATTTATCCTTTTTTTTTAAAAAACCCTGTTCCTAAGTGAGGTTTGTATCCTTTGCCAGATTTCCTTGTGTTTTCTCCTCACCCTCACTGGGGTGGGTAAGGGTTGGTTCCCATCTCCTTAGTTTTCCTAGGGGTGTGGTGGAGAATGTGGTCAGGCTAGCCTTGTTTGTCTCCTAGTCACGCCACTTTCCAGCAATTTCTGTAGACGAGTGAAAACAGCCTTGGAGCTCTGTGTTTGACATCGGGGTCTGTCCTTGGCACACACAGCGCTGGTTTCCCTGGCACTGGCCAGCCTGGAGACCTGGCATGAGGCTGTCGGCAGCACACCCCGGAGTGTGTGGCTTTCTAGCACTTGAACTAGAACATATTGATTAATTGGGACTAATGAGGAACATATTACTTCTGGGCTTAAGCTTTCGCTATGTCATCGGCACACCTGGGAGGAAGGCCCAGCCAGACCACACGTTCTTACACGGGGACTGCCGCTGTGTGGCCGAGCGCAGGTGTGGCTCAGGGCCTAGTCTGGAGGCCAGCGGATAGCTGCTGGGAGTCCCCGCTGCTTGCGGAAGCCTTCAGATAGGCTCTTCCTCCGCATGTCTTTAAGACTTTGTAGAATTCTCCGTGAACTTAGAGCTTTCTGGGAGCTGTGGAGAACTCTACGCGTGTGTGACATCTCGGTGCAGAGGTGTCCTCATGCAGAGGGGCATGTAGTACATGATGGTGAAGAGGCTTGGTGTTCGTGTCGGCCTCCTTACAGGAAAGGCGACAGAGCCTGTGTAGCTGGTAAAACAGGGTTTGCACTTTTCTGGCATTGCTTTCTCTGCTCCCCCAGGGCCCCCCCAAGTTAAAAAGGGTGTTAGTGACATCTTCGCTGGCTCACTTGGCACCACAGCTGAGGCTGGACCTCGCCCTGCTGTAGCGTCGGGGTCTGCTGCGCGGGGTGGGGCTTTGCTCCCGAAACAGTGCCAAGTCTTCTTCGTCTCGCTCCAGCTCGCCCCCATCCCACAGGGCCTGTACCTGGGAAGCTTGGCCGGCGAGTTTGAGTAAATGATTATGAAGAGTCTTGTGAACTTGAAGTGCTCACAGGGCTTGTGTGGAGTGGCGTCTAGGGCGGCCCTCTCACACCTGTGCCTGTTGAAACGTTCATTGTTTACAATGGCCAGTGCTCAGCGGCCCCCGTAGCTAGTGACCGCGGCGCGGGCCGTGCGGGTGCAGAGTTCCGTAATCGCGGGGAGCCCTGCTGGACAGCGCTGCCCTGGGCTCCGGGGAGCCGGCGGGGGCCACGTTTGCTCTCTGCAGAGTGACTGCCCCACGGTAGTGAGCCGCAGGAGAGCCCCGCGCATGTAAGAGGAAGGCATGTTTGCTTTCTGTTGGGTCCTTCACAAGGAAGGTTTTTTTCACACTGAAAACTGGGAAAAACATAAGAGCTCTTAAGAGAAGAAAAGGGTTTTCTTTAAGCCCCTCCCAGCAGTCTCGTAAAGTAGTGGTTAGCACTGGCTTGCTTTGGGGCTTCCTTAGAGGTCAGATGGATGTCAAGAGGCCAGTTTGGATGTTAGTTTCAGTGGAAAGTCAAACAGAATAATGGAATGTTGCTGCCTCACTGTCACAGTGGGCCTGCCCGTAACTCCGGTTCCTCTCCCCTCTGCCTCTCGTCTGTCCCTCCTGCTCCGTCAGATTCTTTGGCGTGATAATGCGGTTTGGCAGGTATTCAGCTCATGAATCACGTTTTCCCTTATCCCAGGCGGCGAGCAGGGGGCGACGCCCTGTTCTCTTGCAGAGGCTGTCGAGTGCTTGCCAACCTGGTCTCCCCTAAAATGTTCTCAGCCTCACGGGCTCTCTGAGCGCAGAGGTTCCGTGGTGAGAGGAACCTCGTCTGATGACGGTTTTGATGGGGACTGATTAGCACTGTTACTCTCACGCTTGGACCTGAAAGAACCCAGCCTTCATGTCTCTCGGGTGACGCGTGGGAAGGCGACTCTGCTGGCTTACAGGACCGTGTCGGCGGTTCAATTTGGAGAGGAGAAGGAAGGAAACTTCGGGTGTGAGGTAGCAGCGCCCCAAGCTCCGTCAGGGGATGCCAGAGCAGAGGTAGAGTAGAAAGTTCTACAATAGGAAAAAATGTTAAGCATCTGTTGCTTCACACAGTCTCAGATCAGTGACGGGTCGCTCCCGTGGTGTGTTCGCTTCTGCTTCCCCCTTCCCTGTGACTACAGCTGTCAGAACACGCTTGCGTGGTGGAGAATGGGTACCACTGACGTGAGCTCTGAGTTGGGGTGCCTTTGGCTGGATGCGTGTGTTCATGTGTAATAAGGGGAGGTGAGTGCTTGCAGGCACAGAGGAGGCACCTCTGTGCCTCCTCCCTCCAGCATATGGCTCACTCAGAAGAAACTTCCTCCATCTGACCCCTGTAGGCTGAAAGTGAAGAGACCAAGGAGCGTCTGTTCGAGTCCATGCTCAGCGAGTGTCGGGACGCTCTCCAGGCCGTGCGGGAAGAGCTCAAGCCTGACCAGGTAGGCTGCAGCCGCGCCGAGACTCCTGCTCTGAACAGGGGTCCTGAGTGCGTGTTGTTCGCCGGGGTCCACAGTCCTAGCGCCGTGACTCCTGCCCTGTTTCGTTTTCCAATGTGGGCTCCATCGGGTTGAGAGAGTCTTTCCCTGCCCCGTTCCTCCTGATGATTTCACGTGCTGCGTGTTAAGCCTTTGGGCCCAGCTCACCTGCAGGCGACGTCTCCAGTGCTCTTCCCCGTGGCGGCACCCAGACTCATCCCGGCGTCTGGGCGGAGAGCCTCAGAGCCATTGGTGTTTCTTCCCATTCACAAAACCCTGCTTATTCTCCTTTGGTAGCGCCTCTCTCCAACTGTCAGCCCGCCTGTTTTCCCAGCAGCCTTTATCTCACGTCAAGACGTCAGCGGCCTCTTGGTCGCTCTCCTGCCTTGGAGTCAGCCACCTCTCCAGGCCTTTCTTGGGAGACGCACAAGTTGAATCTCCTCAGGTCCATCTCGTGTGGGTCTGGAGCAGTGGTCGCCGAGCGCCCACAGTAGGGCGCCCCCATAAATACAGGGGAGCTTGCACCTCTGATGTACTTGTTTGCAAATGGTGTTCCCTGTTTCTCATCTGATTTATAATCTAGAAAGTGCATTAAAACCAAGGTGTTAGAGCTGAGGTGGACGGAAGCAGAGGCACTCGTGGCCCCTCGCTCTCGGGGGCTCAGAGCGCAGGCGCACGGGTCAGCCCTGAGCTGCTCCACACACTCCAGCCTTGTGTCACCGTGTGGGCCTTCCCCAGCTCGCCGCACGCCTCGCGCTGGCCTCCACCCCGTGCACCTGCCTCATCCCCCCTCCCCCTTTTCACCCATTCAAACTCCACCCGTTCCGCCAGGTCCAGCTTAGGGCTGGCCGCCTCCGAGGAGCCCACCCCAGGGCCTTGCCCTCAGAGCCCTCGCCCCGCTGTCTGGGTACCCGGCGCCGCAGCGGTGATTTTTGTTTGATAATCAGGTGTTTATTTTTCAGTTCCCTTAGTCATACTCATCTCTAGGTTGTAAACGCTGTGTGTTTTTCCAGCATCTGCCCTCCTGCCTGGAGATTAACATGCGCAGGAAATGCTCGTTGAGCGCTGGTCGCTGTTTCCTTCTCCCGTTAAGCAGCCCTTGTGGACTGCGCGCTCCCTCACCCGCTCTGGGGCCCCGCGGAGCCCACCCTCCACCTTGACTCTCAGCGCCTGGGGGCCCCGCACGCCAAATGCAGCGAACGGGTTGATGCCGGGGCCTTTCGGCTCCACTTCCCACCGTAGCATTCCACAGACTGCGTGGCTTGAACCAGCACAGAGAGGTTCTCCTTCCGTTCTTGGGAGTGGCGCTCATCGGATGGGCTTGCTGGCCGGTGTCCTTTTGGCAGCTTTGGAGGAGAAGCATGTCCATTGTTCCAGAGAACAGTCTTCCAGCTTTGGGAGGCATCTGCACCCCTTGTCTTGTGAGCCCTTCCCCCATCTTCAAAGCCAGCAGCACAGTGGCTCTCCTGTCTGACCTCTGCGCCAGTCCCTCTGTCTCTGTGTTGCTGGCCCTCCTGCCTCCCTCTCCAAAGGGGCTGCGGTTCCTTTTTCACACACGTGGCTAAGCCAGGCTAATCAGAGACCGTCACTGTGTCCCGTCTGCCAGGTCTCGGGTACCGTGAAAGGGGACATATGGGCAGCTTCCGGGCTTAGATGTGGACTGGACGGCCGGCCACGAAGCAAGAGCTGACAGCACAAGGCCTTGAACTTGGGTCTAAGGCCCAGCCCCTAACGTGGGGCTGTGGGCTGTGGATGTCTCTGGGAGTGCTTCCGGTCTGGACGCTGGCCCAGGGGCAAGCCTTGCTGGCTGTGTTCTCTTATTTTTAGTCTGAATTCTGAATTGTCTTATTTTTAAGTCTGGTTTTTATTGCTGTGGCAGCTGAGTGACCCCTCTTTCTAGAATATGTCCAGTAGATGTTGGCTCTTCGAGGAGCCCTGACTCTGTCGAGTCTGCACCTGTGTTCCAGGGCACTTTGGGGACCACTGAATGAGGTGGCCAGCGCCAGGCCTGGGCTCAACTGTACTCTCTTTACCTTTTCCACTTTCTGCAGAAACAGAGAGATTACACCCTCGATGGAGAGTCGGGGAAGGTGTCCAATCTTCAGTACCTGCACAGGTAAGCGTTGTGAGTCTTCATATTTTTAACATTGAAATATATCATTGGAACAAAATGTGTTGGTGTAAATTTTAATTTACAATTTAATATAAATAATCATCATGCATCCATCTGTATATATTTATCGTGAAAGGATATGTATATATATTGCATTGTATATTATAAAATTAAATTTTTTTAACTGTTTAAGAACTCGAGTATGACCGGTGACTTTGGGGCTCCCTGTAGACTCATTCTCCCCCTCTTTAGCGCTGTCCCTTCTCCTCCCCCATCAGGCTCCTCGGGGGATTCTGTGTTCTGAAGGTTCTGCGTTGTTCCTTTCCCATTTAGGTTTAATTCTGCTTAGAGTTTATCTGGCTGAGGCCGGGTCCTGCCCCGCCTTCTTGCTGCAGCACGGGCTGTCGGTGCAGGCGCTGGCCCCCGTCCTCCCGCATCCCGGTCTGTCCCTGCCTGCTCTTTTCCCGGGCTCTGCTCTGCTCATGTGTCCTCCGCATTTATAGCAGGACAGTGAATTACTGGGACTTGGTAATAAGTCTTGCTGTTCGGTAGTGCAAGTTCCTCCCAGATTTCCCTCAGGCACATCTCGGCTGCTTCTGTGCCTTGGCTCTTTCATGTGCCTCTTAAAATCGCCTTGTCAAGTGCAATTTTTTTTTTTAAGGTAGAGAACTTTGTTTCATAGAAGAAAGGAGGGAAAGTGGACTTCTGGAGAGAAATAGATTACCTGGGAAAACACTCCCTTTCATGGAGTCCTCTGCTCCATGTCCCTTAAGCTCTTCTGTCACTGCTTGTCACTTTTTAGTGAACCTGGGCAATATTTTTAGCCAGCCCCCACCCTCCCCCTTTTAAAAGAGAAACAAAACCACAAAAACTCCTTTCTGAGGGAATCTGTTACTACGTGAATATCACATTGACTCCCAAAGGACGCGTGCCTGAAATGGGGAGCAGGAGGCCCTTGGTTGTCCTCTAGTTTGGCAGCCCCTTGGACAGGAGGCTTCCAGAGGTGAAGGTCCATGTCTGTCTCTGGCAGCCGCAGGATCAGAGTCGAGAGGATCAGCTTCCTGACCCTGCAAAGGCCCCCGGAACTTGAGCTCGGTTGGGAAACTTCCAGACTATGAAGCGCCTCGCCCCGCAGTCCATTGTCCCCCCCCTCAGCTCCATCTAGTATCAGGATCTGGTTTCACAGGATCGGGGAGGCCTTTGACCTTGTGGATAAAGCGACAGCAGGAACAGGCAGCCCTTGCATTTCATATGGCCCACGCGCACGGCTCGATGCCCGCCCGCCTCATGGGTAGCGGCTGAGGTGTTTGAGTCAGATGCTTCTGCGAAGCTTTAGGAAAAGCTGCCTCCCATTCCTCGGAAGCGCTGCCAGTGGTCAGCTCCTTGTCTCTAAGTGACATGCGTGATGCCTCTTGGGGTTTGGATAGAAGCCTTTGGTTCCACTATCCCCCTAGCGCTTCCCCTCCCCTCTCCCACGCTGCACCCTGACCTCCTTCGCCCCATTCCACTCTTCTGTAGGCGGTCTTGTTTCTGAGAGCATTTTGATTTTTTTTTTTTTTAAAGATGTATTTATTTATTTATACAAGCACTGGGTACAGTCAGAAGCGCGGGAGGGTGAGAGAAATCACCAGAGCCAAGCAGGGAACTGAACAGGCAGATTGACGAAATACACTGCTGAGGGGAGCAGTGGGCGGCAGGAGAGGTCTGCGCGCCATGTGGGACCCTCCTCCGGTGGCCGGGGAGCAGCCGGGGATCAAACCGGCGCTGCAGAGGCTGCGGGCAGCTTCGCAACCCAGCGCTCAACCGCTGCACCGCCAGGGAGGCCCGAGCATTTTGATTTTTAAGGGCTTATCTGTGTTCTTTCAATATTGCTTTTAAAATATAGTCTCTCGTTCTAATATCCTCCCTTCTGGGTTATTAATAGTGGTTTCTGGGCCTCCCCTGGTGGCTCAGCAGTTGAGCGCTGAGTTGCAAAGCTGCCTGCAGCCTCTGCAGCGCTGGTTTGATCCCTGGCCGCCTGCGAGGGTCCCACGTGGCACGCAGACCTCTCCTGCTGTGCCCGCTGCTCCCCTCAGCAGTGTGTTTCATCAGTCTGCCTGCTCTGCTCCCCGCTCTGGCTCTGGTGAATTCTCTCACCCTCCTGCGCTTCTGACTATACCCAGTGCTTGTAGAATAAATAAATCAATCTTTATTTAAAAAAAAAAATAGTGGTTTTCCTGAAGTTTACCTCTCCCTACAAAGCCTGGTTCTTCCAGACAGTGCCCCCTCCCTCCCACCCCATATTTGCTGGAGGTCTTCCTCAGGTCTCTGGTGCGGCCTGTGTGCTGGCAGCTCACACGTACACGTGGCTCTCAGCTGAGGGCTTCACTGGAGGTGCCCTTTAGCGCTGCCCTTCTCCCGAGGGCCCTTTTCTTAGGCTGGTCAGACCCTGAAACACTCCAGCTGCCCTTGATCTTGAAGCTGAGTAGGACTAGGAGGCTGGGTGGTCAGCACACTGACCATCACTGTCCCTTAATCCTCTATGTCCATTATGGAACCCTCACCCCGTGGAGCCTTCCCACCACGCTGTACCCATGCCAGGAGATGCCCACAGACCTCTGCCGAACTCAACAAGACTTCTTGGGGCCAAATTGCTCCTTAGCAGACATTTATATGGTCACCATGTTTTCATCCCACACTCAGCCCTGTTCCTGGACTGGCTGCCGTCCAGGGTCACCTCACCCAGCAGTGCCTCTGAACTAGTAGCTGTGGGGCTTTTTAAAAAAGATACAAAGGGTATAGTCCAAACTAAAGTCAGTTTCTACCAGAAGATCTCATACTGGTCCCCTGCAAATTTGCCACTGAACAGCAGCCAGATCTGAGGGCCCCTCAGGCTTGAGGCCCAGACCAGATGGCCCTGGAGTGTGACACACGCTCACCCCCAAACTTCCCCTTGTCAGTCCCGACTGTGGCCCCTGCTTGTCCCAGAACGTCCATTTCCCCAAGCGTAACCTGAACTGACACCTGCTGCCTTCCAGCTACCTGACCTACATCAAGCTGTCCACAGCGATTAAGCGAAATGAGAGCATGGCGAAGGGCCTGCAGAAGGCGCTGCTGCAGCAGCAGCCAGAAGATGACAGCAAGCGCTCGCCACGGCCCCAGGACCTGATCCGGCTCTACGACATCATTCTGCAGGTGACCCTGGGGCCCGGGGAGAGCCCTAAAATGATGTACTGCTCTAGAGGGAAGGAATGTGACTCCAGGAGGTGCTTGGCACTAGGCACAAGACAGTGCTTTTGTACTATGCCATTGTCCTGTGCCAGCTGAGCTGTCTGGGCCCCAATGGTCAGACCTACTGTGTGCAGAGACAGCACCCACGGGGTTCACTGAGCACTTCAATCCTGGGGAGCGGCCTGAGGCTGCACTGTCCAGGCCCATGGGGGGTTTTCAGTGAGTGAGACGCATGCACATCAAGCAGGTAACCTGTCGGGGCCAGAGGAGTGGGCCACTCTAGAGCGACGTCCCAAGCCAGAGAGGTCCCCCATGGCAGTGATGGCCCAAGAAATCTCTGCAGGACATAAGATGTTATGTAAAGGGCTGCTTGACCTTCTTTATCAGAGAAGAAGGGGTAGTGGTGACACCGGTGTGGCTGCTGCCAAGATGGTTCCCCATTGAGGCACAGACTCTCTCCCCCCGTGTGTCCCTGTAAGACCTGTCAGAAACTGTCCGCCTCTCATGAGTCGTCTCCTTGTGCAGAATCTGGTTGAACTGCGCCAGCTTCCTGGCTTAGAGGAGGACAGAGCCTTCCAGAAGGAGATAGGCCTCAAGACCCTGGTGTACAAGGCTTACAGGTAAGGACCCGAGGCGCCACCCGCCCAGTGTGTCTGTCCCTTCCCTGGAAGAGGTTGTGGCTGCTTGTTCCCTTGCCTTCAGAGGAGAGCAGTCAGCCCGCGTGTTGGTGAGCTCTGCTGCAGATGGTGGCTGTGAGTTACCGTGTGCCGCACTGATCCCCCGGGCAGGGCTGGGAGCACACATATCAGGGGTCTCCTCCCTTGCCCAGGGGGATGGCCAGATGCTGGAGAGGGCATTGCTCACAGAAGCAGCGCCGCCTCTGGAGACCCAGATTGAGTCTGGAGGAAGCTGGCTGGCCTTTAGCTCTGTGTTTGAATGAATCGTGTGGCAGATGGGGCTCTTGCACAAGGGGGTCTGGGAGGATGGGGGTCTAGCACATGGGGGTCTGGGAGGACGGGGGTCTAGCAGCTGGCCAGGCGGAGCCATGAGTGCTCTCTGCTCCGTTTTCTGGCCACCTTGTGCTCCTGAGCTCTCCAGGCGCCCCGTCTGTGCTGTCCGCACCCTTGGCTCCTGTGGGCCCCTCTGTCCTGTCGGGCATGTGGTACTCATGCTGTGTCGACCTCATGGAGTTATTTCTGTTAGGAAGAGGTTTCTTAGATTTGGTTATTCAGGAAAAGCAAAAGACGAGAGGTCTGTGTTGGCTTCCCCGGTCACCAGTCTCGCCAGAAGCCTGCGGGTTAGCCTGCGAGTCTGGACACCACGTTGGGCCTCTCGCAGCCATCCTGAGCAGAGAAACCTGTTTCCAAATTTGAAATTTCACCTGAGAAATAAGTCAGAAAAAGAAAAATACCGGATGGTCTCACTCATAGCAGGAATTTAGAAAACCTAAATAAGAGACCAGGAAAAAGACTAATCAATACGAAGTAAAAATCAAAATCAACAAGCAACTATAAACCAGAGACACACTACGGGGGTGGGGGGGGGCGGGGAAAGGAAGGACTAGGGTCAAAATAAGGGGGGGGGTGCAATTGTATGGGGAATATAACCAAAATGAAGATGCATACATTGTGCAAAGATGAAAAAAGATGTAAGAATTATATAAAATAAAATATTTAAATTAAAAATAATAATAAATAAATAAAATTTCGCCTGAACCACAAGGAAGTTGGTCTTTGGTAGCTGTTGCTCTTTCCCTTCCCGTCAGGTGTTTCTTCATCGCGCAGTCCTACGTGCTGGTGAAGAAGTGGAGCGAAGCCCTTGTCCTGTATGACCGAGTCCTGAAATACGCCAATGAAGTCAGTGCCGATGCTGGAGCCTTCAAGAACAGCCTGAAGGTGAGTCGTTGGCCTCTCCTTGTTCAGGCTGCAGAGCTGTGGTTTGAGACTCCACAGAGACTGCGGCTTCTCGAGCTGCTCCTTCGCTTGCCGGAGGGACATGGTGCGTCCCTGAGGCCTGGGCCGAGCCCGCGGCACCCGAGGGGCATGCCAGGTTTTGGCACGAAGCAGGAAAGCCATTCTGCTGAGTTAGGAACCTGAAGGCCTCTTTGCAGATTTGGCTGCATGTTAGAATCACCCGCGAAGATTTTGAAAAAAAGGGTATCTGGGTCCCACCTACAGAGCCCCCGGTTCTTTTTTTTTTATTTTTTATTTTTATTTTTTTTAAAGATTTATTTATTTATACAAGCCCTGGATACAGTCAGAAGCGCGGGAGGGTGAGAGAATTCACCAGAGCCAGAGCGGGGAGCAGAGCAGGCAGAAGGCCCGAAGGACACTGCTGAGGGGAGCAGCGGGCGGCAGGAGAGGTCTGCGCGCCATGTGGGACCCTCCTCCGGTGGCCGGGAAGCAGCCGGGGATCGAACTGGCACCGCAGAGGCTTCGGGCAGCTTCGCAACCCAGCGCTCAACCGCTGCGCCACCGGGGAGGCCCCAGAGCCCCCGGTTCTACATGGTGTAGCTTCTAGTTTTAGTCTGGGGTTGAACCCTCACGGGTTCAAATATGCAGCCAAGTTGTGACCCACTGCCCAAGCCTTTCCACACAAGTGTGCACCCCGCAGAGGCCGCATATGGGGGTGGCTAGAAGTGCAGGCGCTCATGCCCCTCCCCAGGCCGCTGGTTCAAATCTGCATTGTAACAAGGCTCGCAGGCGGCTTGGGGACTCTCGAAGCTTCCTGCTGCTCTGGAGCGCTCTCCCGCATCTGGTCTGTGTCACAGACGGCGGAGACTCTAGCTGTACACCAGCGAACAGCTGTGATGTGGAGGGTTCTCAGGTGCTGGCACCTAAGGGGTATTTAGGAGTGCGGTGTTCAGGCAAGTCAGCTCAGGTTCCCGTTGCTGCCGTGAGCCAGCTCTGGGAGCTGCTGCCCTTAGGGCTGTCGCTGTTGGCTGGGGACAGTGCTGGCCGGGGTGGGCATGGTGGGTGGGCGAGCCTGCTCGGGGAGCTTGCAGCTTTCCCAGCCACAGGACTCGTGTCCAAGCCCGTCTCTGAAACACAAAAGAAGGAAGCGCGTCCTCAAGCAAAGACAGCGATGGGAAGGCCTGGATGGGTGTGGGCAGAGGGTGGGGTGACCATTGGGGATCAGCACTCTCAGCAGAGAAGAAAGGCGTGGTGCCTAACGTGCCAGGTGGCTTGGGGGAGAGGTGTCAGAACAGAGGCGTGAGAGTCCAGCAGCATCCAGACCTCCCCGGGTCATTCCAGATGTTGCCACAGAGGAGACTGAAGCGGGAGGATGGCATTGCCCTCGGGGGACACCCTGCGTGAGGGCCCTGGAGCCGGTGGCCTGCTCCCGACTGCCGCCTCTGCTGCTGCGGAGAGGGTCAGGCACAAGCTAACTGCATTTTTGTCTCCTCTGCAAGTGGGAGTTCAAACTGCCCGGGAGTGACTGTGACGATGCGTTAGCCATGCCCGGCACGCGGGACGTTGCCTCTAAGTCAAGTTCGTGGTCGTCGTCGTCGTTCCCAGGCACTGTCACTTCCGCTGCAGCTAGTTTTTTGGGTTTTGCTTTTCAGGAGGGCAGAGTGTTCGAGAAGTCCGCAGTGCTGTGAACACGCTGGTGGGGTGGCTTGGCTCCGTGGGCTGGAGCGCCGAGCGTCCCTGGCCGGCCTGCTCGCGAGCGCATGTTTTCTGAATCATTGCAGGACCTGCCTGACGTGCAGGAGCTCATCACGCAAGTGAGGTCGGAGAAGTGCTCCCTGCAGGCGGCCGCCATCTTGGGTGAGCCCCTCCCCTCTCAGCCGCCTTCCTCTTCCCTCCTACCCCTGTGCTCCAGTTGAAGGGGAAAGGGGTTGTCTCGGTTACTCTGTCAGGTTCTGATTTGTTCCTGCCATATCAAGCATCAGGTTGTACGAAAGACCCGAGGGAAACGCTGTCCCTGTCCTCCTCCCTGGTGGTGTCTCCCGCTGTCTCCCTCGGCTGGGCTGACAGCGTGGGTTCTGGGGTTGTGCGTCTGTCTGTCTGCGCTGCTACTCAGCAGAAGTTGGGCCCACGCGAGCCCCACATGCGGGCCACGCTTGCTCTCTGGATTTAGGGCTGACAGGTGTGTTGAGCGCCCCTTGTGACTGTAGCGTTTAAGTCCCTGTTCTGACCGAATCGCGGTGGAACTTTCAGATACAAGTGACTCCCATCAAACAGAGATCTCCTCCCAAGTCAAGGACAACAAGGTGAGTCTGGGCTCTGACTTCGGGGAACCCAGGGCTGGGCCTCCGCGCTCACTGTGGAGCAGAAGCCCTCGGCTCTGAGGCGGTGCCTCGTTGTCTTCTTTCATTTTACTCGGAGGCTGGCGGCTGCCTGTGGGAGGGCGTGGGCTGCGGTCCACGTGGTCCCGGCAGGGCTGAGGAGCCTGCGGTGACAGGCGGCACCCCTGGCCCGGACCTCTGTCTTGAGCGTCCAGCGGGCTGCCCCCAACCCCAGCCCCTCGTCCTCTCCCAGGCCTCAGTCTCAGCTGTAGAGGGGGCACGCGGGAGCGCATTTACACGCACGCATTTGGTCAGTGAGCGCGCGGGAGTCCTGAGCTGGGCCATCTCGCTTAGAGCCACGTCCCGCCCCTCGCCTGTGACTGACAGATTCTTCCCTTTGATTTGACCTCCAGCCTCTGGTCGAACGGTTTGAGACTTTCTGCCTGGACCCTTCCCTCGTGACCAAGCAGGCCAGCCTGGTGCACTTCCCCCCGGGATTCCAGCCGGTCCCTTGCAAGCCCCTGTTCTTCGACCTGGCCCTCAACCACGTGGCTTTCCCTCCCCTCGAGGACAAGCTGGAGCAGAAGACCAAGAGCGGCCTCACTGGGTACATCAAAGGCATCTTTGGATTCAGGAGTTAACCGGCTCCACCTTGGGGGCCGGGGGAGTTACTGACTCTTCTGTGTTGTGAGAAAAGGCCGGCAAGTTCCGTGACATTAAATCCAGGTCTGCACTGGCCCGGGGCGGGCATGTACCCGCTGGGCCCGCGTCCCCCGTCCGTGACTGTGCACTTACGTCCCAGCCAGTGTGCTCGCGGGCCTGCTTGTCCTCTGCCCAGGGATGGGGCCCCTCTCCCACCTCCCGGGCGAGGGGCCGCCGCGCCTGGGCCTGTGGAGCCGGGGCTGTAACCTTCAGTCAGTAGAGTGTTCAAGGTCCACGCCGGGCGCGGGTGGGGGCTCGTTGGGTCGCGTTTCTCCAGTTCTGCGCCTCAGAAGGGAGCTGCTCCTCTGGCGAGCGCGGCCCCATGCCGTGTGTCCGTGACAAGGAGACGCGGGCGGTGCCCCGGGATACGGTCAGCCTTACTCCCCTCTCCTCCAAGTGAAAGTCAAGAAGTTTCAGAACAAGCAAAGAGCTCTATTTTTAGAAGAAATATGTTACGCTCACAAGTGATGAAAACAAATCTTATATTAAAAGGCGAAGATGCTGGAGACTCTGCCGTTTTTTACACGCCCTCGCTCACGCCGCCCTGCGCTGGGGGCCTCGCCGCGCGGTCCTGGCTCACGGGGTGGGAGCGGAGGAGGCACCGTTTCTAAGGCGCTTCCTGCCTGGGTTTCGGTGCCGTGGTAGTTCCATCACCTTCCTTCCTTCCCGCTCAGTTCTAATTTGTGTTATTAGTAACCGTCACAACAGCACGTAAGAAAGCGAGGAATGGAGGGGATTTAAATAGATGGACCCGAAACCCCTGCATCCCTTTGGAAATAAAAGCTCACGGGATAGAGGATTTGCCACCGGAGGGTGTCTGCTAAAGTGCAGGACCCGGGGCCTCCCTGGGGGCCTAGGGGTTAAGTCTCAGCACTGTCACCACAGCGGCCTGAGGCCAGCCCCTGGCCAGGGAGCAACCCACAGGGCACGGCAGACCTCTCCTGCCTCGCCCGCTGCTCCCCTCAGCAGTGGATTTCAGGAGATCTGCCTGTTCTGCTCCCCACTCTGTCTATGGTGAATCCTCTCACTTCTGGCACCTCTGGCCTGCACCCCAGTTCTACGCAAAAATAAAAATTTTTTTTTTTTGAAGTGCAGGGCCCAGGAGTGGCCTGAAGAGCAGGCCAGCGGTCAGATGTCTGAGCAGGCTGCGTCAGGGGGGACAGGTGAGGGGGCGCCTCATTTCCCCGAGGGCTGCAGAGGGGGTGCCAGACTTCGAAGGTGGTGGGAAGTTTGCAAAGTGGCTGCTTTCTTAGAATCCAGTCTTGTCAAGGACTCTCGGGTCATGACCTCCCCAAGATTTGCTGTCGGCCTCCAGAATCACGTTCCAATGTGCCGTGTAGGCCTGCGGAGCGTCACCGAGGCAGCACGCGTGCTGCGTCCAGGTCCCCTCAAGCCCAGGTCTGTCCTCCAGCAGACGCTTGACCATTGACCCACCTTCCCTTTCCTTGCCCAGTGCCACACAATGGAAGGGTATTCTGCCTCCCTCCAGAAACAGAGCACGGGATGCAGTGGAGGCCCAAGGCTCAGTCAGCATCCCTGGTGGACTGAGGTGGTGGTGGCTCCATTCCTGCCCCACCTCTTCAGGGTGCTCAGCAGCACCAGACTGCCATCCGGGCTTCTGCGTCTCGCTACCCTCTGCAGAGCTGCCCTCCAGTGCCAAGGGCCCAGTTCAAGGCCCATGCGGCCAGTTCTCCAACCTGCTCTGGGGGCAGCCCTGCTGGAGCACCCTCTGCCACCCTTTGGGGTGATGCCCCTCCGTCTTGCTCTCAGTCCCGAATCCAGGCTCTGCCATTTCTGAGCTGCTTCTGTGGCCACACTGCAAACTGCTTCCCTCCTGGGCCCCATCAGTGGCTCCGCATGGCGGTGGCCGCCGTCAGCCAGCGAGGCCGTGACAGGCCATGTTGAGCATTACAAGCACGTATTTACCTAAGATGGACCTGGCAAGGCCGACCTTCCCGGTCAGTTCGTGTGTCCCTTCACAGCAGATCCTGGATGTTAAGCATTAAGCAGGCCGTGTCCCGGGGGTGGAGCACCAAAAGCAGGACCCCGTCCTGCCCTCAGGCCTGGGGAGCCACACGCCACCTCGTGGGAACTGGTTCCGGTGCCCGGCTACTCCTGGAAGGATTCACAGGAGTAGCCCTGGGGACACAAAGGCCCCCCCCCCCCTCCCCAAAGAGCCGGCCACACTCGAAGGCTGAGGTGTGCAGCCTGGTGTGTTCAGTGGGTCTTTGCTGCTCTTGGGCTCGCCTCCCTCCCCCAGGGGGGCCTCTGGGGTGACTGCAGGTGTTGACCCTGGGAGTCTCCGGCTCTGGACCCCAGGGGTGAGGAGAATGCTCGACTCGGTTTTGAGAGCAACTGGGCCAGTGACTGCTTTCCGACGGGCTGGGGAGCAGGGGTGACTGGCAATCCTGGGGGAAAGCTGGCGTTTAGTTAACAGGCGGAACGTTGAATGTCGGGCCAAAAAGACACCATTTCAAGTTTGCCACCTTTGACCTTGTTGGTTCTGTTTGGGAGCAAGCGAGGCACGGAGGCGGTGGCTGGGGCTCGCGGGCTCTCCCCCTCCCCCCCCGGCCCCCCTTTTCACACGCATTCTTGCCGTGAGGCCAAGTGGGAATTATTAGATTTTTTGTGGAATGAAACTGCCGAGCTTGGTTCTCCTCAGGTGACCGCTGAGCCTGTCCCGGCTCAGCGTGGCCCCTTCACCCGCGTGGCCCTGGACCATCCGCCCGAAGCTCAGGCCATGACCCCCTCTGGAAATGGACTTTGGGGGGCGGCGCTCTGCCCGCTCACGGCCATCGCCGCGGCCATGCCAGTTTTCACACGCTCGGCGTCAGTGATGACTCGGAGCTGATCAATCACAGAATCCCCAGAGCACACGGTGCCTGCGGCCTGGAAAAGCTTGGGGGTCCCCAGCGGGCTCGGAAACGTCCAAAGATAGCAAAGATACGTGTTGGCTCTGGTTTTTGTGTTTTTTTTTTTCGGAAGACACTTGCCAGAGACTGTCCCGGGGGCTGAGCACTGACGCGGGCGTGTGGGAAGCTTCCCCCTCCCTGGCTGTCAGGAGCCCCACAGCCCAAGCTGCTGTCACAGCCCACCCGCTGGGGTGCCGGTCTGAGGGCCCGCCCCGTGGCTGCACCTGCCTTGTGCCTCATGGGGAAGGGAGCCCGGCGCCTCTGTGTCCCCGACTTCGGCAGATGGTCTCGCTCACCGCCGGGAACTAGGACTGTGCGCGGGAGGAGAAGCACATCCTTCCGCCCTCCCGGCCTTGCCAGGGCCGCCTCGAGAGGCAGGGCAGTCAGGCAGGCGCCGGCCTGAGAGCTGGCGCTGCGTGTGGGTCGTGCCCCCTGCGGGAAGCGTGTCCCGGCAGGAGCGCAGAAGCCCAGGCCGGTGGGCGCGTGGGTCTCTGCTCGGGGCTCACTGGCCTGTGACCCCGCTGGCTGTTGGACCTCCCCGTGGGGGCGTCACCCGTCAAGCGTCAAGCGGGGTGTCTATGGGAAAACGTGCAGAGGACTTAGGTCAGAGCAGGCGTTGGGCAAGTGGGCGCTTCCCATTGCCCCCGCGTGGGTGGGAGAGGGTGGCCTGAGACGAGCTTGCAGCTCCCTCCCCTGCCTGGGCTCCCAGCTCTGACCGAGCCTCCAGGCGAGGGAACCTGGTCTGTAGGAAGTTGCTTCTCGCCGTCCTCTTCGGGGAGGAAGCGCCCCCTCTGGGTCTGAGCCGAGTCCGCGGCGCGGGCTGCCCTCTGAGTCGGTGGGCCCAGGGTCCTTCCCAGCCAGCCTGCGCCTCCTCCGGACGGGCCCTGCCCTGCCTCCGGCCTGCCCGCGCCTCTGGCGGCGTGTAGGGGCCACAGGGGAGTCCAGCGAGCCGCAGCGGGCTTCGCGGCTCCCGGCACTGGAGACCAGGTAGCAGGCCGCCGCGCCGTCCTGAGGATGCCGCAGCCCTTGCGCTGTGCAGGGAACCCTTTCCTGCCGCAGGCGGGGAGCGGGACTTGGTCCCACGGCGCCCGGCCACGCGTCAGGACCACGCACTCTCCCGCTGCCCTGCCCGGTGCTTGACCTCCTGAGAGGCTGGCCAGGTCGCCCCCACAGTAGGTGCCCAGACCTAGCTATTACGGTGACTCACTGTTTTCAAGGTGACAGACCTAGAGCCCCTGGGCTACTCGGGGAGACCTGGAGCCCCGAGTGGGAATGGGCAGCCAGACTTCTGGAACGCAGGGGTGGCCAGAGCCCCAGGCGCTGCCCTGTCCCGGAGGTGTGGGCTGTGCCAGCCCTGGCCCCACAGGTGGATGAGCCAGCGGGCCCAGAGCCGGGGCAGAGGCCATTCCTAGGGAGGGACAGACACCCAGGGCAACCTTGCCCTGGACTTTGCCTTGCCCACCGGCTCACGACGTGAGACTCCTGAGGTCCCCCCTGTTTTCTGTCTTCCCGTGTAGGGTGGGGAGCGCCACTCTCAACAGAGGCAGGGTTTGTGGTTTGTTCTAGTTGCTTCCTCTAGACCCTCCCTGTAAAAGGCCCCAAAGAGCTGGCAGCCCCTCCTGCCCGTCCTGCTCCAGCCAGGCCAGCTGCCTCTCTCAGCCACCTTCAGCTTATCTTTTTTCAGGCTTTCTGGGAGCGTCGCAGCCCTAGGAGCCTCTCCCAGAGCCCCCTGGGGACTCCCGGCGTGGGCCCCCTCTCCGCTGGGTGCCTGCACGCTGGAGGTTGTCCCCTAGCTCCTCCTCCAGTCCAGCCCCGCCGGCGGAGGGCTCCTCCATGGACAGGGGCATCAGACGAGCGGTCGTGGACCAGCTCGGCGAGCCTGTGGGGACCTGGCAGGTGACGGCTCCCACTGGCTGGGGCAGGGAGGACAATGCCCTTCCCTGCAGGGGCCTCTGAGCTGGAGGAGAACGTGGGCCGTTTGAGCCCTGGCAACCCTCCAAAGGGCCACCCTGTTGCCCAGCTGTGTGCGTGCAGGAGCTCGGGCTGCCTTCAGCTGGGATGGCCGTCCAGCTCGGGCTCAGCCCCTCACCAGCCGCCTGGTGCTCTGGGCACTGGGTGTGCATAAGTGGGCCCTGAAGCCATGGCTGCCTCGGGCTGCAGGGAGCTTGGGATCTGTTCATCTGAAACCTCTCAGCCCAGAGGAGGAAGTAAGCGCCAGGCCAGGGGAAGGCCTCCCGGCTGGACGAGGAGCCAGGTCCCGGGCCTCCTGCCTGGTTGTCAGAGAGGCGACGTGGCAGGGGTGAGGTCTGAGAAGCCTGGCCGTGGGCGCCCGCCAGCTCCCCGTCACAGCTGCCCGCTAGAATCACAGTGCGAGCACAGATGCCAGCCACGTCTGTCATTTCCACTTTTGTCACAGTTTTCATTTTGTGTTTTAAATTCCTCTTTCATTCTTTTAAAAATGAAATAGTTCCCCCCTTATTCTTTATTCTCTGGTGACACATCTGTCATTTTAATCTTTCTAACAGCCATTTTGAAAAAAAAAAAAGCAACAAACAGGTGAAATCAATATTTTTATCAGCTTTTAAAAACACATTTCAAGCCTCCCTGGTGGCGCAGGGGGTTGAGCAAAGCGCTGTGAAGCTGGCCGCGGCCTTTGCGGTCCAAGTTCGATCCCTGGCCGCCCGGGAGCACCCCACATGGCGCGGCAGACCTCTCTGCTCCCCTCAGCAGTGTATATCGGCACATCTGCCTGTTCTGTTCCCCACTCTCGTGGGTGAATCTTCTCACCCACCACAACTCTGGCCTTTATTCCACTTCTAAAAAAAAAAATAATAATAAAACACATTTCACTTAACTCGATAGCATTTAAAATATTAATGAGAATTTAGCATCTTTTGTTCATACTTAGTCTTTGAAATCTGGTTTGAATCTTAGCCTGGCAGCACCTCTCCATTCAGAGGGGCTGCATGTCCCCCAAAAGCCGCCTGTGGCCGTGGGGACTGTGGGGACCGTGGGGACCTTGAGGAACAGCAAACCCCATCTGGACACTGTATGAATGACTCATACATATAAAAAACCCAGTGTCTTTCCAGATGATTCTGCAAAGGCTGTGGAGCCAGGGAGGAAGCCTAGCCTCTCTCTCCCTTCTCCTGGACAGAGTCGGGGAGTCGAGCTGCCTGGGAGGCCCAGCTGGGCCTGTTCCTGCATGGCACCTCTTATCTGGGGAGCCGGGGTCCGATTTGCTGCTGAGTTAGTCACGCCAGGAATTCAGCTCTTGTTTTTTTTTTTTTTGTTTTTTTTTTTTTTGCAGTGAATCAGTCCGTGTTCATCTCCGGGGCGTGTGAGGGGTGCCAGTAGTTTATTTCCAGGAGGGCTTCTGCAGACAGGAGGCGAAGCTCAGCTCCCCCAGATCCAGCCTGGCTGCCGTGCCCCCCCAACCCGCCTGCCCCAGGGCCTCAGCCCTGTCCCACACCCCGTCCTCCTGGAGCCTCCCTGGCTGCGCCTGCTCCTCGGGCTGGAGTCTGGACATCTGGCCCAGGCCCCCACCTGCCTGACCCAGGAGGCAGCCCGGAGATGACAGGGAGGCGGGCGCCAGCTGCCGCCGCCCTCCCGCCCGGCTCTCCTGGGCGGTTGCCATCTTGCTCAATCTCAGAGATAAGGGAGAGGGCTGACTCGGCCCTGAGGTGCAGGCCCGGGAGGGCTGGCCACTGAGACAAATGGCCCCTTCCGAGAACAGTTGATTGCAGGTGTGCTGCTGCTGGTGAGAAGAAAATTGTCGGCTGGGCCTGTCTTCTCTGGCTCATCTCTTGTCGCCTCGGCTGGAGCGGGGGCCTCCCTGACCCCTGGTGCTGTCCTGTCTGTCAAGCCTCCCACTGCGCTCCCCGCCCCGGTGCCACCGTCGCCCGTCACTGTCCCCACGGGCGGACCCTGTGCCCCCTCCAGGCTCAGCACAGTGCTTTGTGCATGAGGTGCAGCCAGAAGAGGCTCCGGCCACTTCCGTCCCAGTGGGCAGGGGCCAGTCCCGGCTCTGCCCCAGCTCTCAGCCCCTGCGGCCTGCGTCCCTGCCCCTCCAGCCCGCCGGCCACCAACCCCGGGATGACTCCAGCTGTGTCTGGAGAAGGGGCTTCGTGAGCTGGGCGGAAGCAAAGCACCTGGAGCTGGGGGCCTGGCAACTTCCCACGTCAGGCTCCTCTGGGGGGGCAGCTGCCGAGAGGAGCCCCCCGCCCAGCAGTGGGGTTAGAGGCCAGCGCCAGCGCCGCGTGGGCCGCTCTATCTGACTTCAGAAAAGCCACCAGGGGCCACTTGTGGGCACAGGGTGGGGAGAGCGGGGAGTAGGAGCAAGTAGGCAAGCCCAAGGGCAGCGGGTTTCCGGGGGGGCTCAGCCAGAGCCAGGCTCGGCAGCACCTGAAGGCTGACGCTCGCCCCGGGGGGAGAGGTCTGGGGAGTCCCTGCCTCTCCCGAGCGGATCTGAGGATTTGAGAATCCAGTGAGGTGCCTTCTACGGCATCGGATTCCAGAGCCCAGGGAGGTGGGGCGACGCTGAATCAGCCGGGAAGATGGGTAGCAGGACGACCGGTCATGGACTGGGGGGGCCTGCTGGGTGGTGCCCACTTATAAAATGTGCCCGCCTCGGGAAACGCCCTCCAGCTGCCCGGTCACGTCGGGGGAACACAGAGCGGAGATCTGGACGCCTGGCGGTGAGCAGAGCGCCAGGGCCCACCCACCACCCTGGGCAGGCAGGGGGCCCACCCACCCCCGCGGGCCTGCCTCTAGCAGAAAGCGCCGCGCTGGCGGGAAACGTCTATTAACCCCGAGCCGGAGCGCTGAGGCCGGGCTCTGTGGCGCAGCCTGCAGAGCGGGGTGCGTCTGTCTGTCCGGAGCCCCGGCCCTCCTGGCCCCAGCTATTTCCCCATCTGGGCGTGATCCCTGCCCGCTCCCTCTGGGGTGTGGGTGTAACAAGTCCAGACCTTCTCCGGGAGTCGGCAGGCTTGGGTGCCCCGCCCTCGGGGCTGCGCCCTTTCCTCCCAAACTGGTTGTGCAGGAGCGGGTGTGAGTGTGGGTGCATGCGCGCCGCCACCCGCTAGCTGCCTCACCTGCAGGGAGGGGCTCCCAGAAACTGCCTTCCCGGTGCCCGGCCACCCCGCCTCGCCAGAGCCCAGCTGAGCAGCCCGCGAGGACGCACGCCCGCCGCCCGCCGCCCGCGCCGGAGCCAGCCTAAGCCGGCACCTGCTTCACCACCATGTTCAAGGGGCTGAGCAAAGTCTCCCAGGGGAAGGGGTCCCCCAAGGGCTCCCCGGCCAAGGGCTCCCCCAAGGGCTCTCCCAGCAAGCACAGCCGGTGAGTGGGGGCCGGGGGCTGGGGGGGTGGGGTGGTACCAGGCCTTGGTACCCCAGCCACCTGGAGGCGCCAGCCGGAGCTGCCAGAGCTGGCATTTGGTGTCCTGAGGCTAAAGGGCCTGGGGCTGGATTCTCCAGCTTCAGCCCTGGCGGGAGGCCAGGAACAGCCCGGAGCTGCCCATGTCCTCCAGGGGCTCGAGGGCGCCGTTGAGGCCACACTGCAGGCGTCTCGCAGGTCAGGGCCCGAGCGGCTCCTTCCTCCCCAGGAGGCTGGACACCGGGGCACCTGGCTCCGCTTCTCACTCTGCTCTCAAGCCTCCGCGTGGGCCCGGGAGATCCCAGGAGTCTGGGCACAGAGTGGGAGGGGGCCCTGGTGCGGGAGGCAGACTCTGCCCCCTCCGCCGAAGCCCAGCTGCCCCACACGGCTCGTCTCAGCCTTGAGAGTTTGTTACAGGGTTGGGGTGATTCCTTTACTGTGTGGGTGTGCAGCGTGTGGAGGGGGTACAGTGGGGCAAGGGGAGAGGCCTTGGGACTATGGTGCCCTCAGAGCCCGCCTCAGTTTACCCAGTCACCTCCCACCCACCCCCTGCAGACAGGCCTTCTTCCTGCTCACTGGCCTTCCGCCCCTCTGCGGGGCGTGGGTGGGAGCAGCTCACCTGGGGTCCTGGGTGGAGATGGGAGGACAGACGAAAGGCTTATTACCCCGATAAAGATCAGAGTGAGACACTGAGTCTGTGCTTCTGGGCGGGCAGGGAGACAGCAGTTAAGACCTGTTGGGAGTGACCTGTCCTCCCCTGGGCACCTGGGCCCTGTCCAGGCTGGAGTGAGCCCCTCCCGATGGGAGCAGCTGTCCCTGGAGGCTCAGGACCCTGGCCCCAGGCGGCTTCCCGGGGGGGATTGCTCCGCCATGGCCCCCCTCTGACTGCAGCCCCCAATAGGGCTCATCATTCCCTCATGCAATCCACTCATTGAGCACATAGTTATTGAGCACCTACTGTGTGCCAGGACTGTGGAGGTGTCCCTGCCTTCCTGTCACTTACATCCTAGTGGAATAAAAACAAACATCTACATGTGCTGACCCTGCCCAGGTTCTGTCCCGGGGGCACTTCAGAGGGCGCTTAGTTCTCGTAACTCACCAACAGTGTGCTGTGAATAAGTTAAAGCCCCGCTCTAGAGAGGGAACCTCAGGCACAGAGAGGTTAAGTCACTCGCCCAAGGCCACAGGGCACTAGAGAGGGAGAAGGATCAAACCCTGGCTGTCAGGCCACAGAATTCCTCTAGACTGCGTCCTTGCTGGCGCGGTCTTCTGCCTGGGGACTCGTACTTTGAAGCTGTCCGCTTCCCCAGGACCATCACCTCACAGCATGCCCTGCTTGAAGAGCTTGTGCCACTACCTGTATTAGGGCTGCTTGGCCTTCTAGGCCCTGGAAAGAGGGCTCAAGTGCACAGCAGGTGCCAACAGAGGTTGAGTGAGTGCACACAGCAGGTGCCTATAGAGGCTGAGTGCACACAGCAGGTGCCTATAGAGGCTGAGTGAGTGCACACAGCAGGTGCCTATAGAGGCTGAGTGCACACAGCAGGTGCCTATAGAGGCTGAGTGAGTGCACACAGCAGGTGCCTATAGAGGCTGAGTGAGTGCACACAGCAGGTGCCTATAGAGGCTGAGTGAGTGCACACAGCAGGTGCCTATAGAGGCTGAGTGCACACAGCAGGTGCCTATAGAGGCTGAGTGAGTGCACACAGCAGGTGCCTATAGAGGCTGAGTGTACACAGCAGGTGCCTATAGAGGCTGAGTGCACACAGCAGGTGCCTATAGAGGCTGAGTGAGTGCACACAGCAGGTGCCTATAGAGGCTGTGTGGTGCACACTGCAGGTTCCGCGGAAAGGACCTTGGGAACCGGGCTGCTGACCTGTGACCTGGAGGGAGTCAGGTCCCAACCTGGGCTCTCAACAGGCCTGACGCTGCGTGGCTGGAGTGGAGCCTGGGCTGGGAGGACGTTGGGGCGGGGGGACATGTGCTGCCTCTGCCAAGGCCCAGCTGCTCGCAGGGATTAGCAGCCGCTGAGTGTGACTCACTGCCCTGGGGCTGCCCGCCCGCCCGAGGGCACAGCAGGTTGTTGGGCCGGGCCAGGAACTCACTGCCAGGACAGGGAGGTCGCCAGGGACCCACAAGTGGGGGGCAGTGCCACTTGTGGCCTGGGATTCCCCTGCAGAAACCACAGAGGTTCCCAGTCTGGTGTGCCTCCTTCCAGAGCAGTGCGCCTGGCAGTCGGGGCGGGCAGAGGGGTGGGGGCCCCTCTGGGTGGGTCAGCCCCGCCCGGGCGGAACAGAGGGCCCTTCACAACCCCGCCGCCCACTGTCCCCGCCACCCCCAGGGCCGCCACCCAGGAGCTGGCCCTGCTCATCTCCCGCATGCAGGCCAGCGCCGACCAGGTGGAGAGGGACATCCTGGAGACCCAGAAGAGGCTGCAGCAGGTAAGGCCTGAGGAGCAGGTGGCAGGGGCGCCAGCGCCAGCCACTCTGTGATGGTGAAGATGAGGCCGACCGGCCTAGCCCTTCCCCGGCTGCCCTCCAGGCTCTTGGAGGGAGTGGCCGGCCCCGGGGTACTCCCACCTGAGGGTTCAGGGTTCAGGGTCCCGGGCCTCCCCGGTGTCCTTGGGCCCGCCCCGCATACACCCTGGGTCTGGCCCTCCGCTGGTGAGGGCACCGAGGTGGACAGCGCAGCCAGGCCTCGGGTGGGGTCGTGTGGCCGTGCTGGGCAGTGAGGACGCCGCCCTGACCCACAGGACCGCGCGCGCAGCGAGCAGAACCAGGCCCTGCAGCACCGGCAGGAGGCCGGCCGCAACCTGAAGGAGGCCGAGGTGCTGCTGAAGGACCTTTTCCTGGACGTGGACAAGGCCCGGCGGCTCAAGCACCCGCAGGCCGAGGAGATCGAGAAGGAGTAAGCGGGAAGCTGAGCTGGGGGAGGGGCGCTGGCGTCGGGGCAGCCCCGGGCCGTCCCTGACCGGCCGCTGTGGCTGTCCCGCAGCATCAAGCAGCTGCACGAGCGGGTGACCCAGGAGTGCGCCGAGTATCGCGCCCTGTACGAGAGGATGGTGCTGCCGCCCGACATGGGGCCCCGGGTCGACTGGGCACGGGTGTTGGAGCAGAAACAGGTCAGGAGCCACCCCCAATATCGGAAGCCCCTCGAGCGGGTTGAAGTCACGCAGGGCACAGAGCTGCGCATCATCGGCCCCGACAGGGCTTGGACCTGTGGGCAGTGGGGGGTCTGGGCAGGGAGCGCGCAGACGGTGCAGTCAGGGAAGGCTTCCTGCTAGAGGAGGCAAGTGAAGAGGCTCAGAGGAGGAGGGCCCTGTGGGGTCGGGTGAAGTAGTGGACCTTCTAGCAAGAAGGAACAGAGGCTCCTGCACAGAGGAAGGCTGGAGAGGAAAGTGAGGTTACCTGGGCAGGTGGGCAGAGGTACTCTGAGCATCGGGGGAGCACTGGGCTCTGATGCCACAGCAGAAGAGGTGCCGTGCAGGGACAGAGCAGAGCGGGCGCGGGGCGTGGAGCCTGCTGGCGTCCAGGCAGCTGCTAGGCCGGGCGAGTGAGGAGGCCGAGCCGGGAGACTTTCAGAGCTGAGGCCCAGTGCAGGGGCCGGTGGCGCAGGGGCAGTCGTCGGTGACACCACGGCACTGGCCAAGGGCCCCTCTCCCGGGCGAGCTGCCTGGTCAGGGCACGTTCACCCAGGCTGCTCGCCAGCCTGCCCACCCTGCGCACGTGACCAAGCCTGCTCCTTAGGAGGGGGGTGGCGGGCACGGCGGCCGCAGCGCTGAGCCCGGCTCTTCTGCAGAAGCAGGTCTGCGAGGGCCAGTACGGGCCGGGCATGGCGGAGCTGGAGCAGCAGATCGCGGAGCACAACATCCTGCAGAAGGAGATCGAGGCCTACGGGCAGCAGCTGCGGAGCCTCGTGGGCCCGGTGGGTGAGCCCAGCCCTGTCCTCCAGGGTCGGGAGGACACAGCCAGCGGGGGTGGGTCAGGGCTCCCCCGCGCCTCCCCGCTCACTGGGCCTGCGTTTTCTCCCCCTGGCGAGACAGGACGCGACCACCACCCGGAGCCAATACCGGGACCTGCTGGTGAGCAGGGAGCAGAGGACGGCAGCCGGGGGGGCCGTGGAGGGGACGGGCGGCCTGGGGCCTGCACCCACTGGGCAGCGCCCGGAAGCCCTTCTCACGGCCCCTTCTCTCCGGCCGAGCGCAGAAGGCGGCCTCGTGGCGCGGGCAGAGCCTGGGCAGCCTGTACACGCACCTGCAGGGCTGCACGCGCCAGCTCAGCGCCTTGGCCCAGCAGCAGCGGCGCATCCTGCAGCAGGACTGGAGCGACCTCATGGCGGACCCCGCGGGCGTGCGGCGGGAGTACGAGGTCGGCGGGGCGCAGGGGGCGGGGTGCCGGGGAAGGGCGTGCTCACCCCCCTCTCGTGCATCTCACCCGTCTCACCCTCACCCCCAGCACTTCAAACAGCACGAGCTGCTGAGCCAGGAGCAGTGCGTGAACCAGCTGGAGGACGACGGGGCGCGCATGGTGGAGCTGGGGCACCCGGCCGTGGGGCCCATCCAGGTGCCAAGGCCCACGTGCTGCCAGGGAACCCCACTCCCTCCGTTGGGGGGCCCCAGGGAGGCTGGGAAGAGGGAGACAGGGCCCAGGTTGGGGCGGGCGGGCCAGGGCAGGGCAGGACCCAGAGCTGCCCGCTGCCCCCAGGCCCACCAGGAGGCCCTGAAGATGGAGTGGCAGAACTTCCTGAACCTGTGCATCTGCCAGGAGAGCCAGCTGCAGCACGTGGAGGACTACCGCAGGGTGAGGCGCGTGCCAGCAGGGCGGGCGCGGCACGGGGGCGGCCCAGGGCCCCGCCCAGGCTCAGAGACACCACAGAGACCCGATGCCATCCACAGCAGGGGGTGCCCACCCGAGGTGTCCCCGCGCCTTGAGAGAAACCGAGGAGTTTCTCCTTCCTTACTCTCGCCGGCTGCAGGGCACGCCCGTGTGTCCATGACTTCACCGCGCCCGGCTGCAGGGCCCCGTCAGCGGCCCCGACCCCGGGGGTTTCCGGGACGCGCACCCCAGCTTCCGCTCTGGCTCTGGGCTGGGAGGAGAGTCCGCCGGGCGCCTGGGTGGCCTCCCAGGGTCCCAGGAGACGGCGCTTTCCGCGCGGGCAGCACGAGCGAGGGGCTTATGGCTCTCAAAGAAATTCAGTTCCGTAAACCAAAGAGCCCTTGGCAGAGACGCCCGTGAGCGGGTCCCGCTGCCCGGGAGAAAGGGCCCCAGCGCGCACCCAGCTGGGCGGCAGGATCGCGGGCCAGGGGCCTGTCCTCGGCCCCCCGCCCTTGACCGCCCGCCCGCTGCAGTTCCAGGAGGAGGCCGACGCGGTCAGTCAGACCCTGGCGAAGCTCAACGCCAGCCTCAACACCCAGTACAGCCCTGCCCCCGGGGGCGCCCCGGGCACCCTCACAGAGCTGCTGTGTCGGCTGGAGGTGAGGGCCCCTCCCGCCACCTGCACCCCCCTCCCGGGGCTTGACGGTCTGGGCCCAGGCCTGGGAGCAGAGGGGGGTCTTCTCCAGTGGCGGGGGTGGGGTGGTCTGTTACCAGCAAGTCCTTTTCTCTGGGCCTCAGTTTCCTCATGCGCGCTGAGAGAGCTGACTCAGGCCCCTCCAGCTCCCGCTCCGGGGCGGCAGACCCCAGGATCCCGGCCCCCGGGGAGGCGTTCCTTGACTGTGCCGACTTGGAGCCTGCCCTTGCAGACGCCAGACCCCGGGCCCCTGTGGGGTGGGGTGGGGTGGGCCTGACCCGAGCCCCCACGGCCTGGGCTCCCCGCAGGCAGAGGAGAAGCAGCTGGCTGTGGCCGAGAGGACCGTTGGGGACCTGCAGCGGCGGAGCCGGGAGGTGGCGCCTCTGCCCCAGCGCAGGAACCCGCCGCAGAAGGCTCTGCACGTGGACAGCATCTGTGACTGGGACTCGGGAGAAGTAGGGACTCACCCGCCGCCCCCACCCGGGCCCCGCCCCACTCCCAGCCCCCCACGCCTGGGCCCCGGCCCACACACCTGCCCCAGCCCTGCTCTGCCCAGGCCTTATCCAGCACCCCTAGCCCCAGCTCCTGCCCCGGGTCCTGTCCGCACCTGCCCTGTCTCCAGCCCCTGCCCCGTCTCGGCCTTCACGCGCCCCACCGGCCCCCAGGTGCAGCTGCTGCGGGGGGAGAGGTACCTGCTGCTGGACAACACTGACCCGCACACCTGGGCGGTGCAGCGCCCTGGCGGGGAGAGCAAGCGCGCCCCGGCTGCCTGCTTCTGCATCCCGGCTCCGGACCCCGAAGCCCTGGCCAGGGCCTCCAAGTGAGCGGGGACACCAGGAGCGGCACGAGGCTGCGGGCCCAGACCAGGCCCCGGGGTTGCCGCCGTTCCCTGCCCGCAGACCCCTGCCCGCTCGTTGGCCTTGGCGGTGCCCAGCTGGTGCAGGGAAGGAGGGAGGGCTCGCTTCTCTGATCCCCCGCTCCCTCCAGGCTGACCTCGGAGCTGCAGGCCCTGAAGCAGAAGTTGGCCGCCGCCCGGAGTCGCCTGAAGTCCAGCGCAGCGGAGCCCCCGCGGCCGGGTCAGCAGGGTACATGGGACTGGCCAGGGAGTGGGGGTGTGGATACTGAGGAAGGAGAGTCCTGGGGGCAGCCCAAGGGCAGGGGTGGCCCTGAATGGGGGGGTCCAACTGCTCAGGGACCTCCTCCTGGGCTGGCAAGCTCCTGGGTGGCCCGTCCCTCAGACCTGAGTAGGCCCTGGACCTTCACGGCCCCCTCGCCCCCAGGTGCCACTGGCTCAGCCCCAGCCGACCCACAGGCCCAGCAGCTCTTGACACAGATGACCGGGCTGCACGGGGACCTGGGACAGCTGGAGAAGCAAGTGCTGGGCTGGGCGCGGGCCCCCCTGAGCCGCTCCACACCTGTGGAGGACCTGGAGGGCCGCATGCAAAGCCACAAGGTGGGTGAACCGGGGAGGAGCGCGGGGGAGGAAGGAAGCCAACGGGCCACCACAGGGAGCAGGTGGCGGAAGGGCCTGGGCAGGGGAGCTCCGCTGACCAGCTGTGTGGCCTTGGACATCAGGTTAACCTCTGAATCTTGGGGTCCCCATCCCCCAAAACAGATAAAATAATAGCTAGCTCCTCTGGTTGTCCTGAAGGAGAAACGTGGTGACTCCAGGAGGAGTCAGCTCAGGCAGGGTCCAAAGTCATGACCCTGTGCCCCGAACCTGGGGGGTGTCCTGGTGAGGGTCCCCAGGAGGACCTGGAGCATCTTGGGGTGATTCCTCCTGCCTTGGGAGGCTGGGCAGGCCAGGGAGGGGTGAGAGATGAGGAACCCGCCCACAGGGGTTCCAGCCTGACCAACATGACCCCAGAAGAAGGCCTTCTCTGCGCGGTAATAGCGGAGGCCACCCCTTCCCCACACCCGGGTGGGGGGCTCCAGGGGGTATGTCCTTCCAAACCGGCGTCTACTCAAATGTATTGTTCGAGGTTGGTTTTCAGACACTTGAGCCATGTCGTTCACATTCTGGCGCGACCCTGCCATTCTGGTGCGACCCTGCCCAGCTGCTCCTGTAGCTGGGCCTGTGGGGGGGTGTCCAGAAGGAGGATGAATGTCCGGGGTTCCACCCGCAGGTTGGGCCCTGGGAGGCTGACCTTGAGATGGCGATGAGGCCGCAGGGCAGTTATTAGGGAGTCTCGTGGGCCCGACCCCTGCGGGTGGGGGGAAGCAGGAGGGGAGAGCAGGCCGGCGGAGGCCTGCGCTGGCCCACGTGCTGGAGCAGGGCGGGGCTGGGCCTCTGTACCCCACCTTAAGTCATGCGTGGCCCAAGCTGTCCCCTGGGCTGCCCCAGGTCACGGCCTCTCTCGGATCCTCAAAGTCCCCAAATTGGTCCTTGATGTCACGAAAGGTCCAGGTTGAAGTCAGAGCATCTGCCCCATAAAGGGTACTGGGGTCCCGCGGAAGCCCAGTTAGCCGGGCGGGTGGGCAGTGGCGGGCGGGGCGGGGCGCAGAGCAGGGAGCGTAGGGAGTGGGGAGTGAGTGACTGATCAGAGGACAAACACAGTAACCCCACGTGGACAGAGCTGGGGCGGTGCCGCCTGCCCTGGAGCGACAGGGCAAGGACCTCGGGTTTTGTGAACCACCAGGGCTGTGACAGGAAGCCACAGGGGGTGATGGCCCGGCTCCGCTGACACCCAGGGCCTTGCTTCACTGGCCCACCCCCGTCATTCTGTAGAAGAAGCCACTGAGGGTCAGAGGCTGGACTGCCCGAGGTCATGCACACAGGAGCCCCGGGGCCAGGCTGTCCCCAGGTCCCTGGCCTCGCTGGAGCATCTACCCGGCCTCTGGGGCAGAGTAGGGTGGACCTCAGGAGGGTGGGGTGCACCCGCCCACTCAGAGCAGAGACCCTGATCCCACCCCGCCCGGCCCAGGACCTGGCCCAGCGGCTGCAGCGCCTGGGAGCAGAGAAGGAGGCCGCCCAGCGGGAGTGCGAGGAGTTCCTGTCAGCCAGGCCCGTGGGCCCCGCCGCCCTGCAGCTGCCGGTGGCCCTCAATGACGTCAAGAACAAGCACAGCGACGTGCAGGCTCTCTGCAGCCTCTATGGGGAGAAGTGAGTGCTCGGGCGTGCCCTCCAGGATGGGGGTGGCCCAGGTGTGGCCCAGGGGTCTCTGATCCTCAGTCTCCTCCTGGCAGAGCCAAGGCTGCCCTGGGTCTGGAGCGACAGATCCGGGATGCTGACAAGGTCATCCGAGGCTTCGAGTCCACCCTGGCGAAGGAGCCCCCCATCCCTGCTGCCCCGGGCGCCCTGCAGGAGAGGGTTGGGGAGCTGCAGGTGAGGGACCAGGCCACCTGCCAGGGTGGGGGTGGGCTGAGCCTGAACACATGTTTGGGGGTGCATCATGCCGTGTCCCCTCGTCCCAGCGCCAGCGGAGGGAGCTGCTGGAGCAGCAGGGCTGCGTGCTGGGGCTGCACCGAGAGCTGAAGGCCACCGAGCACGCATGCGGGGCGCTGCAGAATCATTTCCACGAGTTTTGCCAGGACCTGCCGCACCAGCAGCGCCAGGTGCGGGCCCTCACTGACCGCTACCACGCCGTGGGGGACCAGCTGGAGTTGCGGTGAGTGGCTGGGCCTGTGGGGGGTGACTGTTGTGCCCCCGGAGTGCAGGGGTGATTGGCCAGCGGCGTGGCCTTGAGCTGGTGACCACCTGTCTGGACTCAGCTTCCTCCTCTCTCGTGACAGCACTGCCCGGGGGTCTGGGTCTGCGCCATCTCTGAATGCTCAGCTCCAACAGGGTCCCTCAGGGCCCTGCGCTATCCCCAGAGGGTGGCTCTCACCTCTGCTCCGGTCTCGTCCCCCTGCAGGGAGAAGACCGTGCAGGACGCCACTCTAACCCACCAGCAGTTCAAGAACTGCAGGGACAACCTGAGCTCCTGGCTGGAACACCTGCCCCGCAACAAGATGCGGCCCGGCGACGGGCCCAGCCAGGTCGCCTACAAGCTGCAGGCACAGAAGGTGAGGGGCTGGCACTGCAGGTGGCCTGGGGGCAGGTCAGGCCCCTGGTCAGTGTTGGGCCTCCATCTGCCTCGGCTCCCTGGCCCCTTCCCTGGAGGGCAGCTGCGAGTGTGGGGCCCCCTAGCGGCCAGAGTGAGAGCTGCACAGCTCAGCCCACAGAGGCCTTGGGTCCTCATGCCCGCGGGCATTGGGGGCAGCTCTGGTTAGGAGCTGTTGTGCCGCAGCACCCTCTCAGGGGGTGGTGCTGGACCAGCGGCAGAGCAGCACTCAGCAACTCTCATACATGCGGCCCAGCCCTGCTCCATCAGAACCCCTGGGGCGGGACCTTTGGTGCTTCCAGCACAGGACACACGGTGCAGTGACTATCACGATCAGAGTCACGGTAACGTGATTCTGAGGACACCGGGCAGAAGACAGGGACTGCTGGGAGAAGGAAGGAACCCCGAGAGCAGGCGCCAGGGAAAGGCAGATTCCCACGCCCCTGACTCTCACTTCCTCCTGGCAGAGGCTGCTGCAGGAGATCCAGGGCCGAGAGCTGGAGAGGGCAGCGGCTTCTCGCCTCTCCCAGGACCTGCAGGCGGCTCTCCAGGTCAGCAGTTTGGCTTCAGCTGTCCCTCTATCCGCCTGCCCTCGCCAGTGCCCCCCCTACACACTGACCGGCAGCCTGTGTCCTCTCCCCTGCTCAGGACTATGAGCTGCAGGCTGACACCTACCGCTGCTCCCTGGAGCCCACCCAGGCAGGGCCGGCCCCCAAGAGGTCCCGCGCGGTTCCCCTGCAGGAAAGCATCCAGGCACAGGTGAGATCAGACCAGCGGGCTCGGCGGCCCTGCCGCACTTCTCGGGGCCTGACCCACACTCTCCCTCCTGTTGACCTCCCCAGGAGAACAGCCTGACGAAGGCCTTCACAGAGGCTGCGGCAGCTCAGCGGGAGCAGCTGCACCAGCTGGAGTTTGCCAGAAATGTGCTGGAGAAGGTATGAGACAGAGCCCTCCACCCCCACACGAGGTAGCCTGGCCGGCCGAGACCCACAGCCGCAGGCCTGGCAGCCTCCCTCCCCGGGCCTCCCCAGCAGCTTACAGGCTGGTGTCTGTCTCAGAGTTAGGCCCTAGATCTCCCTCAGTGGGGTCAGTGTTGCCTTTGGAAGTAGAGACAGGGGCTTCTGACAAAGTCTTCAGCCTCAGGACCCTGTCACTATGGGCAAGAGGCCGCCTGGGGCTCCACCCCTGGGATGCCAGGAGTCAGAATTTCCCCACAACTCTCAGTGACCGGCAGAGAGCTTACCTGCTTTCTCCATACTCCAGCACCCCCCAGATAGGCAGGCACCCATTTCTGGGGCTCTGGATGGAAGGGAATAGGGGAGAGGCTTGGAAGGGAGGGTCTGTCTTGTTCGCACACTCAACCTGCACGCGGCCTTGCCATCAATGTCTCTCCCATCAATGACAGTAGTCATTGATGGGCCTCTCTAAATCCTACCTCCGAGCACCTCCGCTCCCACTCCACTGCCTGAGCTCCAGGGGAAGTCTCGGGGAGCAGGGAGGGGTTCTGATCTTGGGGTACTCATCCCGTCCTCCCCTTCACCCTGTGCTCTGCCTTGCTTCCTCTCCCTCTGCAGAGGGAGCTCAGCGAGGACATCGAGGTGGCCCAGGGCGCACAGCAGGGGGCTGAGAGCGTGAGGCACACGGGGAAGCAGCCGGAGGCCCTGAAGGCCCAGTTGGAGGAGGAGCGGAGGCGCGTGGCCCAGGTACAGCAGGAGCTGGAGACGCAGCGGAGCCAACTGCTGCAGCTGAGGACCCAGCGGCCTTTGGAGAGGCTGGAGGAGAAGGAGGTGGTGGAGTTCTACCGGGACCCCCAGCTGGAGAGCAGCCTGTGCAGGGCGAGGGCCCAGGTGGAGGACGAAGGCAAGAAGCGCTCGGTCCTGCAGGCCGACTTGGAGGCGGCCGCCCAGAAGGTCATCCAGCTGGAGGGCAAAAGGAAGGCCATGCAGCCTCACCTGCTCACCAAGGAGGTCACCCAAATTGAGAGGGACCCCAGCCTGGACAGCCAGGCAGCCCAGCTCGGCAGTGAGATCCAGCAGCTCCGGGGGCAGGACGCGGCCGTCGTGGCCCGGCTGGAGGAGCTCAGGAAGGAGCTGCTGGCCCTTGAGCAGAAGGAGGCCAATGTGAAGGAGAAGGTGGTGGTGAAGGAAGTGGTCAAGGTGGAGAAGGACCTGGAGATGGTCAAGGCAGCCCAGGCGCTGAGGCTGCAGCTGGAGGAGGACATGGCGCGGAGGAAGGCAGCGGAGGAGGCCGTGGCCAAGCTGCGCGCCCGCACAGAGGCGCTGGAGCAGGCCATCAGCGCCGTGGAACCCAAGGTGATCGTGAAGGAGGTGAAGCAGGTGGAGCAGGACCCGGGCCTTCTCCAGGAGGCGTCCAGGCTGCGGAAACTCCTGGAGGAGGCGAGGAGTGAGAATGTGACGCTGGCCCGGGAGCTGCGGGAGCTGCAGGGCGAGTACAGTGCGCTGGGGAAGCAGAAGCCCCGCGTAGAGGTGCAGGAGCGCGTCCATGAGATCTTCCAGGTGGACCCGGAGACCGAGCGCGAGACCGCCCGGCTCCGGGCCGCGCTGCAGGAGACGGCCAGCAAGAGGAGCGGCGTGGAGAAGCAGGTGGAGAGGCTGCTGGCCGACCTGGCTGTGCTGCGGGCCCAGAAGCCCGAGGTGGAGTACAAGGAGGTGACGCAGGAGGTGGTGAGGCACGAGAGGAGCCCAGAGGTGCTGCGGGAGATCGACCGGCTAAAGGCTCAGCTCAACGAGCTGGTCAACAGCAGTGGGCGGGCGCAGGAGCAGCTCATCCGGCTGCAGGGCGAGCGCGACGAGTGGCAGCGGGAGCGCGCCAAGGTGGAGACCAAGACGGTGAACAAGGAGGTGGTGCGCCACGAGAAGGACCCGGTGCTGGAGAGGGAGGCCGAGCGGCTGCGCCAGGAGGTGCGGGAGGCCACGCAGCAGCGGCGGGCTGCCGAGGACCTGGCCTACGAGCTGCAGAACAAGTACCTGCTGCTGGAGCGAAGGCGGCCCGAGGAGAAGGTGGTGGTGCAGGAGGTGGTGGTCACGCAGAAGGACCCCAAGCTCCGAGAGGACCACAGCCGGCTGAGCCAGAGCCTGGACGAGGAGGTGGGCCGGCGGCGGCAGCTGGAGCGGGAGGTGCAGCAGCTGCAGGCTGGCGTGGAGGAGCAGGAGGGCCTGCTCAGCTTCCAGGAGGACCGCAGCAAGAAGCTGGCCGTGGAGAAGGAGCTGCGGCAGCTGACCCTGCGCATCCAGGAGCTGGAGAAGCGGCCCCCGGCGGTGCAGGAGAAAATCATCATGGAGGAGGTGGTCAAGCTGGAGAAGGACCCGGATCTGGAGAAGTCCACGGGGGCCCTGCGGCGGGACCTGGACCAGGAGAAGGCCCGGGTGACCGAGCTGCACCGGGAGTGTAAGAGCCTGCAGGTCCAGATCGATGTCCTCCAGAAAACCAAATCGCAGGAGAAGACCATCTACAAGGAGGTGATCAGGGTAGAGAAGGACCGGGTGCTGGAGGGCGAGCGGTCCCGGGTGTGGGAGATGCTGAACAGGGAGCGCGCGGCCCGGCAGGGCCGGGAGGAAGAGATGAGGCGCCTGCGGGAGCGGATTGAAAGGGCGGAGGCTCTGGGGAGGACCTGGGCCCGGGAGGAGGCCGAGCTCCAGAAGGCCCGGAACCAGGCCAGCCAGGAGCACCGGCAGCTGCAGCAGGAGCTGCGGGATCTGGAGCGGCAGAAGCAGCAGAAGGTGCTGCACCTGCAGGAGGAGTCCAAGCTGCGCAGCCAGAAGACGGAGAGCGAGCGGCAGAAGGCGGCCCAGCGGGGCCAGGAGCTCTCGCAGCTGGAGGCGGCCATCCTCCACGAGAAGGACCAGATCTACGAGAAGGAGCGGGCTCTCCGGGACCTGCACAGCAGGGTGAGCCGGGAGGAGGTCAACCAGGAGACCCAGACACGGGAGACCAACCTTTCCACCAAGATCTGCATCCTGGAACCCGAGACGGGCAAGGACATGTCCCCGTACGAGGCCTACAAGAGGGGCGTCATCGACCGCGGCCAGTATCTGCAGCTGCAGGAGCTGGAGTGCGACTGGGAGGAGGTGACCACCTCGGGGCCCTGCGGGGAGGAGTCGGTGCTGCTGGACCGCAAGAGCGGGAAGCAGTACTCCATCGAGGCGGCGCTGCGCTGCCGGCGCATCTCCAAGGAGGAGTACCACCTCTACAAGGAGGGCCGCCTCCCCGTCTCCGAGTTCGCCCTGCTCGTGGCCGGGGAGACCAAGCCCTGCGCCTCGCTGTCCATCGGCTCCATCATCTCCAAGTCCCCGCTGCCCTCCCCGGGCCCCCAGAGCACCTGTTTCTTCTCTCCCAGCATCTGCCCGGGGCTCAGCGACGACAGCTTCCCCATCGCCGGCGTGTACGACACGACCACGGACAACAAGTGCAGCATCAAGACGGCCATGGCCAAGAACATGCTGGACCCCATCACCGGGCAGAAGCTGCTGGAGGCGCAGGCGGCCACCGGCGGCATCGTGGACCTGCTGAGCCGGGAGCGCTACTCGGTGCACAAGGCCCTGGAGCGGGGCCTGATCGAGGGCACCTGCACGCAGCGGCTGCTCAACGCCCAGAAGGCCTTCACCGGCATCGAGGACCCGGTGAGCAGGAAGCGGCTGTCTGTGGGCGAGGCCGTGCAGAAGGGCTGGATGCCGCGGGACAGCGTGCTCCCGCACCTGCAGGTGCAGCACCTGACCGGGGGGCTCATCGACCCCAAGAGGACGGGCCGCATCCCCGTGCCGCAGGCCGTGCTGTCCGGGATGATCAGCGAGGAGCTGGCGCAGCTCCTGCAGGACGAGTCTGGCTACGAGAAGGATCTGACAGACCCCATCTCCAAGGAGAGGCTGAGCTACAGGGAGGCCATGGGGCGCTGCCGGAAAGACCCCCTGAGCGGCCTGCTGCTGCTGCCCGCGGCCCTGGAGGGCTACCACTACTACCGCGTGGCCTCCCCCGCCCTGCCCCGCTGCCTGCGCTGAGGGGCGCCCGGACCCGGGGCAGCCTCGTCGCCGGGCGTGGACTTCCCTTGGCCGAGGGCTGTTCTGTCACTCACACATTCATGGTGTTGGGCGGCTGCCCTGACTTTGGTGCCCAGTCCATGCCCAGAGCCGCGGGCAGCTGCCCTCCCTGCCCCTCCGCCCCGGTGTTTCCAATAAACCAAGTCTTCACATTCGAGAATGTAGGACTGGATTTGTCTGCGTGGTCTGGGTGCTTCCCAGGCGGGGAGCGGAGGCGCCAAGCGGGAATGGGGTGCTTGGGTGCTTCTAGAGGGCGGCAGCTCCTCGGCTCTGGGAGGGGTGCCGCGGGATCCAGAGGCGGGTCACGGACAGCCTGGGAATGGCCCCGTCTGCCCCCCATCTCTGTCCCCACTTCTCCAGCCATCTGTGACCAAGTCCCTGGGCCCCCGTGAGCAGAAGCACATCAGAAAGGTCAGAAATAAATTCACTTTTATTTCCTGTTCTTAAAGCCAGGGGCAAACCAGCGTGAGCGCGTGGGGGCGGCAGACAGAGCTCTGGAGCCGTTCCCCAGAATTTTAAACCCAAAAGGACCAGCAGGGGGCACCCTTGCCCCGGGGTCCGTGCCGCTGAGGGCGAGGCAGGTGAGGCACTGGAAGCGCCTTGTTGGCGGGGCAGGCGTCCCTGTCCTGCCCGGGGCCTCTGTCACACCCCCTCACGCAGGGCCCTCGGTGCCCCACGCTGAAAGGGCCCCGGCGAACTCAACAAACAACACAGGAACTTCCTAGCTGCTGGCAGGACTGACCCAAACTCGGCCTCTGACGGCTGATGCCAAACTCCTCCGCGCGCTGCTCTCTCCCCAGGTGGGTTCTCTCGCCTGGGTCACTGGGGCGGCGGCCGCCGGGCAGCAGCTGGAGGGAGACTGAGGCGGTGGGTTCCACCTTCTCAGCTGCTGAAATGCTCCAGCACGCAGGGGCGGGCGGCCTGGGAGGTCTCGGTGGATGAGAAGTAGGGGTGGGCGAGGGCTGTCTTGGCGGAGATGCGCCGGCTGGGGTCGTACTGCAGCAGCTGCTGTGAAGGGAGGAGGAGACGATGCGGCCTGGCAGTGGGGCGAGGAACTACCGTGCCAGGTCCCAGCTGCAGGCCGCAGCCCGAGCACAGCCTCCTGGCTGCCGGAGAGCTAGTTCTGGCCACTCCTAGAATCTGGGGACCAAGAATCCCTTCTAGTCCAGCCCTGAGTCACCCCCAGTCGCCTTCAGAGAGGCCAAGTCTGCCTGTCCCCATTCTTACTGAGTGTCCGGCCCAGCCCATTTTCAGTTGAGACAGAAAGTGGGGGGCCAAACTTGCCCAGGGAGCAAATGTGGGGGTGGCGCAGGAATGCAGAAGCCCCAAACCTAGCCAGGACGTGCCGCCTTGGAGCAGCGGGGGTGGAGACCGTTCGTGGGCGTCTGCTGCCAGCACTGGTCAGCAGACACCGGCCTGAAGTCCAACCCTGCGGGCCTGCCTCTGACCCCTGCCCGTCACAGCCAGTGCCATGGCCCCGAGTCTTTGTGGGCAAGACTGGCAGGCTCTGTGCTGGCATTCAGGCCTAGGGGTCAGTGTGCCAAGACAGCGCAACAGGAGGGCGAGGAGACCCTTGGTGCAGCCCAGGCAGCAGGGAACGGCCTGTCTGGAGATGCCTCATGGCAGCCATGCGGAAGGCGCTGTGGGGAACAGAGAAGCAGGAGGAGGGCTGGGCCCGCCTGGGGGAGTGAGCTGCTTGGATGGGGCAAAGGCTCAGATGAGGCAATTTTGGAAAATTACTAAAGACTCAAGGCAGCTGGGGGCAAAAAAAAGGTCAGCATCGCCGCCGAGCTATTTAGAAGAGAGACGTGAACGTTGGACCGACCCAGAAGTCTGTGGGTTGAACGATCAACATCACAGGGCGGCCAGCTGTGTACACGGGTCAGCAGTGGATCGGCCGGGACGCAGCGAGCCGGGGTTACATAAGAGGCTGGCTGACACAGGGGTCACTCAGGGCAGGGGGGCGGGGGACAGCGGCTGCAGCCAGGAGGCCTTTCTCGCCTCCCCCGCTCATGCCGGTACCTACCACCAGCAGGTCCTTGCCCTGCGCCTCCAGGCTGGGCACGATGTCCTCCAGCCCCTTCCTGACCCACTTAGGGAAGCTGCCCTTGTAGTCAGGCAGTTGGGAGATGCCTGGCCACACGGCTTCACTGGGGGTCCCCAAGGTGCGGAAGATACGAAAGAGCTGGTCGATCTCAGAGTCCCCAGGAAACAGGGCCCGGCGGGTCACCTAGCGGGGCGGGAGCAGGTATGAGGGCCACTCCCTGGCCATACAGAGTCAGCACCAGGCCGTGCTAGGAATCCAGGCCCCTGCAGGCATCAGGGCCCTGCAGTGCTTCCGCCAGCGCCCAACACGCTTAAATCCACGTTCACGGGAGAATTGGAGCCCCACCCGCACCCACCGTGGCCTCCCCGTGGCCATGTTTGTCCCTCTCTCTACCATCTCTGCAAAGATGCAGCCGATACTCCAGACGTCCACGGCTGTCGAGTAGAACTTGCTGCCCAAGAGGATCTCTGGGGCGCGATACCAGAGTGTCATCACCTGTTGGGGTGAGAAAGCGGCCTCCTTCAGGGTGGTTGAGCGCGTGGAGGCCGTCTCTGCGCTCCCCTTTGTCCCGAGGTACCTCGTGGGTGTAGGTGCGCAGAGGCACCCCAAAAGCTCGAGCCAGTCCAAAGTCAGCCAGCTTGATGGCCCCCAGCTCATTGATGAGCAGATTCTGGGGCTTCAGGTCTCGGTGGATGACCCGATGGGAGTGGCAGAAATTCACCCCCTGCAGCAGCTGGAAGAGGTAGCTCTGGAAGAGTGAGAGAAGCAGCCGGCTGAGCAGCAGTGGGCTGGGGGGGCGGGGCGCCGGCCGGTCCCCTTGGTACCTTGACCAGGTGCAGGGGCAGTTCAGAGGCTGGGGTGGAGTCCATGTACTTCTTGAGGTCCTGGCTGAGGAACTCAAACACCAGGTAAAGCTTCTTCTCATTGTGCATCACGTCCAGCAGCCTGGGCAGGGGACGCTGTCAGGAGGCAGCTCCCGCCATGCTGGAGCAAGGCCGCTCCCGCTTCCTCCCCCTGCTCACCTGACAATGTTGGGGTGCTTAAGCTCTTTGAGCAGGGAGATCTCCCTGATGGCGGTGCTCGGGACCCCCTCGGTCTCCCTGCAGGAGAGGAGGGTACAGCCCTGGAGACAGGAACCATGAAGGGTGCTTCTGACTGGGAGCTCCCTCAGCCACACACCCACTTATCTCTCCTGGAGACCCGGGGCGAAGCCCAGTGGGGTGAGGCCAGGCAAGGGCTACATTTTGTGGTCGCCCTAGAGCCCAGAGCTGCATATGAAACCCTGAGATGAGGGAAAGCTCTGGGCTGCGGGTCTCCCGGGGAAGACCGGACCGTCCCAGCACTCACAAATCCAGCCTGATCTTCTTGAGGGCCACGAGCTGCCCCGTCTCCTTGTTCTTGGCCTTATACACCACCCCATAGGTGCCCTCTCCAATCTTCTCTAGCTTCTGGAACACATCCATGTCTGAGAGCTGTCTGGGGAAAAGACGGCACCCCGGGCATTTGCCGCCCTGCCCAGTGCCCTCTGCCTCCTCCAGCCTCAGGGGACACCCTGCTGGCCCCCTCAGGCGTCCCAGCTCCCCAGGCCCGTGGCCCACAGGGAGCCCCCTACTCCTCCTGCCAGGCCCCCCAGGCTTGCCTCCCTCCCCCAACCTGGCCTTCATCCAGCCTGACCCTGGCTTGGAGGGGGACTGCCCTCAGCCAGCACAAGGCAGGCACCTCCAGGCCCTCGGGGGTGCCCGCTGTGGTGTGCGGAAGAGCCCAAACCTCTCCCGCCCCAGCCCCACTGCGGCCATGCCCAGTCTCTGGAGCCAGAAGGATGCAGAGGCCTCCCTGGAGGGGACGGGCCAGCTGAGGGCAGAGATCAAGGAGTGAGAGGGTCTCTGAAGCCTCAGTTCTGCCCCAGGCTGCACGGCCAGGGTGAGGGGCTAGGCAGGGTCTGTTTGCGATACTCAGTCTCCTCTGCCGGTGAAACCTTGGTGAGAGTGTCCCCCCTGGGCCCTGGGCCCCCCCCACCTGGGCCGGGAGCCCTCGGCTGCCTCCCCTCAGCCGCCTCCCCTCAGCCCCACAGCCCAGAATTCACCAGAGACCCTATGCTCCTGCGGCTGGCGCCACTGCTGCTCCACCGCGCCCCCTCCTGGCCCCTGCCGGCGCTGCACCACCTGCACACACTTCCCCCTGGGGCCTTTATTCACCAGCACCTTCTGGAACACTCCATGGCCTCCCCAAGGCACAGCCCCCAGCACCCCGGGGGCTCAGTCTCTTTAGGCCTCCTGGCAAGGGCCGAGGAAGGTGGAGATTGTCAGGCTGAGACAGTCCCAAATAAGCAACCGCTACTCTCCAGCTTCAGACAGGCTGTCATTCAGGGGGGCCTGGGTCTCCACAGCGCCCACGTGGCCAGTGGACTTGAGCTCAGGCACTGCCTCATCCCGCTGGCCGCTGGCCCTGGCTCGCTGGTGCAGCCTCTGCGCCTGGATGGCTTGTTCTAACAGAGGCAGGTTCATTCCTTCCACACACGTCAGCACCCGCGCCTTCACCAGGGGCTCTCCACCTGCAAGACACACGCACCACGGTGCTGGCAGGGCCGCCCGAGCGCCAGCCACGCTCCGTGTTCTCGCTCTTCCTCCCCCGCCACGCCCGTTTGACAGGGTGTGGGGCAGGAGGACACCATCAGGATGTTGCCAGCCAGTCTGGGCTGAGAACTGTGAGCCTACGATGCCCTGTAGGCACGTGTCTGAAACTTAGGGGGCAGTCTGAGACCCCACTTCTCCAGAGAGGAAGAAGCTGAGTCCTCTACCCCGGCCCCACCCTTTGTCATCTCCGTTCCTGCTGCCTTCCCTGTAGGTCCCAAGTGCCGGGGGTGAGGAGGAGTCACGATCTCCATTAGCATCCTGGACCCACTGGGCCTGTAAATCAGGGCCAAGAGAACCCCATGTTTAATACACCCAAGGGGACAGTTTGGCCTGATAGGGGCAGGGGAAGGGGCTGACATGACCTAGCAGAGGCGACCTGACCTTATCCATTATGAAAGTCTTGTCAGGTGACATCAAACAGGAAAGACACCTGGGATTTGCTTAAAGGAAGTTTTTTCTTTTCCTTTCTCCACTCATGTCCTCTCTGCAATTGGGACACACCGATAAATACAATCCGTGTTCCTGGCCACTAAAATGTCTTCTTTTCATGCCATTTTGAGATAGAGGCACTCATTAAGCTAAAGTGTCCACCTCGCCTTCCTTCCAACCTACATTGCTATGTTGATTTAACTCAGCCTGGGGGCAGAATTCGGAGAGTCAGGCTGCAGCCCACACCCAGGAGGATGAACCACTCTGGCGGGGGCTGAGCATGGGGGCGGCTGAGCTTGGGGGCGTGGGTGACAGAGCCAGTTCCCTGAGCTCCCTCAGGACTGGCTCGGTTGCCCGCATTGCTCAACCCAACAGGACGTGTGTCCGAACTCCGCTGAGGGGCCTGGACCTTCTCTCGAGACACAGCCCTGCGAGCGCTCACGGAGCCGGTTGTACGTGTCTGATGGCCTGGGCTCGTGAGAGCACTAGGCACAGCTGGGGCTGCTCAGTCTCAAGGCTCCCAGCCACAGGGCGGGACGCAGGTCTGGGTGACCTTTATGTCCTCCAGGACTGGCAGGAAAGCAGCCAGCTGTGCCCCCTGGCACGATGGGGACTGGGGAGGGGCTTCTGTGCTCCTCCCACACCTACCCTTTCCTCTGCGCCCTCACCCGCCTCTCCCCTGTCAGCTGGGAGCGATGAGACTGTATTACTTTGAAACTAGAAACTTGGGGAAAATTTTTTTGAAGGAAAATACAGATTGTAACATAAGAGGCAAACCAGCCAGAGCTGAGGAATGCTGCTTGATCTGAGGGCTGAGTTTTCAGGTTCCATTTTTTGGGGGGGGTGTGGGTGGAAGAATGGCTAGATTTCAAGTTCAACATAGTAAACAACTTCTGTGCCCTCCTGATGCCTCACAGCCAAGACATGGGATTGATGGGCCTGCTTTTGTAACGTTTAGATGATTTGCACTGAACTTTCGCCTGAGCATTCACAGATAATGATCGTTGACCAGGATTTATTATTTCAAGGAGGCTGTTTGAGTGGTGATTAGAATTTAACCATTTCCGGGCCTCCCCGGTGGCGCAGCGGTTGAGCGCTGGGTTGCGAAGCTGCCCGCGGCCTCTGTGGTGCCGGTTCGATCCCCGGCTGCTCCCCAGCCACCGGAGGAGGGTGCCACATGGCGCGCAGACCTCTCCTGCCGCCCGCCGCTCCCCTCAGCAGTGTCCTTCGGTCCTTCTGCCTGTTCTGCTCCCCACTCTGGCTCTGGTGAATTCTCTCACCCTCCCGCGCTTCTGACTGTACCCAGTGCTTGTATAAACAAACAAATAAATAAATAAATAAAACTTTAAAAAAAAAAAAAAGAATTTAACCATTTCCCCTGCATTTATTCATGGCAATTTTTCTGTAAAGAACATTCCCTCATCAACTATTTAGTTTGCCTGATGTACAGACAGAAAAAGGCACGGCAAGGGAATTTCAAGGGAAGGAGGAGCAGGTCTCACAACCAGGAGGAAACAATCGCCAGTGGTGTCCAGCAAATTCCACAGGGACCAGTGGTCACATTCTCCAATAAATGCCTTTTTTAAAAAAGATTTATTTATATATGCATACAAGAACTGGGGTACAGGCCAGAGGTGCAGGGTGGGGAGAATTCACTAGAGAGAGCGGGGAACAGAACAGGCAAACTGACTGAAATGTACTGCTGAGGGGAGCAGTGGGTGAGACAGGAGAAGTCTGCTGCGCCATGTGGGCAGCTCCCTGGCTGCCCAGGGATCAAACTTGTGCTGCAGAGGCTGTGGACAGCCTCAGAGTGCTGTGCCTAACCCCTTGTACCACCAGGGAGGCCCAAAAGTGCCTTTTTTTAAAAAAGGAAAGAAGGGAGACAGAACTGTCACAGAGACTTAGGATAGATAACCTAAGGGCAGTGAAGGGACTTTGTTTTTTTTTTTAAGACTTTTTTGTTTATGCATACAAAACTGGGGTCTATGCCAGTGGTGTGGGGGCATGAGAGGACTCACCAGAGACAGATTGGGGAACAGAACAGGCAAATTGACTGAAATACACTGCTGAGGGGAGCAGCAGGGAGCCAGGAGAGGTCTGCTGCACCCTGTGGGTAGCTCCCTGGCTGGGGATCAAACTCATGCCACAGTGGCTGGAGACAGCTTGACAGCACTATGTCTTTAACCCCTGAACCATCAGGGAGGCCCAATGGAGGGATTTTGGATCTGGATTTGAACTAACCAATTGTAAAAAGCCATTTTTCTGGAGGCAACAGGGGGAAGTGACTGTGGACTAGGTATTAGATTATACTAAGAAATGACAATTCTGTTGGGTGTAATGTTAGAGGTACTTATTGAGGTATTTACAGGTAAAAATGAAAGAACATCTTAAATTTGCTTTCAATACATCAGCAAAATAAATGAATGTAGGTGATAGTGACACAGAACAGTGGAATGTGGGTTGATCACAGCTGAATCTGGGTGATGGGTACCTGGAGCTCACTCTATATTCTACATTCGAGATGAAAATAGTCAATTTTTGGGCCTCCCTGGTGGCGCAAGGTGTTAAGACGCAACCTATGAAGCTGTCTACAGCCACTGCAGCATGAGTTCGATTTCCCGGCCAGCTGGGAAGCAACCCACATGGCACAGCAGACCTCTCCTGACTCGCCCTCTGCTCCCCTCAGCAGTGTACTTTGGTCAATCCGCCTGTTCTGTTCCCCACTCTGTCTCTGGTGAATCCTCTCACCCCTGCATCTCCGGCCTGTACCCCAGCTCTTGTATGCATAAATAAATCAATCTTTTAAAAAAATAGTCAATTTTTTAAAATCCATGTGAGTTGAATTTAAACTTTAAAGTTTTTTTCCATTTTCTTCCCACAATAATTCTAGATGACCACACTAGGTCCTCACTCTGGCCGCTGTTCCGGGCTGGTGTCAAAGCGCCCCCTCCTCATGGGATTTATAATGGGAGGGCCAACCCTTTCAGACACTGGGCACCGGGTTCCTGGCTTCTAAGACTCACTGTAGAGGTCACGACTACAAGGGAAAGGCTCAGGTGATTTGGGCTGAAGTCAAAGTGGAAATCATTTATGTAAAAGGCCTTTGTCCACATTCCCAATCCTGCCTCCTGATAACTCTCTCAAATCAGTTATGAGGGCTGGCGCTCTCAGCTCAAAGGCTTAAGCCTGACTAAAGATTAACTTTGATGAAATCAAGTATAGATAAAGTAAGCACCATTTAATTACTTTCTCCCCTGGAGTGCATTTCATTTTCAGAGTGTTAAAAATCGCTGTGACTTAGAAAGTGAGTTGGTAATATAAGCCACGAAAGGTAAAGAAATGTTCACATCCTTGAGCACAAGGATTCTACTTTCAGGAAACAACCCTAAAAAAAAAAATCAAAATATGGACAAAGACTAGTAGATGTCAGATGGATGGATGAGATAGATGGATGCATAGACTGACAGACATGTGACAGACAGATGAGTCACTCTTTTTTTTTTTAAGATTTATTTCTTTATAAAGACAATAACTGGGGTACAGGCCAGAGGCGTGGGGCTGGTGAGAGGATTCACCAGAGCCAGAGTGGGGAACAGAACAGGCAGACTGACCAAAGTACACTGCTGAGGGGAGCAGCGGGCGAGTCAGGAGAGGTCTGCTGCGCCCTGTGGGCAGCTCCATGGCCGGTTGGGGATCAAACTTGTGCTGCAGTGGCTGCGGACAGCTTCATAGGCTGCATTTTAACCCCCTGGCACCATCAGGGAGGCCCCAGAGTCATTTTTTATCTTTTTTCCCCTTTTGCTATAAAAGCAACATATTTTCATTGTAAAATCCCACCACCCAGAAGTAACTGCTATTAACATTTTGGTAAATAATCTTTCAAACTGGGGCATCCCTGGTGGCGCTGGGGTAAAGTCTCTGCACTATCAAGCTATCTGTAGCCACTACGGCCTGAGTTCAATTCCTGGCCAGGTTGCTGACTCACATGGCGCGGCAGACCTGTCCTATCTCCCTGCTGCTCCCATCAGCAGTGTATTTCAGTCACTCCGCCTGTTCTGCTCCATATTCTGTCTCTGGTGAATCCTCTCACCACTCCCACCCCTGCACCTCTGGCCTACGCCCCCAGTTCTTATATGCATAAATAAATAAAATATTTGACAAATAATAATAATCTTTCAAATTTTTATGTGTATGAGATATATTAAGACAAAAAAGGTATCATTCAACACATATTGCTTTGTAAACTGCTTTTTCTTAGTGTGGTTTTGTGAGTATATTTTCAATGGCAATTGATATAAATTTACAACTCCGTCTATAATGCATAATATCCTACTGACTGAATGGACAATAATTTCTTTAAGCAACTAATACACTTATTAATGTATAAATGTATTGATGAGAGCAAAAAATGGAAACACTATACATGACCCATTGTCACATGACTCAGGATATGTGTTATGATACGTGTTATCTATAAAGTATCATGTAGCTGTCAAGACCTACATCTGGGGCCTCCCCCGTGGCGCAGCGGTTGAGCGCTGGGTTGCGAAGCTGCCCGCAGCCTCTGCAGCGCCGGTTCGATCCCCGGCTGCTCCCCGGCCACCGGAGGAGAGTCCCACATGGTGCACAGACCTTTCCTGCCGCCCGCTGCTCCCCTCAGCAGTGTACTTCGGTCCTTCTGCCTGCTCTGCTCCCCGCTCTGGCTCTGCTGAATTCGCTCACCCTCCCGCGCTTCCGACTGTACCCAGTGCATGTATAAACAAAACAAACAAATAAATAAATAAAACATGCCTCTCTTAAAAAAAAAACCTACATCTGGAAAAATGTAAAACATGGGGAAATGTTTGTGATATAATCTAAGCCAAAAATAACCTGACACAACATTTTATATTAAGTAACCAACCAGGTAAAGGGAAACGCACAGGATGGCCAGAAGCACAGGCAAGGAATGAGAGGACCTAGATTTCATTTTATTTTTTTTTTAAAGATTTATTTATTTATTTATAGAAGCACTGGGTACAGTCAGAAGCGCGGGAGGGTGAGAGAATTCACCAGAGCCAGAGCGGGGAGAAGAGCAGGCAGAAGGACCGAAGTACACTGCTGAGGGGAGCAGCGGGTGGCAGGAGAGGTCTGCGCGCCATGTGGGACCCTCCTCCGGTGGCTGGGGAGCAGCTGGGGATTGAACCAGCGCTGCAGAGGCTGCGGGCAGCTTCGCAGCCCAGCGCTCAACCGCTTCGCCACCAGGGGAGGCCCAGGACCTAGATTTTAAAGACCAACTACAGCTCTGGGTCCTGGAGATTTTATGATTTTATCCCAACTGGCTTTTATTCCTTGTGTTCTACTTTCTTCCCCTGACCTGGCCTGTTACTCCAGCCCCATTTTCTATGAGCCTTAGTTTTCTCCTCTATGTCATAGCAATAAGAAGGTCATGGGCTGGTGGTTAGATTCAAAAGGATTGTAAGCAAACAGCCTTGCGCCACACCTTCGAAAGGAATGGCCTCTCCCCCCGCCATGCTTCCTTGGCAGGCCTACTCTGAGCCCAGTCAGGCCTGTTTCCCAGGAGCCCTTGAGTGTGAGGGACTCCTATGTGGTCACAAGCCAGGCCCAGCTCTGAGTCACCCCATGACTGCCCAAACTCGAGACTCAGGGTGAAAAGGGGGTGTGGTTCCACGGCTTACCCTTCTGGTGTTCCAGCTCCCCCAGGACAAGGTACAGGGAGCCCACCTGGGCTCGGAATGGCTCCACCAACTTGGTACAGATGTGGACGAGGTGCTGTTCAGGTCCGTGCTGAGCCAGCAGGGTCACGTGGGACTGGGCCGTGTCATAGACGCTCAGCCTAGAGATTGGGGAAAGCGCCGTCAATTCTACTCATGGACAGAACCACCATGAGCCCAAAAGGTTCTGGGAGGCCCATAAATCCACAGGAAATATTAAGTCTCACTCTGATCAGGCAAATAAAAATGGCAGCAGTGAATCAGAAAAGATGTTTCAGTCCACCTGCTGAGATGTGAATCACATGCATTAAACATCGATGTCAACAAGCATTGATGAAAGTACAACCTGGGCCTCCCTGGTGGCGCAAGGGGTTAAGACGCAGCACTATGAAGCTATCCACAGCCACTGCAGCACAAGTTCAAACCCCAGGCAGGGAACTGACCCACATGGCGCAGCAGACCTCTCCTGTCTCCCCGCTGCTCCTCTCAGTCACGCCACCTCTTCTACTCCCCACTCTGTCTCTGGTGCATCCTCTCACCCCCACACCTCTGGCCTGCACCCCAGTTCTTTAAAAAAAAAAAAGTACAACCTCCACCAATTTACCTGGTGCGTTCCTGTCACCCAACGAAGTCTCCTCATGCCCCTTTGATGTCACTCTCCCACCCCAGGCAACCACGGATCTGCTTTGGCCCCTAAAGGTGTTTTGCTTCTCAAGCACCGTGTGTAAGTGGAGTCATGACAACGTGTGGTCTTTTGTGTTTAGGCTTTTCTGTTTTGTTTTTTTTTAATTTCATTTAGTATTTATTTATTTATAATATCTTACTTTATATAATTCTTACATCATTTTTCATCTTTGCACAATGTATGCATTTTCATTTTGGTTATATTCCCCATACAATTGCACCCCCCCCTTATTTTGACTCTAGTTCTTCCTCTCCCCGCCTCTCCCTCCTACCCCCCCCAACAGCTCCCCCCCGTAGTGTGTCTCTGGTTTATAGTTGCTTGTTGATTTTGATTTTCACTTTGTATTGATTAGTCTTTTTCCTGGTCCCTTATTTAGGTTTTCTAGATTCCTGCTATGAGTGACACCATCCGGTATTTTTCTTTTTCTTTCTGACTTATTTCGCTGAGCATCATCCCTTCTAGCTCCATCCATGTTGCTGCAAACTGCATGTGTTTATCCTTTTTGATTGCTGAGTAATATTCCACGGTGTATATGTACCACCTCTTCTTGATCCAGGCATCTATTTTTGGGCATTTGGGTTATTTCCATAGCTTAGCTATTGTAAACAGTGCTGCTATAAACATAGGGGTGCAGGTGCCCTTTGGAATTACTGTTTCTGTGTCATTTTCTGTTTGTTTTAACATAATGGTCTTGAGGCTCTTTATGTGGTTGGGCAAAGCAGTGGCTTGTTCCTTTTTATTATTCAACAGTGCTCTGCTGAATGGATAAATAGACCGTTTGTTTATTCGTCCACAGCTGATTTGGTTTGCTTCTAGTTTGGAGCTATTAGGAATAAACTGGTAAGAACATTCCCATACATGTCTTTGGGCTGACATGTGCTGCATCTCTCCTGGGTAAACACCCAAGTGGGCATGCTGAATGGTATAGCCCAGCTGCCTGTTTAAAAGAAATTGCCAACGTGCTTTTCACAGAGGTTGTGCCAGCTCACATCCACTAGCAGGTAAAAAGGTTCTAGTTACTGTGATTTTCGTCAGCACTTGGTGTGGTGAGTTTTCTCATTTTGGCCATCCTATTGGGTAGGAAATTCCTTATTAGGATGACTTTAATTTGCATTTCCCTGGTGACCAATGATGTTAGCCATCTTCTCCTGTGCTTAGGCACCATTTGTGTGCATGTGTGTGTGTGTGTCTGTGTGTGTGTATATATATATATATATATATATATATATATATATTAGATTTATTTATTTATGCATACAAGAACTGGGGTACAGGCCAGAGTTGTAGGGACGAGAGGATTCACCAGAGACAGAATGGAGAGCAGAACACGGGGGTTGACTGAAATACACTGCTGACACGAGCAGTGGGGAGACAGGAGAGGTCTGCTGTGCCATGTGGGTAACTCCCTGGCTGGGGATCGCTCTCGTGCTGCAGTGGCTGCTGATAGCTTCATAGTCTGAGACTTATCCCTCTGCGCCACCAGGGAGGACCCTGTATATTTTAAAGTGGTTTAATATTTCAATGTTGTCTTTTTGTATGACTGCTAGTTGCTATGTCTTTCTTCTTTTGTAGAGTCTGTTCACGTGTTTTACCCTCCCGCATTCTTGGCATTCTGTTACAAATGCTCCTTCCCTCCGGTGTTAACGAGGTATAACCTGATGAACTGCATATATTTAAGGTACGCAGTTTGATATCTGCACACACTTGTGAAGCCGACGGCGCAAGGTAATGAACATAACTTTTTATCACCCTGGCAAGTCCCCTCTTATCCTCCTGTGATTCTCCCAGCACCCCACTGATCTGCTATTTTCCCACTATAGATTACTTTGCATTTTCTAGATTTTTACATACATGCAGTCATACAAACATGTACCTGTTTGGTACCTGGTTTCTTTTTTTTTTTTTTTAAAGATTTATTATTTGTTTGTTTGTTTGTTTAGTCATACATACATACATACAAGCACTGGGCACAGTCAGAAGCGCGGGAGGGTGAGAGAATTCACCAGAGCCACAGGGGAGAGCAGAGCAGGCAGACTGAAGAAGTACACTGCTTAGGGGAGCAGCGGACGGCAGGAGAGGTCTGCGCGCCATGTGGGACCCTCGCCCAGAGGCCGGGGATTGAACCGGCACTGCAGAGGCTGCAGGCAGCTTCGCAACCCAGCACTCAACCGCTGCGCCACCGGGGAGGCCTGGGACCTGGTTTCTTTACTTCAGTTGACTTATTTTGAGATTCATGCACATTGTTGCATATTGCCATAGTTCATCCCTTTTTATTGCTGAATAGTATTCCACGGTATGACTCTCCCACCATTTGTTTATTTAGTCAGACAGACAGACATTTGGGATGCTTCAAGTTTCTGGCTCTTAGAAAGAATATTGCTATAAATATTTATATGCAATCTTTTGTGTGCACATAAAGCTTTCATTTTTCTTGGGCAAATACTTAGGAGTAGACTGGATGGGACACATGGAGGGTGTATGGTTAGCTTTTATAAGAGGCCGCCAAGCTGTTTTCTAAAATAGCTGTGCCATTGTATGTCCCCACCAGAAGTGCATAAGAATCCAGTCACGGCTTCTTCAGCATTTGGTATTGTCCATCTTTTCTAATGGAGCCACTCTAGCATGTGCAGGAAACTCTTTGGGGTTCTAATTTGCATTTTCCTAATGACTAATGACGTTGAGCAAAATTTCATGTGTTTGTCTGCCATCTGTGCATCTTTGGTAGCACCTGTTCAAATCTTTTGCCCTTTTTACAATTCAGTTCTTTGTTTTACTGAGTTGTTTGTGCTCTTTGATATTCTAATACAAGTCACTTGTTGGGTAGAGGTATCATGTCCTCACATACACAGACACACAGGTGGTACACACTTTCTCCCTTGTGACTTATCTTTAAATTCTCTAAAAGGTATCTTCTGATGAGCAGCAACTTTCAATTTTGTTGAAGTCCAATTTATTCATATTTAATGACTTTTATTTTCTGTGTCTTATCTAAGAAATTTTTGCCTAATGCCAGGCTGTGAAGTTTTCCTCTAGATATTTCATAGTTTAGATGATACATCTATGAATTCAATTTATTGTGAGTTTTTTTAATGCTGCAAGCAATTTTTTTTTAACACCTGTGAGAATGTCAGTAGGAACCTCCAGTACCATTTACTGAAATGACTATCCTATCCCCACTCATTTACATTGATGTCTTTGTTGATAATCCATAGATCTTGGTTAAATAAACAGATATTTTTAAAAATTATGATGACTCTATACAATAAAATGAAAGGGATCTATTTAAAGTGATGATAAAACTCCAATATTTGGCGTAGAGCCAGGTCTACTAAATGCAATTAAGTAAATAAATGGTACAATATAATATAATAGGATCTCATCTAGCTTGAGATATTTCTCTATGTCCATATATACAGACTACTGCAGAAAGGACTGAGTGACAGCCAAGGATAGGTCACAAAAGGCCTGTAGCTTTCTCTTTGCTCGCTATTGGATGGCCCATTGACTGATTTTGAGATTCATCCACACTGTGTAATACTGCCATAGTTAATCCCTTTTTATTGCTGAACAGTATTCCACTGTATGGCTCTTCCACCATCTTGTGAGAACCCTCAATTAGTCCCCAGGAAGGAACCTATATTTTTAGAAATCAGTCTTCTTGACAAGAGCTGGTACTGACCTGCCAAAGATATGAATGAGTCACCTTGGAAGCGGGTCCTTCCCACTCAGTCCCTCCTTCAGGTGTTGGCAGTTCTAACCAACTTCTGACTGCAAACTTGTAAGTGAGTCTGAGCCAGAACCACCCAGTCAAGCTGCTCCCAAATTCCTGACCCACATAGTAATTAAATAAACTATTAAATGATAAGCATTTGTTCTCATTTTAAGCCACTATCTTTGGGGTAATTTGTTACACAGCAATAGGTGACTAACAGATGCATTACATATGTTGTGTGTATCTACCACGTGGCTGTCTGTACATACGTGCACGAAAATGTGGGTAAAGCAATCAGCGGGCTGTCAGACAGTGGGGTCACCAGGGACTTTTGCTTGCCCTTTTCACACCTTTGCGATTGTTTGCATTTTTACAATGAAGACATTATTTTGTTTGCATTTTCAAAACATCTAGATAAATGTAACATAAAATGATTTCATTTGCTATTGTTGGGTTTAGGTAAAGTCATTTAAATATCCCCCCACATACAAAACATTCTCACCGGCCAAATGTTCGCAGAGAGGCTCCCTCGGGAACATGGCCGGCGCTGACCTCCCAGGGGAAGTAATAGATGCCAGGTGTGGGCAGCATCCTTGGCTCCTCTCACCAAATAGCTGAGATGGATTTTTGGAGACTCCTGCAAATCAAGCAGACAGAGATTAGCAGATGTCTGGGACCAGCCACTTCTGAAGGCCTAGTTCCAGTGCTGGGTGTCTTCAAATTTTTTAAAATCGTTTTGATGGCTGTGCATTCACATATTTTGTTAAAAACTATTAAAAAAAAAAAAGTTGGGTATCCCCAATGGCGCAGGGGTTAAAGTCTCAGCACTATCAAGCACTATTGCCAGCCACTGTGACCTGAGTTAGATCCCCAGCCAGGGAGCTGACCCACACAGTGCAGCAGACCTCTCCTGTCTCCCCGCTGCTCCCCGCAGCGGGGAGTATTTCGGTCAGTCTGCCTGTTCTGCTCCCCACTCTGTCTGTGGTGAATCCTTTCATACCCTCCCTCCGCACCTCTGGCCTACACCCCAGTTCTTGTATGCATAAATACATAAATCTTTAAAAAAAATTTATATAATAACAATCACTGCAACATTCACTAGGCATTTTAAGAAGACAAGAGTTTACACACCCTCAGAGCACAAGATCTCCAGGGCACACTAGCGGGGACTAGAAAGGTGAGGGTGTGGGTATGGCCTGCAGGCATTTGTGTGTATGTGTAGGGTAAAGAAAATGTCAGGCTTTTCTGCCCTTCCGCCATCAGGATAGATGATGGATCCTTGTCCTGAATGCATGCCTGATGGCGGCACCTGGAATAGGGTGTGGGCATAGGTAGATGGGATTCAGCTGAGTTAAGACTGTGCTTTTAAGGGCGGCATCACGGGGATGCCAGAAGCAGCAGCAGCAGCAGCAGAAGTCGAAGCAGAAGCCGAGAAGCAGCCAAGAAGCAGCAGAACGAACGCCAGAGAGTCCAGATAGAGTGAAGACTTGCTGGGGGGCTGGGAGGCCTGCCAGCACCCCTGCCTGCCATATGCCGGGTGAACCCCAAATAAAAAACCTGCAAAACTACTGAGGACTCTGACTCCTCCATTACCCGGTCTGCATGGGATCAGAAAACCTGCACTGTGGTCAATTCTGCCTTACAGTATGTTTGTGTGTACATGAGAAAGAACAGTCCAGAACACAAGGAGCCTGTAGGGTAAGGAAAACTGTCAGGCTTTTCTGCCCTCCTGTCATCAGGATAGATGATGGATCCTTGCGGTCCTGAATGCATGCCTGATGGCAGACACCTGGAATTAGGGTGTGGGCATAGGTAGATGGGATTCACCTGGGCTAAGACTGGGCTTTTAAGGACGGCATCATGAGGACGCCAGAAGAAGCCAAGAAGCCGAAACAGAAGCCGAGAGAGAAGCAAGAGAAGCAGAAGCTGAGAGAAGGCTGGAGAGCCCAGAGTGAAGACCTGCTGGGGGCCCGGGAGGCCTGCCAGCCTCCCGGGCCCCCAGCACCCCTGCCTGCCATATACCTGGTGAACCCCAATAAAAGACCTGCAAAACCTGCAAAAACCACTGAGGACCCTGACTCCTCCTTTACCTGGTCTGCTGGATCATAGAAAACCTGCACTGTGGCCATTCCTGGCCCTTTACAGAGTCCCTTGTGGAAAGTGTTAAGGACTGCAGGGCCTCAGGAGTAATTGTTCAGTGACAAAGCCTAAAGGTGACAGCCTTCACCTGTTTCTTGCTAGGACAGCAAGCAGAGGCAGAACAAAGAAAGCGACCACGAGAGAGCCCCAAGCAAGGCCTCTGCAGAAACCAGATGACAGAGCATTTGCCCACAATGAAGGTAAGCTAGAATCTTGCACAATTGGGCTCCTCGTCCCCAGGAAGACGTCATGGACTGTAGGTCATTGTTCAGTGATCATCCCAGGACAGAGTGTCCAGAACAGGTTTGGCTGGTGTGACGGGAGCACTGGCCAAGGTCAGCAGCATCCTCTACCCCAAAGAGCAGGTGTTCCTCACAGCCGAGACCAGGGAGAAGCCACTTCGATCACCAGAAATGAGATAGCCCTCATGCTATCTTCGGCATGAGGCAAATAAATAAACAAAATAACAAGAAACAGCCAAGAGAAGAAAGAAATGTAGTTCTTGTTTGGGGTGATGGAGACAGTCCTGCCCAATCTAGCAAAAAGTTGAAGCTTCAGAATCTTGAAAAATAATTTTTCTACTCTCAAGGGCCACATATATTACAGGCTAAGCTGTTGGTAACTACATCACCAAATTTGTTTTTATTTAAATTATCTTGCAGTAGAGCTCTTTGGGGGCCTACACGTCTGTAAATTTTCACTTCATGAACTGTTTTCAAACAAAAGTTATGATGTATTTATTAAGGCGTTTCTGTGAAATCGGGCAGAGCTGGCTCAGTAAATTATTATTTGTACATTATCACACATGCAAGAAAGTTTTTAAGGAGATATAGCAAGACAGGCTCCTCTGGTGGCTCAACTGGATTTCAAATAATCTCTTTCAAAATCTAAGCCGTGGTGTAACCTGCCAATCAGCTCCTTTTAATTACCAAGGCAGAAATCCACTTCTGGGATTAAAATCCATGGTATGAACAAGAGAAAAATTCCGGGAAGCTTGTAAATACTATACAGAAAGGATCATAAACCAATCTGACTCTCTTTTTCTCTTAAGCAATTGCCAAGGTTTCTGTAAGAAGACTGAAGGTCAGAGGAGGAACATCTGATGACCAAGCTGTAGTTTTTATCAGCTTTGGGTTTGTTGTTGGGTTGGTTTGTTGTTCAGAAAGAAGAACCTTGATGGCAGATGTTAACCATTCGGCAATCAGAATAGACCACTGATTCTCACTACAGGATGTAGCGTGGGAGAAGCCAGATGGAAGACATGCAGGGTATTGGGAAGGGGCGTCCATGCTCTCTCCCAGAATCTCCACGCTCTCACCAACCTGGAAGTAGGTCACTGAGTCCTCTTTTTTTTTTTTTTTTTTTATAGAGGCATCCTTTATTTATTTATTTATTTATTTAGTTTGTTTGTTTGTTTTTTGTTTATACATCACTGGGTACAGTCAGAAGCGCGGGAGGGTGAGAGAATTCACCAGAGCCAGAGCGGGGAGCAGAGCAGGCAGAAGGACAGAAGTACACTGCTGAGGGGAGCAGCGGGCGGCAGGAGAGGTCTGCGCACCATGTGGGACCCTCCTCCGGTGGCCGGGGAGCAGCCGGGGATCGAGCCGGTGCCACAGAGGCCGCGGGCAGCTTCGCAGCCCAGCGCTCAACTGCTGCGCCACCAGGGAGGCCCCCTGTTTCCAATTTTAAATGTAATCTCAACCAAATGAATTTTACAGTGACCAAATAAAAGGATTATTTCATTATGCCTTTGAAAGTTTTGCAACTGCAGAGTAAAAACGTGTTTAGGAACGATCTTTCAGTGTTGGCTGGAAATATTGGGTAAAGGTTTGATGAGGACCAGGATACTGACATGGTCTCCGCATGTCTCCCCACTAATTATTTATTAACGGCAATGGGAAAGGGGTTCTCTTTGCAGTGAGGAAACTTGGCAAATGCAACCTTCGTGGACCTCTTTACAGGACAGAGTGAGGATGCTTCATTTTTGTGCTATCCCTGCAAAAACTGCACAATCTGAACCTAATCACGAAGAAATGTCAGACTAATTTGAGGGACAGTCTACAAAACAACTGACTTTACACAGAAGACGAAGAAATCACTCCAGTTAAGAGACTAAAGCAACAGGCTTCAGTCATGGGTTGAATTGTGACGCTGTTCCCCCTCCCCCCAAGAAATATGTCAGAGCCCTAACCCCAGCACCTTCACAATGTGACTTGTTTGGAGAGAAGGTCTTTACAGAGGAAACCAAGTTAAAATGATGTCATCAGGGTGACTGGACAGAGACACACACCGGGAGAAGGCGTGTGAGGATGAAGGCAGATAGAGCGTGAAAGGTACGGACTGGTAGGTCAAGGAATGCCGATTCCCAGCAGATTATCAGAAACTATGAAGAGAGACATGAAGCAGACGCCCCCTAGAATGAACCAACCCTGCCTACAGATCTTGACCTTGGCCCTTGGCTTCCAGAATGGTGGGGCAATCTGTTTCTGTTGTCAGACCACTGACTACCGGAGCCTGTGGTCCTCGGTGCAGGCACCCGCACAGAGTAACGCAGCTAAAGGTGCTTGCGAGTAGTGGACGGGATCTTGTTTGGGAGAAGCAACTGTGATAGAGGACATTATGGGAAAACTGTAAATCCATGCAAAGGTTTGTACATTTCTGCAGCAACAGTAAACTCCCATTGAAGGGTGCTCAAGAGGCGAGACCGACACAGGTGGACTACGTTTTAAGCGGAACTGACTCCCATGGCTTGAGTACGATGCCCAGCTGGCCTCTGCCCCATCTTTTTTTTTTTTTTATTTATTTATACAAGCACTGGGTACAGTCAGAAGCGCGGGAGGGTGAGAGAATCCACCAGAGCCAGAGCGGGGAGCAGAGCAGGCAGAAGGACCGAGGTACACTGCTGAGGGGAGCAGCGGGCGGCAGGAGAGGTCTGCGCGCCATGCGGGACCCTCCTCCGGTGGCCTGGCCGGGGAGCAGCCGGGGATCAAGCCGGTGCCACAGAGGGTGCGGGCAGCTTCGCAACCCAGCGCTCAACCGCTGCGCCACCGGGGAGGCCCTCGCCCCATCTTTCCTTATGTCACCCCCTCTCTCATGGCTTCTTTTCTACCACAAATTTCTGTCGGTCCTATCTCAAATACAGATTGAATCTATCCACTCCGTCTCCAAGGTGACCACCCACATCCAAGTCTCCATCAATTTGTCCATTCTCTTCAAATCAACTGGATTGATATCTTAAATACATAGTATGGGCCATCCTGCTGGCACAGGGGTTAAAGTCTGAGCGCTATTAAGCTATCCCTGCCATGGCCTGCATTTGAACCAGGCCAGAGACCCACATGGCGCAGCAGACCTCTCCTGTCTCGCCTGCTGCTCCCCTCAGCAGTGTATTTCAGTAGACACACCTATTTTGTTCCCCACTGTCTCTGGTGAATCCTCTCACCTTCTGCACCTCTGACCTACACCCCAGTTCTTGTATGAAAATAAATAAATCTTTAAAAAAAAAAAAGACATTTCAGTAATGGTAAATTCCAGATGATAAGAAATTCCACATGAAAAATGAACTTTTTCAACAAATTGAAAAAATGGGGGCCTCCCCGGTGGCGCAGTGGTTGAGCGCTGGGTTGCGAAGCTGCCCGCAGCCTCTGCAGCGCTGGGGTTCGATCCCGGCTGCTCCCCGGCCACCGGAGGAGGGTCCCGCATGGCGCGCAGACCTCTCCTGCCGCCCGCTGCTCCCCTCAGCAGTGTGCTTCGTCACTCTGCCTGCTCTGCTCCCTGCTCTGGCTCTGGTGAATCCTCTCACCCTCCCGTGCTTCTGACTGTACCCAGTGCTTGTGTAAATAAATAAATAAATCTTTTTTTTTTAAATAAATAAATAAATAAATTGAAGAAATGTAAGCTTCTCAGCCAACTTTACTGTGGGGATCTTGGCTGAAGACTGATTGGAGCAAACCAACTGTAGACAATTTGTTAAGAAGCAACATTTCCAAGTGTGACAATAATACTGTGATTATATTTGATAGCTTAAAGATGCATATTAAGATTCTTTGTGAGTAACAGAGGATTTACTTAAAATTAATGCGGGTAGAACTATAGCTGACATTTGTTGAACTGGAGACAAGTATATGGAATTCACTGTATCATTCTACCTTTGCACAGGTTTGAAGATTTCCATAAAATGTCTGAACGTGAATCAGACTGCACAATCCCCCTGAAAATCTATTCAAGGCTTCCCATTATAACTACAAAATTGAAAGCCTCTACCTTGACCTTTATGTCGCATGAGGTCTACACCTGGCTTAGCTTTCTTCCTCCTTTGCCTTCCCCTCCCCTCAGGACAGTCCGTGCTTTCCCTCAGGTTGGAACAGTCCTCTCCAGACCATCCCACGGCTGCTTCTCTTTTCTTATTCAGGTCCAGCTCATCTACCTCCTCCCTGTGCACCCCATTTAAAACTGCCTTCTCCACCATCCCATCATGCCATCCCCTCATCATGATTTATTTTCTTCATGGAAACTTACTAAAAGGATAGAATTTCATATAGTGTGATTTGCTTACTGGTTTAGTATCTACGCCTCCCACTAGCCTACCAGCTCCAGGAGGGCAAGGATTCTGCATTATTCCTTCAGTGTATCCCTTGCACCTAACACAGCACCTGGGACATTATTAAATGACTGACTGGATGAATGTATTTATGGGGAGTGAAAACCAAAACCATCTAGAGCCACACTAGCCTGCACACAGAAACACTAAGCCACACCTTATTACCTGCCGTTAAGGAGACTTTCTGGTCCTGTGCCTTCATTTGCTTTTTTTGTATCTCCTGACTGTCCAGTCCAGGCAAATGGTTTGAATGTCAGCATCCAGAATGACCACTGAAACTCTCTCAGTTCCTTCAACTTTGTTTCCACCAATTTTTACAGTGGTTCGTACCCAATCCTAATCAAGACCCCAAACTGATAAAACCCCTCCTTAAACCAAACTTCTAATTCTCCACAAATTAAGGCCTTACCGTCTCCTAAGACACTGTGAAATCTTCACAAGTCATGTTCTCCCTTACCTGAGTAAGCACTCAACTCAGCTTTTTCTCAACAGTATTTGAAGAGCTAGCTTTTGACAAGAGGAATGAAATCCAAACATAGTAGCACAACTATATGTTTTAATGGCTGGGGTCACTGAGTGCAGCCATCAGTTACAGGTATATTGGAGCAGAGATAAGCAATGATGGTAATCTGCGTAGTGTAGGTTATCTTTTTTCTTTAAATTTATTTATGCATACAAAAACCGGAGTACAGGCCAGATGTACTCCGAGGATTCACCAGAGGATTCACCAGAGACAGGCAGACCGACTCAAACACACTGCTGAGCAGAGCAGGGGGCAGGACAGGGGAGGTCTGCTGCTCATGTGGGTAGCTCTCTGGCCGTTGGGATGAATTCGTGCTGCAGAGGCTGTGGACAGCTTCACAGGTTGCATCCCAACCCCCTGCGCCACCAGGGAGGCGCTATTGTGGGTTACCTTGCATTCTTTTAAGTCACATTAAAATGCTCTAAGGTTTTTGGCACTCCTTTAAATTTTGCACAGGAAGTGAATGCCTCACAGCCCTTATCTAAGAATTGCCGCATTAAGGAACACTACCAGGCCTACAGGTTAAAAAACCAGGGGATTAAATGTTGTAACTAGGAAGAGATAAAGGGGAAGCAATAGCTTCACCCCCCTGTGTTGGACTGATGGTAACTAAATTGACCCAATCAAGAAAGAGCACATAGGTAGTTTACCAAGGAATTCTTTAGAAATCAGAACTAGAAGTTCAGCCGCTTAAATGTGGCTGCCTCTGAGGATGGGGAATTTGCTAGTTATTGCAAATTCTTCTATACTAATCTTTTCACTGGAAGATTTTGTTAGTTTACAGCACTGGATGTGACTTGGGGGTATATTCACACCTCTTCAGCTGGGAGTTGAAAAACCACGCCCGCACGGGACACCCACCATCTTCCTAGGGGTCCCCGCGACCCTTTGCTTCCCTCCCCCTCCACCAGGTTTTTGAACGTGTGCATTTACGACTTCGACGCCTGTGAAAATAAAGAAGTCCGGAGCCCCAGACCTCGAAGCACACAGGCCGCCGGCCTCATTCCTCGCGCCGCGCCCACCCCATAAACTTGGGGCGCGCCCGCACGCCCACCACCCACGCGGCCCAGGCCTCGGGCAGCAAAGACACAGTTATCTTAACAAGAGATAACTGGAGACGCTCCCCTTGTGACTTTCGTCCCAGACCCTCGCCCCCACCCTTTTGGGAGGGTCTCGGAAGTGGGAGGACCCCCCCACTCAGGCCCCTGAAGGTCCTTCTCCCTCTCACTTCCGGGGAGGCCCCTGCGCGCGCCGGAAGAGGCGGGGCGAACGAGCCCCCCCGGCGCAGGCGCAATCCTCCTCGGCCGCGCGGCCCCGCCCCCTGCACGCACTCCACGCTTCCCGGCCCCGCCCGTCGCCCGAGCGCGGCGCCGGCCTGGGGCTTTCTGTCCGCGCCGCGTGACCACGTAGCGGGCCGCGCTCCTCCCCGCGCCCGCGCCCGCGCCCGCGCCCGCCGGCCGCGCCCGCACCTGCTTCCGGGGTCCGCCGGCCGAGAGCAGGGCCCGCCCGCCCGCGGCCGCGGGGTCTCGGCGCTCTCGCGGGCGCCGCCTCCGCCTCGCCCCGGGGTCACGCGCCCAGGCCGCGGCGGGGAAGGGGCGGGCCCGGCGCGGGGCGGGGCTCGGCGCCGCGGCTGCTCTTAGGGCCGGGCCCGCGCCGCGGCCGGGACTCCCGTCGTCGCTGTCACCGCCGCCGCCGCCATGAACCCCGACCTGCGCAGGGAGCGGGCCGCCGCCAGCTTCGACCCCGAGCTGCTCACCCACGTCCTGGACGGCGGCCCCGAGAGGACCCGGCGCCGCCGAGAGATCGGTGAGGGCGGGGGGCGCCGCGGGCCGTAGGCCGCAGCCTCTCGTCCCGCGCGGGGGGCGCGGGGACCCCGACTTCCAGGGGCGGCCTGGAGCTGGGGAGCGGGGCGTGAGGGGGGCGCCCTTCCCGGGGAGGGGCTGTGCCCCAGACGGAGCCCGCCGCGGCCGAGCCCTGACCTGCTTTCCCGGCTGCCCTTGATCCCCTCAGAGAACGTGGTTCTGAAGGACCCCGACTTCCAGCACGAGAACGTCAACTTCCTCTCCCGCAGCCAGCGGTACGATCTGGCTGTTCGGAAAAGCGCCACCATGGTGAGGAAGATGAGGGAGTTCGGCATCGCAGACCCCGACGAAATCATGTGGTTTAAAAAGTAAGTGTGCCCCGGGGAGAACGGCTGTCTCCGCCCGACTGTAGACCCCCCGTCTACGGCCCTGTCCTGGTGCTCGGCGTCTGAAGACTCCAACTGGCATATTTTCTCCCTATTTTGGAGTTACAGTGTGAGAAAAGTTGTGTTTACGTTTGTACGGTAAGTCTTTTGAAGGAATGTCATTTGTCGAACGCCGATCATGAAGGGGGGAGAGGCCGCAGTTTTTATTCCTAAGAATCCTACAAGTTCTTGCAGCTCAGGTGCCTAAATCCTGAATGACTTAAACGCAGAATGAATTTGTTCTTTGTAAGAAGGGAGGCCTGCTCAGTTTAGACGCTGAATTGGGAAGGATTTTTGTCAGTTGCAAGATCAAACATTTAAATATTGGTAGCAATGACAGGTGCTATTTTCATATTATCGTGTGTGAATCTGGAGTTTAAGACAATGGAAGAACACTAGTCCACCCTTAGAATGAATATGAAGAATTCTAAGAATCCAGCATTGTTGAAGCTGGTGGCAGTGTTTAAACGGCTCTCTTGTACCTCTGAGAACTCAAAAAGCATGCTTCGGTTGGTGTACTGAAAAAAAGGATCTCCGTTTTTCACACTATTCTGTTTTTATTGTGTTGTACTTTTTGATTCAAGATACAATCTGTACTTCTTGGTCCTTATCTAAATATGATGCAATCACACCATGTTAGTATCATTGGCCTATAATGTTTCTTATGTTTATCCCTGAGCATTTCCTCTTTTAGGTTTCTACATTTTAGAAGAACTCAGGTGTTTTAACCAATAAAGATTAAATGATACGAATAGGGTATATTCAGCAGCCAATGAAGCATGCCACAGGCACTGCCTTTATATTGCAGTAGTCCTGCTCTTATGCAGCTGCCTCTGGTGCTTTTGGTATCTAATTATTTTCTATCTAACCTGTTTATTTTCAAGATGAAATCATTTACTCCCACCCTTAGGTCCTTGGAACCCTTTTCCATGGTTTTACCTATAAACATACAATTTGGTTTTGGTAACCCAAATCAGTGCTTACTAGCTCTTTAATTTTTGAAGTTTTAACTCTTGCCTATGGGGATATTGGGGCAGGTAGAGTAACTCCTAGAAGTCTGTGGTTCTGAAAAGATAATAGAGGTAGAGTAACTCTTAGAAGACTGTTTCTTTAAAAAACAAGTTAAGGGCCTCCCCGGTGGCGCAGCGGTTGAGCGCTGGGTTGCGAAGCTGCCCGCGGCCTCTGCGGCACCGGTTCGATCCCCGGCTGCTCCCCGGCCACCGGAGGAGGGTCCCACATGGCGCACAGACCTCTCCTGCTGCCCGCTGCTCACCTCAGCAGTGTCCTTCGGTCCTTCTGCCTGCTCTGCTCCCCGCTCTGGCTCTGGTGAATTCTCTCACCCTCCCGCGCTTCTGACTGTACCCAGTGCTTGTATAAAACGAAAACAAACAAACAAACAAATAAATAAATTAAAAAAAAAAAAAGCCTCTATTTAAAAAAAAAAAATAAAAAACAAGTTAAGATTTTGTTCTTCCACAAAGTGGTACAAAAGAAAAGGCTTGTTTTGCTTTTTTTTTTTTTTTTTTTAAATAGAGGCATGTTTTTATTTATTTATTTGTTTGTTTGTTTTGTTTATACAAGCACTGGGTACAGTCAGAAGCGCGGGAGGGTGAGAGAGAATTAACCAGAGCCAGAGCGGGGAGCAGAGCAGGCAGAAGGACCGAAGTACACTGCTGAGGAGAGCAGCAGGTGGCAGGAGAGGCCTGCGCGCCATGTGGGACCCTCCTCTGGTGGCTGGGGAGCAGCCAGGGATTGAACTGGCGCTGCAGAGGCTGCGGGCAGCTTCGCAACCCAGCGCTCAACTGCTGTGCCACCGGGGAGGCCCTTGTTTTGCTTTTAAATGGTTGGTGTGGTGGGTTTCAGAGTTGGTTAGATTATTTCATAATCTTTAATATATAACCAGATTCCAGGCAGGTCACAGTGAAATAGGACAAAGTCCTTTATGTGGGTTAAAGATCAGTGGGCACCAGCCAGTAGTTTCGTGTATCATTTTTCATGCTTACAGACCTTGCTATTTGGTGAATATAATGTACAAGCTTTAACACACCCTTTGACAACCTTCCAGTGTCCCTACAGTATGACAGGAAAAGCAACTTAGGTTAGAGAGGAGATTGGGAATTAGCTGTAGCCCTTAACAGGGTGCTGCTGAGTCTGAACCCGGCGCTGATTGTAACTCACACTAAATGTATTATGCATCACGAAGAAAAAATTGCTGCCTGTTGACTCTTAATGCACCGTTCATTGTGAGGTGGATCAGATTTCTTAGATGCTAAAAATGAGGAGTTGATAAAATACAGTAGTATCTCTCTGGAGATTTTGGGCATTTGCTGGTCTCCTGTATACCCACTGCCCCTGTCACACAATGAAACTCATGGGAATATTTTGAAGTTCACTGAATGTTAACACTTTAAGATATTCCTCAACGTGAGCTACAAAAGATCTGCTCTTGCCAGTCCTTGAGAAAATAGGACCTCGTGTTTGGGGAATATAAAAGCTGATTTCCTAATCTCCTTTTCTATAATTTTACCTTTTAACTGTTCTGTTTACTTTGAAAAGAAAACTGTGACTTCTTAAAGGTAGTCTTAAATTTTAGTGACAGTCAAGGTTTTGTTTTCCTGGGGTTTTCAAGCTGATTCCTTGAACACCGCCTTTAGGAGGAATTAAACAATAGAAAACAGGCACTTGGCTTTTTTGTTCTTGAGTTGATTTTCAAGTGACCTCAGAAACATCTCAGCATGTCTAAGAACATTAAATAGGAGTAACTGATTTCCTAGAGTCACTTGTTTTCTGTCGACATCATTTCATAAACCCAGAGCACTTTACTGAGTTGCTCTCAGCCTTCTCGGGGGCATAGAATTGTCTCATGTTGCCATCATTCCTAACACCTGCTTTTATTTCTCAGAAGTTCGTCTGTGTTCACGTCCTGTTTTGATAAGAAGTGATTGTAAGGGAGGACTGCAGTGCACTTGGCCTTTGCGAGAGCTACTTCTCGGTGGTCTAACTCATAGGCCTCCCATTTCAGAGAGGCGGGTTGTGTCTGAACAGTGTGCTCTGCATCATGGCAGCTGTGAGCTGAGTTACTGGAAACTGATTAACTCACCTCTTCTGTGCTGCTTTCTCCTCTCCCTCATTCAGTTTAACATTTGGAAAAAAGTTAACATTTGCTAGTGGTATAAAAATGATAGAATCTCAGGGTTAAAAAGCATTTTCAATTCTAGTCCAGTCTTTCTTGGACTTTAACTCTTTCCTCGGCCCCCCTGAAAGGCCATCTTCCACCCCAGACCTATGCTTGAAAACCATCAACAGCAAAGAAAGCATTTTTCACTGAAGCCAATGAGCTGCCTTTGTTGACTTTTGCACATGACTTAGGGTACAACTGTTACTCTCTCTGGTGGAATCTGCAGTGGTTCCGTTAATTCTTTTCAACTGATAATAGACATTAATATTTAAGCACATGTAAAGAATTGTCACCAAGTATATTATGATTTGTGAAAGACAGGAAAGAAAATGGGCTAATTCATGTAGTACTTAGGAAATAAAACATTAAGATAATCTGTTGTGTTTACTATTGTTTTTTGTTTCTTTTAAGCTGGAGCAGTGGTGTCAGGGCCTTCCCCAGTGCGGATTGGCAGCCTACCTCATCTTGCCCGTAACTCGTGCTCTGCTGTTGAACAGACCAGGGTAGACTGCTGATGACACCACTTCCTGCCCAGACCCTTGAGGTCACGAAGATCAGTTCAACATATATCTTGTACTTTAAGCTCTCTACAGAGAGAATACAGAATGGACCTCCATGTCTGTAACAGTGGAACCAAGGCCAATAATGTGTGCAGTTTGTATTGTGACATTTCATGCATTTTGTTTTATCAGACGATAGTTGATGACTGAATTTCATGATGATTAGAGTTCATCTCAAGTCATGTTCAAAGACTTGAGTGATAAGTTCTTAACATTCTCACATTACTACTTTCCCATCTGTAGCCTCTGACAGCCTCTAGAGATGACAGCCTCAGTGCTTCTGCCCTGAAATATATATTTTTGATCTTGATTGTACAGTTATTTAGGAAGAGAGCGTCTGTAGGAGCTTTTGCTAGCAGCTCTATAAGTAGGCTGTGGAGTTCCTTTTGATCTCAGAACGAGTAAAACCTTAAAAAGCACACACTGCAAAATATCCGACCAATAACTAACACCAGCCCAACCAAAACCAAAAGGGTTTTTTGGGCTTAAAGCATGAGTAGAGTTTCCTTCTGGATGAGTGTAGGATTTAGAGAAGAATTCTCACCCCAAATTGACTAAGGGAGAGGAAGTACACTAGATCCTCTTAGGAGCAAAATGGCATTTAGGGGGCAAAATTTTACATTGAATTTCCTAAGAAAGCAGTTTCAGTTTTCCTGACCTTCATCCCCAGGGCCGCGCTGTTTGGCAAGGATGGGTGGCAGGACGCACTTTCGAGAGTAAGGCTGAGACCCTTTTCTTTTCTCTCCTGTAGACTACTTTTGGTCAATTTTCCGGAACCTGTGGGCCTCAATTACTCCATGTTTATTCCTACCTTGCTGAATCAGGGCACCACTGCTCAGCAAGAGAAATGGCTGCTTGCATCCAAAGAACTCCAGATAATTGGCACCTACGCCCAGACGGAATTGGGCCACGGTTAGTCCGCGTTTGCGAGGCAACGGGTCACCCACCTCAGGACTTCAGCTGAATGACCCCCAGCATTTGGCTTTGGTTCTGCTGCCACACACTTAGGATTTTGATTTTAAGTTGTTGAATCTTGAATAAAATTCAGCTTTTCATTTTTCTCATAGGTCGTCACCTCATAAACTGGCTTAGGATTCTGGCCTGAAACATCCTTCGTTATTTCTTAAAGCCGTTTACCATCGCAGCGTAGACCCCATTATAGGGGGTGTTGAGCAGCTTATAAAGATGAGGTTGAAAATATTCCAGAGCACCCCCTCCAAGATGTTGGTGTCTAATTTTTAAAGACTGTTGGAAATGCTTGAGCGTATTACTGCATCAGCAATATCTGGAAGTTGCCATGTTTTAATGAACTTAAATATGAGTGTTTTAATGGGGATAGAGGATGAGAGCAGTTAGGTGTCTTACTCTCTCATTACCCACTAGTGGGCTTAGAGGGTGGGGCTCCCGGGGGAGTCCATGATTCTCTTTGATTCCAGTAACATTTTATACACTTTCCCTATACATGTCTGTGGACTCTTGGTTAAATTGTTCATAAAATGACTACTTTCAAAAACTTTTATGCAAGTTTCCTTCGCAAGGAAAAGGCCATAGACAGGTTTGAGCATCTTGAATTTGAACTGCCAGGCTCACTCCTAATTATTATAATAATTCCATTATGCAAATAAAGGCAAGCAGAGAAGGGCAAGAGAAGGGAGGCACAGACCAGAAAAGTGGAGCTTCAGTGTTTGATTTGGTGCGGTTTTGTGAACTGGTATAGGGCAGTGTTCTCTATCATAATCCCGAGCGGAGAGTAGATTCTGATCCTGAATCTTGGAGTTATGAACACCTGAGACTTAACTTTCGCTTCAGGACGGCAGATACTGAAATACTGAGCCTGAAGAAAGTGTCCTAAGGGAAGGAAGGTTCTATTCATACTGCACTTGTCCTCTGGCGGAGAGAGATGCGTGCATAGGGAAAGGGATCTTGAAATAACATGAGGTGCACAGCCATTTTCATTGTAGTAGGCATTGTAATATTGATTTGACATAGTGTTGCTCATAGGCTGAAGTGTAAGCTACTCTGAGGCCAACTGGGTCTGGATATGGTACTCTCTCTTGTTGGTCTAATCCTTCTGCCTCTAATTATAAAGTACATTGCAAATTTATGTGTTTAATTCTGAAACTTTGGAACATTGGCTAGTCAACCATGATTATCTGAAAGATAAAAATTATGTAAAGATTCTCACAGAGGCCCTCCCTGGTGGCCTAGGGGTTAAGTCTCTGTAATCACCACTGTGGCCTGATCCCTGGCCAGGAAGCTGACCCACATGGTGCAGCAGACCTCTCCTGTCTCCCCACTGCTCCCTTCAACAGTGTATTTCAGTAGATCCTCCTGTTCTGCTCCCCACTCTGTTTCTGATGAATCTTCTCACCCCCCCCCCATACATCTGGTCTATACCCCAGTTCTACACCCAAAAAAAAAAAGGTTCTCACAGAATTGGCTTTAACTTTGACTTTGGGATTCTTTGACGTTTCCATAGCCACTAAGATTGAAGAGACTCAGTATTAATCAGGCTTCTTCTAGTGCCCCAGGAACCTTAGAATCCACTCACCTGCAGAAAGTTTCCATTACCACTTTTCTGTTTTCCAGAATGTGTCTTCCATCCTCTACACTCATACCTGTCTCTGTAGGCATATGACTCCCAACACATTCTGATATGGTCTGTGTGTCTTAGCTAGAGGCAGAGGCCTGGACAGAGGCCATTTCTGGGATCAGAGGCACAGCCTGGAAAACCTGGCCAGGAGTTGGTTATTCTGTCCATGCATTTCTCCACGTCACAGGCCAGGTGGTTGTTTGGTCTTCACAGATTTTTGATCATTTCACATTCTAGGCACCTCATAAGGAGCCTTCTGGCCTTGTTTTGTGTTATCACTGCTAGTAGCGCTACTGTCACTGCTTAGGAAAGTCGAGCATGTGTATGTCACTGTTCTTCCAGATGATGCAGTAGTTTTGCAAATCCCCATCACTAATGCTCTAGTAGGAAATAAAGCACCTTCTTTCTTTGAAACTTGAAAAATCCACCATAGACTCCATTTTCATAAGTCACTGCTTTCTCTTCCCCTGCCTCTTCGTGCTTCCATCTCCCAATAGTCTCCTGTCTTCTCGTCTGCCCTGAATGACTCTCTTTACTGCCTGGGCTATTCTAATTTCCCACTGTTACTAATGACCATGAAAACGCCTATAAACATCTTTACAAAGACTGTGTTCCTTGAGGTTATGCCTTTGCATTATGTTTGTCAGGAGTGGATTACTGCATTGAAGGTAATGCATATTGGGTAACTTCTGTTACGGAGTTCAAGATTTTTCTTGAAACATTTAACCAGTTTATGACATATTGAGCAACTTCTTAGTGTACTGGTGTCTCCATAGCCCCATCAACATGGTTACTTGAATTTCTTTTTCCTACTTAAATATACTAAGAGTTAGGTTTAATTTTCCAGTCCTAGAGAACCTGGGTGTCAGTACTCGGGTTGGCTTACAGTCTGTGTGACCTGTGTGTAAGCGATGTTTAGTAAATAGGATTAGTTTGTTGGTCTGATAGAATTATGTCGTATCCTTGCAGTATTTGCTGTTGCCTTCTGTTTTGTTTAACATTTTGGCCTTATGTATTCAATACATCCTTCTCTAAATAGGACTAGATTTTCTTTTCCCCAAATCTCAGATAATGATCTTACATTTTCTTGCCTTTTTTTTTTTTTTTGGTTTGGGCTATGTTTAATGCGTTGACTTGTATGGGATGCAGAATGACAAGTGTTTATTAACTAGTTTGTTCATTGTTCTTGTTTTAATATGCTTTCCGATTTGTCTTAGAGTTTTATAATTTTCCATCTATTTCTGGAACTTAAAATTCATCCCCTTGATTTGTTCTTTGTTTTTCTCCTAACATAAACTTTGGCTAGCGGTTGCTTTATAAGAGAGTTTAAAATCTGACAAGCCTAACACTATTATTGTTACATTTAAATATATGTTTGGTGTTCTTGCATACTCTTCTAGATGAATTCTGATCCCAGTTTGTCAAGTTCTAAAATAAATTCTACAGGGATTTGAAAGTTATTTTACATTACATACATATATTTTCCCAAGAAGTATTATCTTTTAGTCCTCTCTGCCAGGAACTAGACATTTCTTTCCTGTTCATATCTTTTGTTCACCCTATTAAGTTTACTTTTTTCCTAAATAAATCTTTAATATCCTAAATTAAGTCACTAACACATTTTAAACATTTTGTTACCTTTGTAAATCAGCTCTCACTGGAATTTGTACTTGTACCATCTTGATAAGAATGCAGTGAATTTTTTTCCCCCTTATAACCTGCAGCTTTTCTAAATTAATTTGTTATTGATGGAGTTTTGTCATTGATTTCCTAGGATTGTAATCATGCCGTCCATGGAGGTGCTATTTTGATTTCTTCCTTATTATTAATCTAATTATTTTGTCCTCAGTATTGACTGCCAGCCTTTCCAGTCCTGTATCACGTGGAAGGAGAGACTAGGAAGGCCTTTTGGGGTTATGATTTTATTTATTTTATTCTTTGGGGGATTGTGTTTTAAACTAGCAGACTCTAGAGCTTCACCAAATAAAACGGTGCTTTGTATTATTAAAATAAATTATTTAGAAATAATATGTGATCATTATCATGCATAACCAACTTTTTTACAACAAATGCTTGATTAAAGTCAAAAAGCTATCCAGGCCGCTTTCTCCTCGTGATATTTCTAAATTTCGTCCACCTCTGAATGATCCTTGTCTTAGTTACAGGAGACAGTTTTCTCCTGAAAACATTCATCAGCCTCAAAACAGTTTATGGATGTGGTAGTGCCGGCCCTGGCTCCCGCATGTGTTGTGCCTGCTCCCAGCACAGCGCCCAGGATGGGCCTCTGCGAGCCTGACTGCATTTCGGCCGTGCCGTAGCTGCAAATGGCTCTGGTTTCTTTTTGATTTTTCTTTTTTTGTGTTTGCCCTCGAGCGTCTAGTCCTGGAGCACAGCCTTTCAGCACTGGAAGCGGCTGGTCTCGGGCCAGTTTTCAGTTCCAGTTCCAAGAGTGCTCTCCTTGCAGTCCCCAGGCACGCATGGTTTTTTAATTTCTTGATTTATTCTTTTAAGAACTGGGAACAAGTTGGCATTTCGGTTTGTGAGTGAAAAGGCACCCTCTTTTTTTTCCAACTCTATATTTTGAAATGACAGTTCATAGGAAGTTGCAAAAATAGCTTAAAGCAGTCCTGTGGACCTTTCACCCACTTTCCACAGCTGCTCCCATCTCCCGGGATTTCGGCTTCAGCATCGCCGGCTAGCCTTGGTCCTGGCGAGGTGTTTTGGTGTCATCCTCGTCCTCAGTCGGGCTTGTGCTGGTCCCGTCATTCTGCCGACTGGTAGACTTGAGATCCTTGTTTTTGCCATTATCTTTTTGACCCGAGTCACTTAACTCATCTCAGCATTAATTTCTTTGTAAGATGAGGAAGTCACATATTATTTGATTTTTGTGTGACAGGTTGGTCGCACGCAGTCTGATTATAAGACATGATTGCCCAGCCCTGCCTGAGCTCTGTGCCCTGGGTCTCGTCTTCCTGACTGTCCATGGAACAGACAGACATTTTAAAGCTAAAATGTTGTTCAGGTTCAGGTCTGAGACAAAGGATAAAAGAGCAACATACGGTTGATTGACAGCTAAACACGGTGCCAGTAATACAGTAACATGGAAAATTACAGAACTATGTAGAAGAACTCTTTCCTATGGAAAATACACTGAGAAGTCTAAGGCATCCGCAAATAGGAAGTGGGGAAAAAATGACTTTAGAAAGTGCATTTAAAACGACTGAAAACTATAGTGTTTATTAACATTTGTGACAAATCCTACATAACTGCAGTGGAAAGTTTGTTATGCATGCATTTGTTATTTGTAATTATGATGATGATGATGGTCTTTACTAGAAGTTCCCGTGTCTTTTTTTAATTTCTGAAATTATTGGAATGAAGAGCACTGTCAACTTCTGTATCCAGTTGTTTCAACAGCACATGGCTGGATGTTTGTGAACCTGAATGCAGTGGCCAGAGTTACGTGAGATTGTGGGTCTGTGCTGGGTGTTTTGTGGACTGACAAAACATTCCCACCTAGAAGCATTATCGAAATTGCATTCGTTGTGAAGGAGACGAGTGCCATGAGCATGCTCCCTGCCGGCTGCAGGAGAAGGGCGATGGCTCTGAGTTTATTAAAGCGATACAGAAAGGGGCAGTGCTCGCTCCCACGACCGAGTCCAACAGCTAACCCATACTTACAGGAGGCTTTTTTTTCTTCCCTTGTTCTCCGATCAAATTGCTCTCTCCCTCTCCCCTGATGACTCCTCTCTCAAATGCCCATCCGTGGTATTTCTTCGAAGTTCTGTGCACCGAGGGCAACCTGAACCTCTGGATCTCCACTTGGGCATGTTCCTGCCCACCTTGCTTCACCAGGCAACCGCGGAACAGCAGGAGCGCTTCTTCATGCCCGCCTGGAACTTGGAGGTCATTGGCACTTATGCCCAGACAGAGATGGGTCATGGTACGGTGCATTCAGTCTACCTTCCGGGTGGGCGGGGCTCCGCGAGCTGTGCATGTGTGGCATGCCCACCCAGTGACAGCCATACCGTGCCCGGTTTAGATGTGGCCTTCCTGCAGCACGGGTGGTTTCTCTGCCTCAAGTCTTGGCCCAAACATTGCTTTGGTCAGTAGACTTAAAAGTTATGTTGCCACGGATGGGTGCTGCTTGCTTTGTCGCAGTCCCCTTCAGCAGGTCAAGAATTACCATCAGGCCATGTTTACTCAGTGGGTTTTCAGGTTCACTTATGGATAGAATGTCTGTGCTGTAGAACCTGAACCCTGTCTTTCATCTTCGTCACTGTCCAGTTGCCTGTTCTGCTGCCACCTTAACCCACATTCACAAATTGCAGAAGACAGATTAATCATGTGTGTGTTCTTTGACTTGCTTGAGGGGAATGAGTGGCTTTTATAACAAAATGTGCATCGTTTTGGATCTTGGAGTCATTTATGCCTTCATTGAGCAAATTCTGTAACGTCGGCTGAAGGTTGGCTTGGCCAAAGGCCAGAAATAGGAGGCGGTGAGCCTTACTTCCAAGCCTCAGGTTTCACACCATGTCCAGCTCCGATTTTTCATCCCCCACCCACCTTATTTTTGATCCTGGGGAGTGTCCTGTTTTCATCTGTTCTGAATGCCATTCATTTGCTTCCAGCTTCTCTTTCTGCTCAGCAGCTTCAGGAAAACTGGCTTAGTGTCTGTTTGCTACTTGCTCCTTACTTTTGGACAACTTCATCTTAATTCTACAGCTATTTTGGCTCTTGGCTTTAGTGCTAAATAGTATTTCATGGAATTTTCACAAGACTCAAAGTGGAATACTATTTGGTTCAGTTGTGCATTTGAAAACGTCTCTGTGTGTTCTAGTTAATTGCCTTGCGTTCTCCACAAGCTTCGCTGAGGGAAGGAGTCTGTGTGTCTGGTTCCTGTCTCCCAGTCGGGAAACGTGGGGTCTCTCGGCCATTTCTGTTCTTCAACTTGAAAATGTCTGAGTGTTTCAAGTTTGAATGTGTATTGAAGTCTCGCTTCAGCAGAGCAGCTGCCACGGGCTTCTCGGGTTTGCTTCAGCGTAGGGTCAGGGCAGAGAAGGGTGCTGAGGGCCTAGTGCTGCAGCTCTTTTCGGGAATCGTGGCTCATTTGTTTTAGGATTTGAAACGGGAAGCCCTGTGCCAGTAAACACATGAAACTGGCACTCCTGTAGTCATGCTAGCCAGCCAGCTAGGACCAGGGTTCAGCCTGGCATTGGATCAGGGTGATGTCTCTGTTCTGGGTCTTTCCCCTGTACTGGGTCTGCCTTCTCAAGGACATGTTTTCCGTTTTAGCTATCATTCTGAAATAAATTCCCCATTTACAGTAACTTCAGCTAGAGTCTTTTTCTGCTGCGTTGTATTATTCTTTGTAACAGTAAAATATCCCAGAATATTCGATCAGTATAGTATAGTAGAGCCAACACATACAAATTGAAATTGGCAAACTCAGTGGGTTGAAAAGGGCCGTTCCCTTCCCTGTGAAATTCCTACCTTGTGATTTTATGAAACTGCAACTCTACGCTGCCTTTACATTCTCTCTTGGTTGGTCTCAATGACCTAAGTGTGCTGTCGAGGCTCACGAAGCTAAGTGTAGCCACAGTACATGCTTGGCGTGTATGTTTTCAGCTCACAGGCCCTGTCTGACATTGGAAGAGCGTGTATCTCGGACATTGGCCGACTGTAGCTCATCTCCGTATGTTTCGTTGTTATTAGAGTTTTTCTCTGAGATACTAAAGCTTAAAAACCTGGGTGGGAGATTTTACCCCGTACCTACTTTTCCCGTCGTTTGTCAGAACTAAATGTAATTTACGTCTTCAGGCACTCATCTTCGAGGCTTGGAAACCACAGCCACTTACGACCCTAAGACCCAGGAGTTCATTCTCAACAGTCCTACCGTGACGTCCATCAAGTGGTGGCCTGGTGGCCGTAAGTGACTTTTAAAGCATTTTTGGATAAAATTGTGTTTACAAGGTGCAGCTTATATGAGAAAATAATTTTGAAACGGGGTAAAAAACTTAAGTCTTACGCCATTCTAAGGTGTTTCACAGTCTCTTGTGGCATGTGCGGTAGATGTTTATGTAGTTCACAGAGTGCAGAAAGGCTAGCTGTCTTACTGTCTGCTTTCTAGTTTTTCATCTAAACATGCCTGTGTATCAGCATAGATTGCATAGTTATCTCTTTGTTATTCATGTTCTGTATTGTAATATGTGACATTTTGGTTAGAAAAAACTAGCGTGGGTAAAACATACATATTCTGAGTGTGTTAACCAGAAACCTCTGATGGCAGCTCTGCTCCATAATGGAAATACTCTCTGTCTTTGGGGTTCGCTCTGCCAGCATCAGCCCCATGCAGCTTTTTTTTTTTTTTTTTTAAGATTTATTTCTTTATTTATACCAGCACTGGGTACAGTCAGAAGCGCGGGAGGGTGAGAGAATTCACCAGAGCCCGAGTGGGAGCAGAGCAGGCAGAAGGACCGAAGTACACTGCTGAGGGGAGCAGCGGGCGGCAGGAGAGGTCTGCGCACCATGTGGGGCCCTCCTCCAGTGGCTGGGAGTAGCCGGGGATCGAACTGGCGCTGCAGAGGCTGCGGGCAGCTTTGCAACCCAGTGCTGAACCGCTGCGCCACCGGGGAGGCCCCCCATGCAGCTTTTGAGCTCTTGCATTGTGGCTGGTCAACCAGGGAGCCGAGTCTCTGGTTTAATTATAATTAGAGGTGAATAGTCCGTGTGATTCAGCAGTTATGTACAGCATTGCCTTAAGGGAGGAAAAAGGAAGTGATTTAAATGGAAGTTCTTATGTTTGCCCTAAAATTTTCTTTGAGAATGAATGAGAAATAAGAAAGTAAAGTTGTCTTTTTTAAGACAACTTTAACTTACACAATTCTTTCACCTGTTTAAAAATTTATATATAAATATTAAAAATGAAGGATTGCTTAACCAAAACATCAATAAATGTTACTAACCTAGGTGGATTTCTTGCTGAAAACTGGATATGGTGCTGCCATAAGACTTGGGCACCCTTCATTTTCATAGTCTGTCATCCTATTTAACCCAACCTTTCCCGTCTTTTCTTGCTGTCCACTGAAGATATAAGAATGTTTGCTCACTTTTCTCCCTTGTTTTCTTTGATGCTGCAGTTGGAAAGACTTCAAATCACGCCATAGTTCTTGCCCAGCTCATCACTAAGGGGAAATGCTATGGATTACATGCCTTCATCGTGCCCCTCCGGGATATCGAGACCCATAAGCCCTTGCCAGGTTAGAATTATTCCTCTGGGGTTGAGATGAGAAATGATAAACCCACTACTTTCCTATGCAAGAAAGTATAATATGCCTATAAAGGAGGGGCAGTCAAGTGTTGTAGAGGGTTAATACTTGATTCTCCTCCCATGTGTGGTAGGTATTACCATCGGAGACATCGGCCCCAAGTTTGGCTTTGATGAAATAGATAATGGCTACCTGAAGATGGCCAACTATCGTATTCCCAGAGAAAACATGCTGATGAAATATGCCCAGGTACACTTAGGGGTCAGCACGGGGGTTTCAGTGGCTGGTGATAACCACGGGGTTAGATGGCCCTGTTCTTTTATATGGTAATAACATGTTTTCACTTCTGATGCTTCTTTTATTAGAACAGTGACATCAAAAGCATTTGACAGGTATAGAGATTTGCTAAACCAGTGGGTCTCAAATTTCAGCCCCCACTAGGATAATCTGGAGGGCTAGTTAAAGCAGGTCAAGGTGGGGGGCTGAGGTTTTGTATTTCAGGCAAGTTCCCAGGTGATGCTGCCTCTCTGGGGACCACACTGTGAGAAACAGTGGCCTAAACTGCTGCTCAACGTGAATAGGAGGACACATCCCTCCCGTGTTCTTTTTCCAGGTGAAGCCCGATGGCACATACGTGAAGCCCCCGAGTAAGAAGCTGACCTACGGGACCATGGTGTTCGTCAGGTCCTTCCTTGTGGGAGAAGCTGCTCGGAGTCTGTCTAAGGCTTGCACCATTGCCATCCGCTACAGCGCCGTGAGGCACCAGTCCGAAATCAAGCCAGAGTAAGGCCGGCCTCTGAGATGGGCACAGTCAGTACTGGAGATCCCTTTCAAGTGTCAGAATCCCCGAATGGGGCATAGAGCGGATGCACAGGCTGAGCAAATGAGCTGGATGGCAGCGTGCTGGCCTCCGCGTGGAGCCTGGCCTTCCTGTCCTAAGGCAGAAGGAGAATATCAACTTTGTTTTTATCTATAACCTTCTAAGAAAAACAGTAATAAAATCACTTGAACTCTATAAATGAAGTGTTCGAACCACTGAAGACATTTGGAAAGGTTTGATTTACTAACAGCAATGATTGGGGAAGGCTAAAGTGACGTTCAGCCAGATTCCCACTGTGTTCGGTGCCAGGGTTTACTCCCGGTGCCTTTCACTTGGGCGTGACTCCCTGATGGCCTTCTTACTCTGAAAACAGGAAATTGCTAAGAGCAGCCCTTCTTAGACTTCGGGTGCTCAACTCTCTGCTTTGGGTCTTCTCCACAGTCGTGGTCAACACAGTTCATTTAGCTACCCGGTGGGTTGGGCCTCCTCAGGGTTGCGTTCCTCCTGCGAAGTTAACTGACTTTGATATTGTATGTTGTCATGAGACCTCATTTCCTTGTCATGCTAGAAGGACTAAGACAGGAACTTCCTGGCTATTCTGTCCAGCCAGGGCAGCTCAGCAAGGTTGTCGAGAGCATGGTCCTCTTCTGTAGCCGAACAGCCTAGATTTAAATTGAGCTTTTGTCTCTTATTAACTGTGTGACTTCAGGCAACTTCTTTATCATTTCCCCCATCTGTAAAATGGGGGTGTGGTAGCCATCTCACAGGTTCTTCAGGAGGTTCAATTAATGTATCAGTGTCTAGAGCACTGAGCTCTGTGTGAGTGTTGGCTAATTATTTTTCTATGTATTTTAGCGAGCCGGAGCCACAGATTTTGGATTTCCAAACCCAGCAGTATAAACTTTTTCCGCTTCTGGCCACTGCCTATGCCTTCCAGTTTGTGGGCGCCTATATGAAGGAGACCTATTACCGGATTAATGAAGACATCGGCCATGGGGACCTGAGTGAACTCCCTGAGGTACGTGCTTAGTCTCGTTCCCTTGTGGGGCCCTTCTGTCTTGTATTTGTCTCTTAGGTGATGCTCCGAGAAAATGAAACTTTGAGATTTCTTGGAAAGAGTCCCTATAATCTTGAAAGATACGGACATATTTCTTTTTTTGTTTTTGTTTTTTTATTTTTTAAAGATTTATTTATATAAGCACTGGGGTACAGTCAGAAGCGCAGGAGGGTGAGAGAATTTGCCAGAGCCAGAGCGGGGAACAGAACAGGCAGACCGACAAAATACACTGCTGAGGGGAGCAGCAGGTGGCAGGAGAGGTCTGTGTGCCATATGGGACCCTCGCCTGTGGCCGGGGATCGAACCGGTGCTGCAGAGGCTGCGGGCAGCTTCTCAGCCCAGCGCTCAACCGCTGCGCCACCAGGGGAGGCTCAACTACGGACATATTTCTAATTGAAAGTAGATCATATGTAAAAATATGTAGAGTTTCTTGTTTTTGTGTAGAAGAACTGGGGTGTAGGCCAGAGGTGCGGATATGACAGGGTTCACCAGAGACAGAGTGGGGAGCAGAATAGGCGGATCTGCTGAAACACACTGCTGAAGGGAGCAGCAGGGAGTCAGGAGAGATCTGCTGTACCATGTGGGTAGCTCCCTGGTCAGGGATCAAGCTCAGGCCGTAGTTGTGATAGCAATGAGACTTAAACTATAGGCCACCAGGGAGGCCCTGTGGGGTTTGCTTTTAGGCTTCAGAAATATGTTACTGTGTTGGTTATTTGTGAGCCAAAGGTGTATGAGCAGTGACTGCCTCGTGGACCAGTTTAGAAGGGAACATGACGTGTTTTTAATTCAGGCTGATAGGAGGAATGTGTGTCCTGTGTTTACACACATGGCGGCTGACCTCAGCAGAGACTGGTGCTGTTAGCTGAGGATGTATTTCTCATGGGTTCAGACGATCAGCACCCCATTTTCTCGGCCCTGTGCTCTTCCCCTTCAGCTTCACGCCCTCACCGCAGGCTTGAAGGCTTTCACCACCTGGACGACTAGTGGGGCTATCGAAGCCTGTCGTATGGCCTGTGGTGGCCACGGCTACTCTCACTGCAGTGGTCTTCCAAACATCTACGTCAACTTCACCCCGAGTTGCACCTTCGAGGGAGAAAACACTGTCATGATGTTGCAGACGGCCAGGTGAGTGTGGAGTCAGGGCCCTCGTTCCTAGCCGGCCCCAGTCCCATGTGGCCTGTGGTCCTCATGGGATTGGTTCCTAAAACATGGAGGTTTACCTCCCCTCCTGACCCACTGTTTCATCTTGTGCTCATTACCTTCCAGTATGAGACCCCTGGTTCGTAGGTTAAAGGCACAGAGTTTTAACTTCTGTTTCTCAAGAACCACATTTCACGAAAGCGTGCGTTTCTGGCGGCTTTCAGGTTCCTGATGAAGAGCTATGACCAGGTGCACTCGGGGAAGCTGCTGGGCGGCATGATGTCCTACCTGAACAGCCTGCCCAGTCAGCGCATCCAGCCGCAGCAGGTAGCTGGCCGGCCGGTTGTGATGGACATCAGCAGCCTCGACAGCCTGACAGAAGCCTACAAGCTACGCGCGGCCAGGTGAGCGTGGCAGCAGGGAACCCGCTGGGCCGGGGGTGGGGGGATGGGGAGGGAGGCAGCGAGTACTGTGGGTCATTTCCACGGGCTCCCATTTCCTTTCATTTCTTAACAGATTAGTAGAAATTGCTGCAAAAAACCTCCAAACTGAAGTAATGCGCCAAAAAAGCAAGGAGGTGGCTTGGAACCTAACTTCCGTCGACCTGGTTAAAGCCAGCGAGGTCGGTAAAGGTTCTTCTCTTCCCTTCCCCCTAAACCCCCCCCCCCCCAACAACCTCCGCTCTACCCACCCCCTTCCTTTTTTCAGCTCAGAAACCCAGGTCTGTCCTGACTCCTGCTCATAGGTGCTCCCATCCCGGTGTTCTCTCTCACCAGGCGCATTGCCACTATGTGGTAGCGAAGCTCTTTTCAGAGAAACTCCTCAAAATTCAAGAGAAATCCATCCAAGCTGTGTTAAGGAATTTGTGCTTCTTGTATTGTCTGTATGGAATCAGCCAGCACTCAGGAGATTTCCTGCAGGTCAGTGTTTTCTAAATTTCAGTCCCTTTGCAGGGGATGTCTGCTTCAGAGTTGAGTACGTAAGTATCTGGTTCTACATACTTACATATTTGTTTGCTTGTTCTGTTTCTTCTAGGGGAGCATATTAACAGAATCTCAAATTACTCAAGTAAACCAGCGTATAAAAGAGTTACTGATGGTGATTCGCCCTGATGCCATTGCTTTGGTGGATGCCTTTGATTTTAAGGATATGGCCCTGGACTCAGTGCTTGGCCGCTATGATGGGAATGTGTATGAAAACTTGTTTGAGTGGGCCAAGAACTCCCCACTGAATAAAACAGAGGTAAAAAACCTATCTTTTCACCTTTTGAAATTCTTCATTTAAACATTTAAGCAAGAGCAGTCCCTGGTGCAGCCCAATGGCCTTGGGGCCACTTTCCTGAACAGCAGGTCGAAAAGAACCTGTTGCCTCAGTGAGCAGTTTTCATCCCTTGACTCTTTAATAATGAGCTGAGAAGTTCAGTTGCGTACATAGTGGGGCACTAGGATGCACTTGCCCTTGGTCTGCTTCAAGGAGCGACTGCCTGCAGCCTCTCCCCAAGATCAAGTTGCAGTGACCCAGGAGGGCAGTTTTATCCAGAGGCCTGGAGCTGGGCGGTGGGGGGAGCAGGTGCACGTTGGTGTGGCGCATACTTCCCAAATGCCATCACTTTGTGAACAAGGGGTATCAAATTTGATTTTCAAAAAGCTGGGCTGTTTTACACTGCAAGCTCCTTATAGTTATTTCTTCTCTCTCCTTCCCTTAAAGGTCCATGAGTCCTACCATAAGTACCTGAAGCGTCTGCAGTCCAAGCTCTGAAGTGTCCTGGGGCGTCCTGCTGCTGAAAGCCACTGTGTCTACTTCCTTCCCTCACACCTTGCACACTAATCTGCCTGGAGTTTTTGTCCTATTCAGAGAGCTCTAAAGCAAATGAAAAATTGACAACCCCTTTCTTTCCTCTTTTTGTAAATGAAGAAAACAATGAACAGATTGCCGAGATTAAGTGAGAAAACAGATGTGTTTTAAGTGCAATTAACACTGAAAGAGACCTGTTAAGCATTCAAAAGAAGCTTTAAGAAATGCAGTATGACTTCCTTTTGCAATGCTGCTGATCCCAGTAGGCTGTGACTTTGGATAATTAGCAGAATTTAACGGCTTACTTGCTTATCACTGGATATATAAGTGTTTTGAAAAGGTATTTTCAGTGGGGTGGAATCTTTCCTAGCTTTCCTGCTAAATTTCCTATCCTGGAGCCAGGCTGAAAAGGGCTGGGGAAAGAAAGGAATCAGGAACCTAAATGTGAGTTTGTGCTCGACATGTTTTCTGCCTGCCTGCCCTCTGCCCTGTGTTCCTGCCTAACTCTCCATCGTGGCGTGTTTTCCAACACGAGAATTTTCCGCAGCGCAGGCCTACTGCAGGGTCACTGTCCCATGTAATTAGACATGAATCTTCCCTTCAAAGGATTCCCGAGTTGTCACTCTAGCAGCACTGCCCCTCCCTGGGCCCGGCTTCTTGGGAAAGGGGCAGGTGGCCCAGTCATCTGTACGTAGGACTCTGGGCAACTCGTGGTGGTATTTGCTCTCCCTCCCGCCATCTCTTCTCCCTCCCCTAAACGAGATGCTGCAGGGAGGAGAAGAAAGTCACAGTTCTTAGTAGAACTCATGTGAGAACTCTGTTACGGTTATTGTACTTTGGTGATCATGTTAATTGGATTTTCTGGAACAATCCAGATTTAAAATATCTTGGTATAAGCCATTAAAATGCTTGGAGGTTACAATATTTGGCACTCCAAAAATAAAAGTGTCACTCAGGTCTCCTGTACCCAGGAGTAGCGCAGAAAATCTTTCATTAACTGTGGGTTCTGATTTTTGATTCAGAAAATATAATCATTAAACTATAGCTAAAGGACTTCTTACCATATATCTGGTTTTATCTGACTTTTTTCAATGTTTCTCTGAGTTTATCTGAATTTTAATGTCCTTTCAGCTCAAATATAATTTACACAATCATTCCGTGTTTTAAGATTACACGTGTACCTCTCTATGCCTTTTTTCTGAAATCAGTGTAAAGCAACATGTCACTTGATTTTTTTTAACCTGTTAACTCTGTCTGTGCCATCTGCCTCACGAAACCAGATGTAGAGACAGTCTTGAGAATGAGGTGTAAGTCAGTGGAATTGTAGTTTCTGTCTTGGAACCTGTCCCAGGAGAACAGGATAATAGATGTTTAGGTCCAGCAGAAATACTGACAAGCCTTATCCTTGCACCGGGAGGACCAGCTGATAAATGTGTCAAGACTGAAGTGGGGAAGTACTCAGTTAATCTCTCTCTCGGGTGTATTTTGACAATAGTTCCAATTCTAGGAAATAACTAATTTAAATTGCTTAATAATGACCTGTCAAATACAGAATTATTTCAGTTAGTGGCTAAATACTCAGTCACAGGGAGCAGCTGGCACCCCGCTCTCAGGGTGTTGGAAATGACGCCTGCCTGGGCCAGCTGCATGGATCTGGGGTCTGGCTGGGCCGGTTTAGACTGGTCGTGGTCGGTTCAGAGCCGCCTCAGTCTAGCACCTTGAGTTTTACTTAAAAGCTAAATCTGATATTTGCTACTATTTTTATTAATATTGGAATGTTTTACCTTGAACTTTATTCAGTGTAATCAAAGAATAAAGATGGAATAAAACCTCAGTGAGTGTACTTTCAAGAGAAAGAACGCTGCACCATTAAGCATACATTTCAAGACAGAATTTTAAGATACAGGTTTTATGTTTAGGCAACACATAAGAACAAAAAAGAGAAAGCAGGAGACTTGCCTGAGCAGGTAGTGGGTGTCAGCAGACAAGGTGTGGTAGCCTGAGGGGCTGCTCCGCTGGCCGCTGGCTTCTCACTGCAGACAAGCAGTGGCCTGTCTGCCTTCTGTGAAGCCAGATCACCCACGTTCAACCCGGTTGGGCTCTCGTGAGCTGCCTTTATAAAAGGTGCAAAGATAAGTTTCAACCAGTTCTTCACCAAAATTATAAGTATGGTGTAGAATGAATGATTCTTTTGATACTGAGCTAGGCTTTTTAAAAAATAAAAATAAAAAACAGTAGCCAGGATTGAAAAGCTGCGCTATAACAGACATTTTTGCTACTTACAGTGGATGAGGATTGGTTGGTGGTTCTTGCTCAAGTATTTGGAGCTGCTTTCTCATAGGCTTCACCAGATCTGTCCCGAGGTGTGTTTTAGTATTGGGACATTGATGACCTCAAGGCGCAGTTGGTCCCAAAGCCCTGGGGGCCTTCCCTGTCTGGTCTCAGAACAGCACTGCTAAGATCAGTTTATCTTCAGAATGTTGACCTAATTGCAACAGGAACCATGTTCACGCTTTCTGAGAACACAATGCCTATAATTTCCAATCGCAGGTGCTTTATAGTTCCAAAAGGTAGCACGTTAAAATCATGATCCTAGAGTTTTCTGGGGAAGGAAAATTCTTTACATGAAGCCTGCTCCACTCCCTCAGTTCTTTCCGCCCATCCCCTTAGGAAGAGAATTAGATGCAGATGATAAGTAACAACTGCTAATCTTGTTAGTTTGTGGGGGCCCCTACCACCACTGGGAAGAGGAGCCTTGCCAGGAAACTGATGATTCTACCCCTGACCAAAAGTCTTGGTGATCTTCCTGACTCAGATAAAGCTGATCCTTTTCATGGAGTAATACAGAGATCATCTCAGCTAACTCAGTATTTACTGCCTTCTTAGCAGATTAGACGAAGTCACAATGTAAATGACTCCATCGTGAATGTTTGGCAGTGGGGTTCAGGATCTTTTTCTGTAGTTCATGATAGTAAATAGAATGTTTGGTTTTGATTTTGCCTTAAGTGGGCCCTTGTTTATCTTGAAGATTATGGAAAATTGGAGGTGATTTTAAGAATTGTGAGCCTAAATAAATAGTTTTGCAACAACACTGTTGCCTGTTTCATAGATTAGGCAACAGTATGTGATCTTCCAGACCACTCAGACTACTACTTTGTAGTTTCCAGTTGCTATGGGTTCAAAGAAATAACTTGTGTCCTTTTCCTTTTATTGTTGTGGTTTGAGGTTTCTTCCTGACAGTGCAATTTTCCTACATTGCGTCTCATCCCTGATGGACACATCAGTGGGGTGGGGGCACCAAGTCCGTGCCTGGGTCCAGAGCATGTGACTCCTGGTTGGACAGAGGTGACCCACCAGCCCTGCTCGGCCTGCGGGTAAACCAAACTAACCCCTTTTTCCTTTGTAAAATTAAACACTTAATAAACTCTAACACAAAAGTGTGTCTTTATTGGTGCTGCTTTCCTTCTGGCTTCGCAGCTTTGATAGTGTAATAGGGTGGTCCCCAGGAAAGGGGGAGGTTCCAGGTTTCCTGTCCCACCCAAAAGGAGGGTGGAGCTGAGCAGAGAGAAGCTGCTGCAGAGGTGACTGAGGAAGGAAGCGGGATGGAGAGCAGGGAGGAGACCTGGAGGAGGCGCATGGAGCCAAGAGACATGAAGAAACTGCGTTTGCCTTTTTGGTCGTGGACGGGGTGACACAGATGTGGGTGAGACCCGTGGGGAGGGGACCATGGCAGCTTTTATCTTGATGTTGATTTTGCTCTTTTCCTTCCGGGCTTGTCTGGTTGGTTCTGACCCTTTTCTGTGGGTCCCCACTGGAAGATGCTTTAGACTGTGGTAGTTCTCTGGCCTCACTCTGGGCCAATCCCCTTTGTGGGGCTTTTACCCACGAGGGGACGGGTCACTTTGGGTGCTTGATTTAGAAATATATTCTTTGCCTTCTCTGTATGGTTTCCTAGTTGTATTAAAGTTCCTTCCCATTAAAGTCTCATATGTTTAGTGTTAATGAGGCGGATGGCAGAACCCATTTAGAACAGGCAGGTTTGCGGGGTCTGGGCTGCCCCTCTCCCTGCCCTGTAACAATGTGACTAATAGAAGGAGAAAGTTACAGCCGCTTCCCTAAGCTTAGGGGTGTGGGATAAACGCGCTCATGTTTGGTTTCCCCGTCCATCTTCCAACCCTACATTCCTCACCCCCCACCCACGAGTCAGTCCTCAGAAACGTGCTGGAGGACTTTGGTCGGTCCTGCAGACTAGGCCCGCGAGGCCTCCGGAGAGGGCTGGAAGAAGCGAACCACTAGCCTCCGGGTCGGCGGCCTCTCCCAAAGCGGCGTGTGGGCAGCTCCTAGCAACGTACGGAGCCGCAACGGAGGCCCCGCCCCGGCCAACGGCCGTGGCGGAGCACCCTGGGAAATGTAGTTCCTGCGGGCGCTCCCTCTTCCCTTGGCTCCTGCAGGTGAGCTGGTCGCGGACTACAGCTCCCAGGATGCCACGCGCCCCTTTCTTCCGGTGGCCGGAGGCAGAGATGGGCGTCCGTGGGGCCCCAGAGCGGGAGGCCTGACCGAACCGGGCTCAGCGGTACCGGGTCCAGCAGCTTTGACTGGGACAGGCCCCATCTGCGCCTCCGAGGCGCGGGGCCGGGGGCTTTGCAGGGGCTGGGGGCCCACAGGCTGCGCTCGGAGTCGAGCTGGGCGGGGAGGGCGGGGGGCGGCCCTGAGGGGACGCACCGTCTGGCACCCGAGGGCGGGAGTCCGGAGAGCCCTTGCTCAGGGCGGCCGCGGGCTTTTAAAGATGCTGCCCAGGGGGTAGGCTGAGCAGTTGCGACGACGCGATCGGCCCTTGCCACCCTCAGAAACTCCCGCGGCGGGGAGGCGGGGCGGGAGCCTCAGCGGGCAGAGGTCCCGGGGTGTGAGACGCGGGTGTTTGGACTTGCAGGCCGTGAAATTTGCCGTTGCAGAAAGAGAACCACAGATACTCAGAGTGGCCCAGGGTCAACTTTCCAATCTAATAACAGGACGGGCCAACATCCGAGGAATAAAAATGGTCCCCTCTGACTCCTTTCTTCCAAGACAGGCCTAAGTTGGGGTTTGGGAATGTTGGGGGATGGAGGGGGTAGAAGGAGAGTCCCACAGTGGGTCAAAATCCTGTCAAGGGGTCACCAGAACTCACATCCACTCTGCTGAATGCTGCCTGTACGGTCGTGGTGGGCATCCAGGTGGTGTATGGCCACAGAGCAGGCACCCACTTCCCTTCTGAGATGGGTACAGGCCAGCTCAGAATTCTCCTCCAGGATGAGGGATGAGGACCACTGGTGTCAATGCCACGTCACCCCGTGCCATCAGAAGCTCATTAATGTACCTGAGGCACTTTGCTTCTCACCTAAATTGTTCCCCTAAAAAGAATTTTTAATTTACAGAAGTAGGTTTTGGATTCTGGGGTGGGTAAGGAGAGACCCTTGATAGGCCTTGCGCTATCATGTTTAAGCTACATCATGTTTAATTCCCTTCATTAGGGAGGATGAACCTGGTGTGGGCAGAATCCAAATGACCCGGACAGGCTGTGAAGGAGCTGCCAGTGGCCCCCAAGGCCTCGAGGATGGTAGGTGGTTTGCAGAGTGAGATATATGGAAATGTGGACCTTCTAGCCCACACACCCTCACTCCTGGGATCTTGACTGCATGGAGTACCTTGGAGACTGGAAGACAAGGACCAGGATGAAGAATGATGGAAAGTAGCATTGATGTTAATCGTCTTATTAAGCAATGAGCAGACATTTCTTCCGTGTCCTGCTGGAAGCATTTTGAAGTGTCTGTCGCTGGTGTTGAGTCAGAGACATGAAATAGAAGGAAGCATCCCCAGCCCAGATTTCAGCCCCGCAGGGGACATCAGCTGACTTATGCCCACCCTGTGGCACCCACAGCAGTGTCCCCCCACCCCAGCTGGTTAGTGGGGCTTGTTCCCATGATCTCAGCAAGTCTGTTCTCAGAAACTCTAGGAAAGCACTAATGCTTCCTTCTCTACATGCCTCTGGCATCTTTTTTCCTCTGTTGACTTGGAGAAAGGTAGAATAACTCTTCCTGTGTGCTCAGTTTCAACACACGTTCACTGATTTGTTGATGTGATCTGTTTTTCCCAATATAGGCACCAAAAACCAAGAAAGGACTAAAAGGTGAGTGGGAAGATAGAAGGAACATCACCTTTAAACCAAAAATAATTCCTGGAGTCCAATAATCGTTTAGGCCTATGTTCTGCTATATTTTCTTGGTGTGAGTCTTTCTGATTTCTTCATGGCAGATTCTGTCTTCTTAGGAGGGGGTGGCCAAGGAGACTTACCTCCAGACCAGTTCTGGGGGTCTTAGATGGGTGGGTACAAGGAAGCTGTCGGTACTACAGAAGCTCCTGTGTGCCTAGAACTTGGAGACTTTTCCCGAAGAAGCACAGTCTTTGTTCAGAGTATGACCGACTGGCTTATCGACCAGTGTGTCAAATGGAATTTAGGTTCTCCTGAAAATCTTCACCATCATCTTCAGTTTCTACCCTGGGGTCTGTCTTTTTTTTTTTTTTTTTTTTTTTTTTTGCATAGAAGAACTGGGATACAGGCCAGAGGTGCAAGGGGTAAGAGGATTCCCCAGAGACAGAGTGGGGAGCAGAACAGGGTAGTAGACTGAAATACACTGCTGAGGGGAACAGCGGTCGAGTCAGGAGGGGTCTGCTGCACCATGTGGGTCAGCTCCCTGGCTGGGGATCGAACTCATGCGGTAGAGGTGATAGCACTGAGACTAACCCCTGGGCCACCAGGGAGCTCCTTTACCCTGGAGGGGGGTCTCTTTCCACAAGGTCTTTCAACTGCTGCGGGGAGTTAGGAAGTCAGCCAATGAAGACAAACTGAGCCCAAGTCCCAATAGGCGAGACGCTGAACTCCCAGTGCAAGGCCTCAAGATGTGAGGCTTCTGAGGACGTTCTCCTTTCTCCTGTGTCATGCCGGCTCCTCTTCTGTTCCAGGCTCCATCGATGACGTCCTGGGTGACCTCCTGGGGGATGATAGTAAGTGCCCCAGAATTCTCTAAGTTTGTTCCTTTTCTTTTCATTGAGACATAATTCACATAAAACTTACTTTTTGCAAGTGTACAGTCAGTTTATTCACAAGGTGGTACAACCATCCTCACACTAATTCCAGAACATTCTCATCATCTCATGAAGAAACTCTATACCCAACCCTAGGTACCCACTCACCTACTTTCTTCCGCTATGGATTTGCCTATCCTGAACATTTTACATAAAATGGATTCACACAGTATGTGACTTTGGCACCTGCTTCCTTTGACCGTGTATCCGAGGATCCAAGGCTCACCCAGACTGCAGCATTCTTTCCTTCACCCCTCTCTGTGGCGGGACGCTCCTCCATTGCATGGATACTTGTTTATTCATGATCAGTTGATGAAGATTTGGGTGGTTTCCATATTTTGGCGAGACTTAAGAATAATGCTATGGTGAACATTCATGCACACGTTTTTCATGTGGACATATGTTCTCAGTTCTTGATGACCAGACTATATGGTAACTTTGTGTTAACTTTTTGAAGATGTGCCAGCCAAACAATTGTCCACAGCAGCTAAACCATTTACACATTCCCACTGGTAACGTGTGAAGGTTCCGTTTCCCCATGTTCTTGCCTATACAGGTTTCCCCCGCTACCCGGCAGTAGAGCATTCCTACGTGATTTGATTTGAAATGCTATTACCATCATGCTATTACACTACTAAGTGCTATTAATAATTACATTATACAAAAAAAAAAAAATTCTGCATGATCCCAGACCCAAAAAAATAACCTACCAACTCATAACCAAGGAGGACCGGTCTAGTTCACATAGTGGGGGGAACCTGCACTTGTTTCTGTCTGAGTCTAGCCTGTCCGGTGGATGTAAAGTTGCCTCTCCTTGCAGGCTTGACGTGCATTTCTCTGATGGTTAATGGCGTTGAGCAGTTTTCCATGTGTTTATGGCCATTTGTACCTTCTTTGGAGAAAGGCCTATGCGGAGCCTGGCCTATTTTTAAAATAGTATTGACTTGCAAGAGTTCCTTACATATTCTGCACATGCGTGCCTTAGCCCGTGGACCCGTGTCTGCTGGCCAGAGGAGCAGCGCCCACAATGTCCAAGCCTGTGGATCCCAGGCAGCTGGGGGGTGACGAGGTTCTTCCTGGCCGGGTCGGGGAGGCGGTGTGGAGTGGGGCTCTTCATTTGGCACTAGTGGGCATCAAGGGTTGACTTTCTGCTGGGAATAGACCTCCCCGTCCCCTTCAGGTTTGTCAAAGGATAAAGTCAGGACCTGCCCATGGGCCCGTCTTTCGGTACGAAGGCCTGGGAGACAGCTCGGTGGGGAGCTGGCAATTCTCGCCTTCTTGATTGGGGTTCTCCAGCGGAGTGACGACTCTTCTGCTTTGTGTTCCAGACACACTTCCTGAGAAGCCTGGGAAACTTGCTTCACGTGCCAAAGACACCACCGGGGCAGCGCCGGTGCACCCTCTCTCCGGGGCCAGAACAAAGTAAGCCCAGGCCTGGCAGGGGCGCCCTGACCCATTTCAGCCCGGGGGCTCTTGCCTCTTCCCCTCTGTGGCCCCTTGGAACGCCTCCTCCCCTCAGCTCCTGGGCGGCGAAGGAGCCCAGGGAGCAGAACGAGAACTGAGCTGCAGGGGAGAGGCCCCGCCTTCTGGCCTGTCTTTCACTTGCTCTGTGACCCTGGGTGGTCGCTGAACATCTCTGAGCCTCCATTTTCTTGTCCTCAGAATAAGAGGATGGCCTCGATAGTAACTTTTGGGTTGTGCTCGCTGAAGTGCTTCTAAGGTTCTCCTGGCAGTTGGGAGATAGGAAGAAGCTGTGAGCTTTCCCTGCCACCCTTGTTCTAGCCAGAGCAGTTCTGGTTTCTTCTCTTCACTGTTGTCTTTATCATTTTTTTTTTAAGATTTATTTTTATTTATTTCTGCATGCAAGAGCTGGGGTACAGGCCAGAGGTGTGGGGAGGGGGGTGAGAGGACTCACCAGAGACAGAGTGGGGAGCAGAACAGGTGGATTGACTGAAATACACTGCTGCGGGGAGCAGTAGGGAGACAGGAGAGGTCTGCTGCGCCCTGTGGGTCACCTCCCTGGCAGGGGATAGAACTCATGCTGCACAGGCTGCCAATAGCTTCATAGTGCTGCCACTTAACCCCTTGGCCTCCCTGATGGTTTTAAAGGGGCGTTGGTGCTTTAAAAAAGTTAAAAATCATTGGCTGGGCAGTGATGCACCTTTTAGCAATTCTTATTTCTCGGAGAGGGTCTGTCCAAGCTATGTGATGCTGTAACATACTCTTCCTTTCTTAGAAACTTCTAGTGCCTGAGGGTGTGGGTGGGTGCCAACTCTGGCCCTTTGCAGGTCCCTCCTGAAAGACGATGCCTTCAGCAGCCTGGCAGGCCTGGCAGGCGCTGATGCCGAGGTGAGCTGGGTCCATTCCCACACCCGTGTGTGCCCCACAGCCAAGCTCTCCCCCTGCCCTAACGGAACCTGGTGACGGGGTCATGCCGGGGTGATGGGGCCTCGGCTAACCTGCGTCCTTGCCCTCCGTGGTCTCAGGTCTCAGATGTCTCCGAAGCAGACCCGCAGGTTTTGCTCCAGGCCATGAAGGTAAAGGAGCCCCGAGCTGTGCGGGCGGGGCGGGAGGAGTAGGGACATTCTTTACCAAGCCTTCATTTCTCCAGTTTCTCCCCTTACATTGTTTCTGAGCCATTCTTCCTGCAAGAATGGACCTTGCCTGTGACCTGTTGCCCTTCCTGCCCCCCAGCTGCACGTCAGTTTTTCTGGTTTATAGATTCACCCTTGAGACAGTCGTGCCCCAGGCTCGTGAGAGGTGGTTGATGGCCGGGCCTCGCCTGACTAGGTCTCACCACCGTGGGATGGGGGGGGCGGCTTATGGCCTCTGAAGTTTTCTCTTTTTCCAAATGTCTCTTCACACCGCCCCCACCCCCCAATTCCTTTGGCTGCTTGCTTAACAGATCGAGCCCCAGACTAATCTTTGCAGCAGAATTATTTTTTAAAGATTTATTTTATTTATTTATGCATACAAGAGCTGTAGGCCAGAGGTGTGGGGGGTGAGAGGTTTCTTCAGAGACAGAGTGGGGAGCAGAAGCAGCAGGCAAGGCAGGAGAGGTCTGCTGCGCCGGGGGAGTAGCTCCCTGACTGGAGATCAAACTCATGCTGCAGTGGCTGTGGATAGCTTCACAGTGCTGAGACTCAACCCCTTGCACCACCAGGGAGGCCCTTGCAGAAGAATTTTAAGACATCAATTTTGAACAGTTTATAAGAGCGTAAGACCATGGTGCTCAGGTCCCCGCGTGTCCCACAGAGGAAGTGGAGTCACACCAGCAGATCACATCTGCCAGCTGAGCAGCCGTGGGCTTTTCCTCCTCCCTCCTTTTCCAGGATCTGGATGACATGGATGCTGATCTCTTAGGTCTGCAGAAATCTGCTCCAGGCTCAAGCAAAAGAGCCGCAAAGGGTTCTGGGAAAGAAGAACTGCCGAGTGGTCCCAAACCTGCTGGTGTGTCAGTGAGAAACACCTCCTCAGGTTAGGGACACACTGGGGACGTGGGCGATGCCGTTCCAGCACCTTTAAGTCCAATCCGGCCCCTCCTGGAGAAGCAACGGAGTTAAACTGGAGAATCTTAGCGTAGCGTGAGCTTCTCCCAAACGCACATCTCTGTTTGAGTGACTTGTGAGTGGCACAGGAGGTAACTTCCCGAACCTTGCGTGAGAACGCGGAGGGGTGTCCCATGCCAGTCCTCAGCGCTCCAGGAAGCAGGGCATGCTGTCCCTGGGCCCCACCAGGATGTAGCGTGAGAACCTTGGGCCATGACCTTGCCTTCCCTTTGCTTCCTGCAGGGGACGCCATTCCCACCAAGAAGTCACCTCCCTTCGGGCACCAGTACAGGAAGTTTTCTTTTGAAGGTACCGTAGGCCTGCTGGCTGGGCCTTCTTGTTTTGCGAGTGAACAGCCAGGGTAACCCTTGCTTGCTCACCCACCGCCAGGGCTCTGCATAGATCAGAGGAGCAGACAGCTGGCGCCACGATGGAGCTCACCCTGAACTGGGGCGGGGCTAATCATGTCGTATTGGCTGGGATATTGGGGGAACTTACTGGCAAGGACCAGGAAGCCAGATGTCAAACTGAAGACCTTATAAAGCAGAGGGAAAGTTCCCTTCCCCTTATGAACGCGTGCAAGTTCCATTGCTCATGACTTAGGAGCATTACTAGATGGCTGTGTAGACGGCAGCATGGGGTCCCACGGGCACCCCTCCGCAGCACAGGCCCAGCCCCCACCTGGTCTGGATCGCAGACCCCTTGCCACAGCCCCCTCCCACCCCACAGCAGGGCATGTTTATGCATTGGTACCATCAGAGCAGCTAGACTCGCCCCCGACAGGCCGGTTTTCCTGACAAGCACTGTCTCTGAGCTGCGCTCTCCCCTCTGGCCACCAGACCTGGAGGACCCGTTGGCAGGACTGCTCTCGGACGGGGAGGAGGAAGATGTCGCCAGGAAGATGTCTGCTCCACCAGGGGCAGAGCGTCCACCGGCATCGGCGAAGAGCCTGCCCCCTGTCAGGGAGCAAGGTAGGGCGCGCACTAGGACCCATCCTGGGGTGGTTCAACTGGCAGTGAGCTCTCTGAACACCCCTGTGTAGGACCAGGGAACCCCAGCTGCACCCCGGGGTGGGGGCCACAAGTCCGAGCCCTATCGGTCTGCAAAGCCAAGGAGTCAGGAGCCATGGGCAGACCAGACGGCTGCCGTGTGTGCTTGCCACCCCACCCTAAGGCCGGGGGTGCAGAGGCCCCCCCCACACACACACCATTCAGATATCACATGTGAGGCCACAGGCCAAAGCGCCTGTAGCCAGGTGCCCGTGTCCTGTCTTTGAGGGCCCTCCATTCCTCTGACCCCGGGAGACACACCCATCCGGAAGAAAGAATCGCTGTTTGACGATGGGGATGACTTCATGGCCACGCTGGGGTTCGGAGACAGCCCCGAAGCAGAGCGGCAGCGGGCGGGAGACCAGTAAGGATCCTTTCGAGCGTGAGTCCCTGGCCAGCCTGCTGCTTCCGGTCCAGGGAAAGGCTGGAGGGTGGGTGCAGCAGGGGCCCCCAGGAAGCCCTCTCTTCAGAAACCTCCCCTGGGTCCCATCCTGCAGGGAAGGGACGCGCCCCGCGCGCTCCAAGCTGGATGAGCTGCTGGGTCGAGGCACTGCCCCGAAACTCCTGGCCCGCCCCGGCACCGGGGAGCACAGGGAGTTCAAGCTGGACAGAAAGTACCAGAGGCCACAGGGTGAGGGCGCTGGCGGGGCCGGGGAGGCGAGGAGGGAGGCCCCAACCTGGGTCGTGTCAGAGCCCTCCCTCTAAAATAGGGTTCACACACATCACCCACACGTTGATCACTGAAAGCATGTGTCACGAGACAGCCATCACGTTCAGCACTGTTTCCTTTTTACCCGTACGCTGTTCACTTTGTAAATACATCGGTTGCATATCTGACCTGCTGCTAGGTGGCACTCAGTTTGAGAAACACTGCTCTGGACTGGTGTTTCTCGAAGCCTGGGCCCACCAGCCTCTGTTCAGAACAGCCCTATAACCCACACAGCACATGGGTGCCTGGGGCAGACCCGTAACCCTCTGAGCACTGACACCGGCCCCTCGCCCCTGTTTCCTGCAGAGCAGCCTCACCTTTCCTGGTCCTTCCTGTGAAACTGCCAGTCAGCTTGTTTTATTTTATTTTTTTAAAGATTTGGGGCCTCCCCGGTGGCTCAGGCAGTTGAGCGCAGCACTGTGAAGCTGTCCGCAGCCTCTGCAGCACAGGTTCGATCCTGCCAATTGGGGAGATACCCACATGGCACGGCACACCTCTCCTGTCTCACCCGCTACTCCCCTCAGCAGTGTATTTCAGTCAGTCTGCCTGTTCTGTTCCCCACTCTGTCTCTGGTGAATCCTCTCCCCACACACACACTTCTGGCCTGGGGTACAGGCAGACGGACTGAAATACACTGCTGAGGGGAGCAGCGGGCAAAACAGGAGAGGTCTGCCGCACCATGTGGGTAGCTCCCTGCCCGGGGATTGAACTCGTGCTACAGTAGCTGCGGACAGCTTCATTGGTTGCATCTTAACCCCTTGCACCACCAGGGAGGCCCCCAGTCAGGTAATTTTTAACAAACTTCTGCAGCCACAAAAGAGTTTGATCACAGGCTCCTGAATTCACAGACAAAGACGATACCTGGGCCGATGAGGACTTCACCTTTGGGGCCTATCAGCCTACCATGGGCTCCACTGAAGGGCGGCAGTCCCGCCGGCAGTCAGTCAGGTAAGCAGGCCTGCAGGGAGCTTCGCCCCAGAGATGGAGACCAGCCACCCCTCCCTCCCCCACCCTCTGTCTGTTTGGGAGCCAGACGCTGGGCTCTGCGGGTGCTGAAGGAACCGGTGCTTCTCCAGTCCTCACCAGCCCAGGCTGAGCAGAGGAGCCCAGATTGGATTCTAGCCCCCACCCCCACCTCCGTGGAAGAAAAAGGAGGTAGCTGGACCCCCTGCCCCTAAGGCCCCGAAAGCCACAAATGCACACCTCTCTGAGGAACACACAGTCCCAGGGGGACCCCTAACCCTGCTCCCCAAGAACAGTGCCCTGGTCTTTGCTGTGCCCATCCTGCAGGGTTCTCCTTCCAGTTTGCATCTAAGAGCTCTTCAGCCACCAAAATAAAAAAAACTGTTGGATAGAATTTTCTAAACTTAGGGTCTCTTCTGATACTTATTTTAAACTTTTTGTTTAGAAATAATTTCAAACTTACAGAAAAGTTGTAAGAATAGCTACAAAGAACTCCCCGCCACCCTTGCCTCGCGCTCAGCAGTTGCTCACGTTACGCTGCACTGGCCTCATAGCCTCTCTCCTGCCTGCGGGAGCTCTGTGCATGCGGACCTTTTTCCCCATCCCGAGTTTTTCTTAACCCTCGGAACCTGCCGCCGCTGGCCAGCAACAGAGACAGCGGCCGAATCAATGAAAAGGCGACAAAATGGCTGCCAGTGGAAAATCAAAAACCTCTTGTTCCCACTGAATTTTCTCAGGAGGAGGGCCTGTGGTGGGAGTTCCGCCCTGTCTCTGGGTGCAAGTCCAGGCTCACACCAGGGGTCGGGCGCGCCGTGTGTCCTGATGGCCTCCACTGCACTGCCTCCCGACTGCTGGCCCCTGGGCCTCGGCAGCTGTGCAGGCACCTGCGCCTCAAACTCACCGCCCACAGGGGATGTTTCTGCAGTGGCTCCCCTGCCTTAAACCCCCTCCTTTCTGTCTTGAAGTAGGTTCTTAGCAGAAGGTGGTGCAGATCCGAAGGGAGAAGCAGGCTGCAAACAGAGCACCCCAGCAACATCCAGCCCCCCACACCCCAGGAAGGGAGGCGCTGACTGGTTGGGCCTCAAGGATGACGATTCGGACCTGCTCCCTCCCCTTCCCACCAAAGAAGCTGAAAGGGGAGGCTCAGTGCTCCCCACACCCCCTGTACTCCCTCCTGGAAGCCAGAAATTGCCATTGGTCCCCAGCAGGCTGCCCCCCTCCTCAGGGACTAAACCACCCACCAAGGGTACGGGGTCCCCTGCCAAAGCCGGCCAGGCGTCCAGGCCAGGAGCACCTGAGGAGGAGGCGGAGGATTGGCTAAGCCATGCCTTGGCGCAGAAGAAGTCCCAAGGTCTGGCCAGAGAGCAGCACCTGACCTCAGTGGCGGCAGCGGGCCATCCGCCTTCCAGCAGGTACCAGCTTGGGCTGCATCTCTGGTGGCGGGAGGACGGGGCAGGGGCCTTGGGAAGGCTAACCTTCCTGTCTGGAGGTCTGTCCGGAGCGCAGCCTGCAGCTTCACCTCTCTCCCTCCCCGGGCTCTGCGAAATGTCTGGCTCCCTGCTAGGCCCAGGTGCTGCTGGGTCTCGGAGACTGACTGCTGGGGCACATGCTGACTTGGTCTGCCAAACAGGCCATGGGGCCTCGGAGCAGGGGCTCTGCCCACAGTGCCCTGGAGCTGGTAGAAGCCTGGTGTCCATAGTGTCAGCGCCTCCGCCAGCTGGGCTAATATCAATGAAGCATGTGTAAGCTGAGACTTTTAGAGAAGGTAGTGGCCAGGAGGCAATGCCTGGCAGCCAGAATGCCAGTGCAGTGGGGCAGGACAGAGTGACGCCTGAGGAAGGGGCTGCAAAGCTGGGCTTGTCCAGAGGGAGTGACAAGATGCAGCCAGAGCAAAGGGGAGGTGAATTGGACACTTCTGTGAGAGGCCAGGCATGTCCCCCCCCTAAGGGTGGTGGGAATGAGGATGTAGCTCGTTAAGTGGCGCCTCGGTGTGAAGTTGAGCAGGCCCAAACCAGGCCGTGAACTTGAGCTTCACCTTGTGCCTGCAGCCAGCCCATCTTCTTCCTTAACCTCTCACTGGCCGATGGTCAGTGTCCACACATTGTGCTGCGGTGGCTGCTGAGACAGGGAAGGGGATGTGGAAGGTGGGGGAGACCCACGAATCGCAGGGTTAAGATGGGAGGAGAATCAGCGAGACAGGCAGTGGGAACGGGCCGGAGGCAGCGGCAAGGGGAGATGTCGACACGGCTTCACGTGGGGGTTTGTCCCGGCCCCTTCTCGTTCCGGCCGACCCGGGCCCGCCACACGGTCAGTGAACACTCGCTCCCGCAGCCAGCCCGGGGCCAGCACGCCGGGGCTCGAGCAAGCCGCCGCCGCCGCGGCCGGGGGGACGCCAGAAACAGCAGCACAAAAGCCACCTGCCAGGCCTGCCCCCTCGGGGCATGTCCACAGTGGAGGGTACGTGGGGGGTGCGGCCTTATGGACTGACACAGGGGCGGGGCTGGTACCAGGCCCACGGGGTAAAGAGCTTCCTAAGCCCATTCCCGTCTCCCTCACCACGCGGAGACGCCCCGCCTTTCCCATCAGCGCTTTGAACCTGACTTGACCTTGATGACCCGTGCCCGCTCCCCTTACTCCCTGTGTCCTGCACAGAAGGCTGCTCACCCGCCACCCCTCCCGTGTCCTCAGGTCCCTCGAGCCGTGGAAGCAGGATGCCCCGGCCCCCCGTGCAGGTGACCCGGAGAGGGGAGCAGCCCCTGGAAACCTCCCCAGCACTGGTTTGTTTTCTGCTGTTTGGGGGTTTAACTCTGGGTGAGGAAGAGGCTCAAGCTTCTTTGGGTCCCCCTAAGATGAGTGAAGCGAAATTCCCCCGACGCACACACAGGCCTGCTGGGTCTTTTCAACCTACTCACCTCTGTGCTGTGGATATTTCAGAGCCTACCATCTGTCTCCCGAGCGCCCAGGAGCCCCCGGGGCCTTCTGTGCCCGTCCAGGTAGGGAAGGGAAACCAGGCCTGGGCTTCACCACCTGCCAGGAAGAGCATGCATGGTGGCCGATGGCCTCCCTGGCGCTCCTCAGCATGTAGCTGCTGCTCCCAGGCAGAGCGGGGTGCTGGTCTGCCAGCACGAGTATGGAAGCAGAGGTAGCACCAGCCAGAGCCGCAGGAAGGCTCCGGTCAGAAAGCAGTGCTGTAGGAGCCTGCTGTTCCTTCTAGAAAGCCTCCTCCGTCCTTGCCATGCCCCCACCGACCACCCTGCTACCCCTTTCCCAGGTGTGGAGGTCTCCTCTGACCTCTGGGCCTAAGAGGCCTAATCTCCCCGCATCGCCCAGGAGCAGGTCCCTGGAACCCACAACACCTTTGGGAGATTGAGGGTGTGGGTGGCCTCAGGAACCAGATTATTAACACGGGATGTCAGGCCTGACTGACTGGGCCTCTGCTTGGACAGATCTTGCTCTGAGGAGGAAGGGGAGGTTCCTTACCAGACCCGAGGGGGCAGGTGCCGTGTCCATATGACTCTCGCCTCATCCTTGGCCTCTTAGTGGCACGTCCTCGTCCATCTCTACAGCCAGAGGGCAGGCACAGGGCCTGGGCAGTGCTGTGACCAGAGGGCCGAGGTCATCGGCTTCCTGTCCCCAGCTAACCTGAAACATCTCTCGCGCTCTTCTACAGCGCCTGTTCCCAGAGTCCCTGGCCTGGAGCCTGCTGCCCGGCGCAGGATACCAGAAGCAGCTCCTGGCTGCTCAGGCGCAGCTCCAGAGTGGCACGGCCGAGCTCCAGATGCAGCTTCTGCAGAGTGAGGCCCGGCAGGCTGAGCTGGAGGCCCAGGTGAAGGCGGGTGGGGGTAGGAAGGTGTCACTGAGGGCTGGAAGGCTTCCCCTGTTGTGAGGAGCACGCCCCTCCACTGTGTCCCTCGCATTGCATCCCAGGTGAGGAAGCTGGAGCTGGAACGGGCCCAGCACCAGCTGCTGCTGGAGAGTTTGCAGCAGCGACACCAGGCAGACCTGGAGCTCATTGAGAAGGCCCACAGGTACCCGTGGCTCCTGCGCAACCCTCAGGGCCTGCCCCAGCCCAAGTGCACTCACAGCCCTTGGGAGGCAGCTTTCCGAGCCCCACGGCTGGTGGTGTGTTGGCAGAAGCCGTGTCAAGGTGCTGGAAACATCTTACCAGCAGCGGGAGGAGCGGCTGCAGAGAGAGAATGAGGAGCTGTCGGCGCGGTATCTGGCACACTGCCAGGAAGCTGAGCAGGCCCGCAACGAGCTCACAGCCCAGCACCAGCGGCGCTTGGCAGCCGCCACACAAGAGAAGGACCAGGAGATGGAGCGGCTCCAGGAGCTGCAGCGGTGAGGACAGGGCCTGGCTCGGCGGATGGCGGGAGGAAGCCAGTTCTCAGCCCCAGCTCTCTCTCGGACATGAGCCACACTTGACCCCTCCCCATCTGGGTGAAGACCAAGGGAGGCTGTGCACACTGACCTCTCACCCCCAACAGTGGGGAGCCGGTCCTCCAGAGGTGGGGGGCGTGACTCAGGGCCTGCAGGTCACTGGCTTTTCGGGCAGGACCTGCAGGAAGCCACCCAGGGCCTAATAGACCAGTGGGCAGCTTACCTGCCTGACTTCTAGCTGGACCCGGAAACCTGGCGGACCCTGGAGAGGGGGTGCTCTTGTGCCCAGGGCAGTGTTCCTAAATAAGAATAGAACTCAGCAGAGGCTGAGGGAGTTATCAGCGGTGGAGCAGGCCTTGTAACACCCCTCAGCCAGGCCACACGTGAAAGGACTGAGGACACCCGCCACCACTGTGTGAAGAGTCCTTTGCTGAGTCGCAAGGGCCCTCCCCCTTAGGAGTAGATGAGGCACTGAGGCCCAGGACCATTAAAGCAGAAGGGCCAGGGAAACTGAGGCAGGGCCAGAGGAGGAGAGGCCGGGAGGTGCACTGTGCTTGGGGCTGGGAGCTGTCCGTGGTGTCGACTGCATGGTCCGTCCGCCTGGTCCTGCTCAGGTGGGCTCCTGCTGCCTGCCCGCAGGGCGTCCATCCTGGCGATGCGCACGGACCACGAGGAGCAGCTGCAGCGGCTGAAGCTGCTAAAGGACCGAGAGATCGATGCCGTCACCAGCGCCACCTCCCACACGCGGTACGTGCGCTGCCTGGGCCCTGCCGCCCCGGGGCTGGTGCCTAGGTCCCCGGGCCAGGGTGACCCCCTCCTCCCCCAGGTCCCTGAACGGCATCATCGAGCAGATGGAGAAGTTCTCCAGCAGCCTCAACGAGCTCTCCTCGCGCGTGGAGGCCTCGCACGTCACCACCGCCCAGGAGCGGGAGCTGGGCATACGGCAGCGGGATGAGCAGCTCCGAGGTGCCGGGGGTGGTGCGTCCCTCCCTCTCCCAGCACAGCGCCAGCGGGGCGGGTGGGCGGGCACTGACGCTCGTGGGCCCTCCCAGCACTGCAGGAGAGGCTGGGCCAGCAGCAGCGGGACATGGAGGAAGAGCGGAGCCGGCTGCAGGAGGTCATCGGGAAGATGGAGGCGCGCCTCAACGAGCAGAGCCGGCTGCTGGAGCAGGTGGGCCCGTCCTCCCCCCTGCCCCGGGCGGGGGGGGGGGGTTCTGACCTCCCACTCCAGAAGCGCCCGTCTTCCTTCCCAACACTGGGGTCTGGCACTGGGAGAGATGCGCGCACCTCCAAGCCGTGGCAGCCGTGCTTCTGAACTCCCCGCGTCTCTCTCCTGTATGAGCAAATATCACAGTTTAAAAAATACCTTGGGGCCTCCCTGGTGGCCTTGGGGTTAAGTCTCAGCGTTACCACCATGAAGGTCCACCTTGACAGCCTGAGTTCGATCCCCAGCCAGGGAGCTACCCACATGGCGCAGCAGACCTCTCCTGTCTCCCCGCTGCTCCCCTCAGCAGTGGACTTCAGTGGATCTGCCTGTTCTGCTCCCCACTCTGTCTCTGGTGAATCCTCTCACTGCCCCCATCTCTGGCCTGCACCCCAGCTCTCCAACGCAAAAATAGTTTAAAAATAAATAATACCTTATAAAATGAAACATTTCACTGGAAGATACTAAAATACAGGCAAAATGAGGAAAATGAAAATTACCTGAGCCAGACGTGACCACTGATGACGTCACGTATAGTTGGTGTGTAGACACCTTCGCGTTGTGAGCCACCTTCAGGCTTCATTTGGTAGTTTTACTAAGCGCCTGCCTCAGGCCAGGCACAGTTCAGCTCCTCAGCTCCTGCCGTGCCGTGCCCCCTGGCATACGGAGTGTGGCAGCCACCTGGTGCTCTACCTCTGCCAGGACTCGGGCAGGCAGGGAGCTGTGGCTGGCACTGCAGCAAGTGTGGGTGTTGCTGCTCTGTGCCTCTCAGCCATGATTCTCAAGCCAGGCATGTCTGGCGAATCCGGGGCCTGGGCCCTGGCAGCTTTCCTAGACATCCTCTTTTGGCACCTCTCTGGGAAGGGGGTGTTTGTGGCCCAGCATGGGAGATGCGGGTGGGTTTTCGCAGCTCCCAGGGAGCACTCAAGCCTGATGGGAGTCAGGAGAGTCCCAGAGGTGCACGCTCTGAGCCCCGGCCTGCCTGCAGGAGCGCTGGCGGGTGAACGCCGAGCATACCAAGGTGGAGTCCACGAAATGTGCTCTGGAGGAGCAGAGGAAGGTCACGGCCCAGCAGATGGCCATGGAGCGGGAGGAGCTGGAGAGGGCCAAGGTGAGTCCACCCACGCCACGCTCAGCAGCTGTCCCTGCCGAGACGCCCAGAGATGCTCACCCCTGCCTGCCTGCCCTCGTCCCAGAGTGCCTTGCTGGAGGAGCAGAAGTCTGTCATGCACAAGTGTGGGGAGGAGCGGCGGCGCCTGGCGGCCGAGTGGGCCGATTTCTACGCGCAGCAGAAGCTGAGTAAGGAGAGAGCAGAGCGCGAGGCGGAGCGGGCGATGCAGGTGGACAGCCAGCGGGAGGGCACCCTCATCAGCCTGGCCAAGGTAGGGCCTGGAGCCTGTGGGGCAGCGGGCAGCCCTCTGTGTGCCCCTCCATTAGTTGCATCAGCTTAGCAAAGTGCATAGCACCCTGAGAGTGGAGGCCAAGCCCCATGACGTCATCACAACCTGTCACGTCATCCTGACTGCTCCACCCGTTGTCCCTGTGCTTCCCACACTCCTCATCCAGTCCTCACCGTGTCCCCGTAACTTAGATGCTCTCGAAAAAAAGGACATTGGGGCTCAGAGGAGCTGCACAAGTCTTGGCCCCAGGCCTCTAGGCCTGTCCCCTCCTGCCAGAATCAGGTGGCACTGATCCACCATCACATGGCAGGGCAGTCGAGGGGTCCCCAAACCGGAGCAGAACCCGCTGAGCTCCTCCTGGAGGAGAATACAGCAAGGACTTTCTGCCTCCAGGAGCAGGCAGAGCTCAAGATCAAAGCGAGCGAGCTCCGGGCCAAAGAGGACCAGCTGGTGGCTGAAAGGGAGGCTCTGGAGCGGGAGCGGCAGGAACTACGGCTGGAGAAGGAGCGGGTCAGCGCCTTGGCCCAGCGCCTCCGGCTCCGCGCCCAGGAGGTGGAGGGCATGAGCCAGGTGCCCGCACTACAACTCCCGAGCTGGGTGGGCACGGGCGCTGCTCGACCCCGCCAGCACGCTGACCTGGTGGCTCCCCCAGGTGGCCTCAGAGAAGTACAAGGAGGGGGAGCAGGCGCTTCGGGAGGCCCGGCAGGTGCAGTCGGAGCAGCAGGCCCGGCTACAGCTGGTGCAGCAGCAGCAAGAGCAGCTACGGCAGCAGGAGCAGCACGTGCACCAGGCAAGGCTCCCCCCAGTCTGGCTCCCCCAGACCCCGCCGGCCTCCCACCCTCACCATGTGTCCTCTCTCGGGACAGGAGCATCTGAGTCTGGCCCAGCAGAGGATCCAGCTGGACCGGGTCCGACAGAACCTGCCCTCCAGCCCCTTAGTGCTATTCCCCAAGGCCCAGGGCCTGGCGGCTCCCAGCCTGAGTGGTAAGTGGCTGCGGAAGGACGGGTGGCCACGGGGCAAGTCCACGGCGGGAGCCCCCCTCCCGCTCAAGCTGGGGGGCCAGTGGGTTCCTCTTTTACACAAGTGACGCACGATAATCACAGACTGAGAGGTAAGAGATGGAGCGAGGAAAACTGTTAAAAACATCTTCAGCCCACTCCCCAGTCTCGAGAGACCCACCCTGAACACCCGGGCGTGTAACGTTGCACACTCTGGGGTTTTCTGACAAGATCATATCACATGCTTCGTATCCTGATTTTCTTCATTCAGAAACAGACATGTGGAACATGCTTTCACAGCAGTAATTAAGTCTCTGAGCCACCATAGCCTCCACGATGAGGTGGGTCCCTGGTTTCTTACTGATTCCCCAGGGAATGATTTTTTCTCGGTCGCCAAGATGAGCAGCGGCCCAGTGGAGTCTGTGCCTGCATCTTGCCCCTCCGCCTGACTAGTCCCCTTGATAAGTGCTGGAGTTGGACCCGGCAGGCCAGAGCACCAGGGCGCTTAGAGAGGCTTTAGAGAGTTGGAGCCTGGCCCCAGGGTGTGCAGCCGCCTCTCCCACGTGCGCCCCCTGACTTCCTCCTCGCTCTTTCCAGCCGTCATGGCTCCCGCTTCCGCCGCCCAGTGCAGCCAGCCTCCTGTCGGCCTGGGGCCCTCCAACCTCTATGCCAAGCTGGTGCTGCTGAGGCACGCGGCGGAGCAGGTGAGTCCAGAGCAGAGACAGCCAGCCAGGCGCGCTCCCCAGCACCCCCTAGGCCCGAGGCCCTCGTGCTCACCGTGGTGACCAGGGAGGAGCATGTCCTGGCCCCGAGACCTTCCTCTGGGCCAGGTTCTGTGTCTGTGTCATCCCAGCTGGACCTGATGGTGACCTGTGATTACAGTGACAGCAGCTGCCATTCGGGGGCACCTCCTGTGGGCTGAGGGGTTCACGGGCATTATGAGTTTCTACCTCCCACGTGGGAGTCTGCAGCTCACACACGGGGGCTCTGAGGCTGAAGTTACTGCTAGCAGGTGGCCTCGCCGCGACTGAGCCCTGGTCTTTGTCACTTGTGTGCATGTGCTCTTTCCATGGCCCCTGGTGCTTCCCAGAGCCGGGGAGGAAGTGGGGAGGTTGCTCCCCAAGTGAGGTTGGGCTGGGCTGGCACCCAGGGGTCCTCCTTGCTCTCAGTTCCCCGAGCTGGCGTCCCTGTCCAGGGAGGCCGGGATAGGAGGGAGCTGGGGGCTACCACCGTACCATGTCTGCCTTTCAGGATCGTGACTTCCTGGAGAACGAGCAGTTCTTCCTGGACACGCTGAAGAAAGCCACCTACAACGTGACGTCCCACTCAGCCTGAGGGCCCCACCCTCCTCGCCAGAGGCCTCACACCCAAACTCCTCGCCATCACCCCTGGCTGCAATCCCCAGGAGGGGGTGCCCCGGGGAGGGCCATGAGGCCTGATTACAGCTCTTCCTGTGGACAGGGTGCCAGCGCCTTCTTCCCCAGCGCTCCAGCTAAGACAGACACACCCCCTGCCTCGAGGATGTCACCCCAACACTGTCAGCCACAGCTTGGGTCTCCTGCCCCAAAAATGCCCAGCTCAGATCCTAAGGGTCTGACGGGACACCACAGGCCCTGCCCTCCTCCACAGGCAGATGAACCTCTTCTGGGGTCCTCGCGAGGGAAGCTCCAAGCGGCCTCCTCCCCTCCCTTTCTGAGAGGCCGGAGACAATGCCCAGTGCCTTCTAAATAGGGACGCAGAGTCAACCTGCACATCTGAAGGGCCGTTAGCCCCTGGCCCAGGGGTTGGGAGGTTGCAGGGCTGGTGTCTTGCTGCCTAGTCAGGTTTTACCTGCAGGCCAGACATGCCCCGCCTCTCAGGCCGGCCTGCATCCGGCCCCCAGCTGCCGCAGCAGGGGCACTGATCTCAGCTCTTCTAATAGGCTTCCCAGAGCCAGGAGTGGGGGACGGTGGGTGTCAGTGGGGTGTGGAGAGCGATGGGGAGAGAAGGTTCCTCGCTGTGCTGTTTCCCGCCATGAAGCCACCGCTGTGTGGGAGTGAAGATGACAGCCAGAGCCTCTGGCCTGGGCCCACAGCGTGGGGGAGCCCCAGGCCCCGCCGTACCCAGCTGCTGCCCCGTGTCCTCCTCCACCTTGGGCAGAGTGCCAAGGCCAGCTGGAGGCGACCCAAGGACAGAGGGACTCCACTAATAAAGTCAGTCACTTGCAAAGCAGCTTCTCTCAGCCAGTGACATCCCCTATCCGAGGAAATGCGGGGTGCACAGAAGGCAGGGGGACAACGCTGGGCGGCAGGCTTGTGTCCCTGCTCTTTCAGACCAACAGTTTACAGCCTTTGCCTGGCCCGTTACATTGCGATGTTCTTATTAACCGGGTTCTTACCTGTTGTCACGGCTCATCAGAGTTTGCACTTACTGCTTAGAAGTGTCTGCTCTGCAGCCTTGCTATTTGCTGGAAAGCTGGCAGGGCCACCCTGGCCACGCGCCCGCTGCCGCCACCCTGTGCTCCTCACCTGCTGACTGGGCTGTACCAGAAGAGGGTGATCATCACCCCTATTTCACAGATGAAGAGACAGAGGCCCCGGGAGGCTGAATAACTTGCCTGAAGTGGCACAGCAAAGAGAGGGCCCGGGGCTGAGTTCTTGGGCAGATTTCAAAGCCCAGCTCCCAGCCACACCTCAGGAGTAGCACAGCACTTGGGTGGACGGTGTCCGCGCTGCTAGGGGCTCGTCCCTCCCCAGGAGGAAGGCAGTGGTGCCCTTAAGAGCCTTGGCAGCCTGGCATTTGAAGGCCTCCTCTGAACATATTCTGCAGAGAGGAGGCAGGGCCCTGAGGGTGGGGGGCCAACAGGTCACCTGATGCATGAGGGGGGCAGGTGCAGGGACATCCGCAGGCCACAACTTGGTCTTCCAGAGCAGTGAGATGAGTTTAGAGTTAGACGGGGTCATTGAGCCTTTCTCTGCAGGGCACTGGGGCGGGTGGGGTTAAACAGATTGGGCCGTGTTTACATCTCCGAAGACCCGTTATAGTAAACTACGTAAAAGGAAATTAAGCATAATAGGAAATTAGAGGTGCTGAAAGCCGACTCGTGTGCCACAGTGAAAGCTCTGTGTAGGGTTCCTCAAGCCTGCGAGGTTCGCACCGGCATTGCTGGCTTGCCTTCCGAGACAGGACTGCAAGGGCGGCAGGAAGGGCACATCTGGGACTTGAACCTGCTGGCGCCCCTCCCCGCGCCCCTCTGCAGCTCCGCTGGGGGCTCCGGGCGCCGTTTCTGGGGTCGGGTGGGTGACTTCGCCGACCCGCGCGGGTCGAAGGGGCTGCCAGGCCCGGCCGACCGCCCCCATGAGCGCCACCCCCTGGTGGAAGCGGCCGGCGCCGCTCGCGACTCCGCTCCGCCCGGCCGCGCCTACCCGAGGCCTGGGCCTGGGGCGGGGCTAGCGGGCGGGGCGGGGCCTCCCGAGGGCGGGGTTAGCTGGCGGGGCGGGGCCTTCCGGGGGCGGGGCTAGCGGGCGGGCCTGCGGGGCGGGGCGAGCCGGCGGGGCGGGGCCTTCCGGGGCGGGGCTAGCGGGCGAGCCGGCGGGGCGGGGCTCCCGCAGGGCTTTCAGGCGCGCCTCAGGCCGCCTCTGCCGGGTCCTCGAGCGGCGGCGCGACGCGGGGCAAGATGGCGGCGCCCTGCTGGCGAGCCGCGCTGCTGGGCAGTCGGCGGTGGCGGGGCTTCGGCACCTCGGGTGAGAGGTCTGAGGGGGGAGCGGCCTCGGAGGGCCCGGCCCGGCCCTGCCCCTGGGAGCCGAGCCCGCGGTCGCCCTGGCCTCCGCGGACCGGGCCGGAGCCGGCCTGACGTCCCCTGTCTGCCCGCAGCTCCCCTGAGCCGCCGGACCGCCCCCCTGGGGCCGATGCCCAACGAGGACATCGACGTGGGCAACCTGGACCGGTTGGAGAAGTACCGAAGCTTCGACCGCTACCGGCGCCGGGCGGAGCAGGAGGCGCGGGCCCCGCACTGGTGGCGGACCTACCGGGAGCACTTCGTGGAGAAGCCAGGTGCGGCCGGCTGGAGGAGGGGCGGCGGCCGCCGGCCTCGGGGGGCCCCCAGCGCGCTCCCCGGGCTTTGCCGACCTTTGCGCACACCGAAGGCGGAGATGTGCCTACTCCTGAAATCCTTTGCTGACACCCCCATCCCCGGCTTAGAACCCCCCTCCCTGTGCACCTAAAATACTGTGTGTGCACGCCGCCCCGACCAGGCTGTCTCCTGACTTTCTTTTCACTACTTTCATCCCAAATTCTAAGCTCCGTAAGAGCGGGGTCCTGCCAGTCTTGGTCACCATTGGCTCCTCGCGTGCGCTGAAGGCTTGGCACCTGGGCGGGCAACGCTTTGCTGAACAAGATTGAAAGCCTTGAACCAGGTGACTAGGACGCCTGCCCTTGAGGAGCGCACACTTTACTGAATGGAGCCCTGTTTTTGGTGGTGAAGGGCCCTGGCATGGAATTCCTACCACTGATTTAAACACGTCAATGTCCCAGGAGTGACTTCCCTGAACTTCCGTTTTCTCAATTGTAAATTAAAATAATTGGATCCGGGCCTCCTTGGTGGTGCAAGGGGTTAAGCACAGCACTAAGAAGCAATCCACAGCCTCTGCAGCACAAGTTTGATCCCCAGCCGGCCAGGCAGAAACCCACATGGCGAGGCAGACCTCTCCTGTCTCCCCGCTGCTCCCCTCAGCAGTGTATTTCAGTGGATCTGCCTGTTCTGCTCCCCACTCTGTCTCTGGTGGATCCTCTCACCCCCCGCATCTCTGGCCTGTACCCCAGCTCTTGTATGCATAAATAAATAAATCTTTAAAAAAAAATGGATCTATGCCACAAAAATTCTGTGAGGATTCACAGTCCATTGGAATTCTCAGACTAAAGCCGTCCATGGTGAAAGGTCAATGCATCGTATTATTGCTGCCTAAAAAAAGGGGAAAGTTTTGGATTAAAATTTTTCTAGGGCTTGTGGGACCAGCGGCACTGGCATTGCCTAGGAGCTTGTAAGAAATACTGAGTGCCAGGCCCCACCCTCATCTGCTGAATTAGAGTGTAAATGGCTGTCCAGTAAACTGTGAGACATGCTTCTAGCTTCAGGTATTAGTTCTCCATATATGTTTCCATGGTCAGCTGTGAATGAACTTGACATGATCCCAACTATAATTGGGATGATCACCTGCCTCCACTTCCCCTGACCTATTCACACTAGAACTTGGTCTAGCTATCGATAAGAATGAAGTCTCAAATTCCAGCCAGTGGGCTTAGCACTGGACCATAACCAGCAGGTGGAACAGACCGCATGATGTGTTTGTTTGGTGGATTAAAGGGAGAGCTTTAGCAGCACAGCCTGGGCAAGTGAGAGGGCCCGGTGGGAACAGTCAGCTTAATGGGGACTTGAACCTGCTTTCTCTAACATGCCCTTCGCCCCCCTCCCAGATCCCAAAGACAAGATTGACATCGGGCTACCTCCGCCGAAGGTCTGCCGGACCCAACAGTTGCTGGAGCGCAAACAGGTCCTCCGAGAGCTTCGGGCCAATGTGGAGGAGGAGCGGGCTGCCCGCCTTCGGACAGGTAAGCTCTCCCCATGGAGGGGCCCCGGTGTCCCTGTCCCACCCTGCATCCCAACTGCCATCATGCCTTCCCAGCAAGCATCCCACTGGAGGCTGTGCGGGCCGAGTGGGAGAGAACCTGCGGCCCCTACCACAAGCAGCGCCTGGCGGAGTACCATGGCCTCTACCGAGACCTGTTCCATGGTGCTACCTTCGTGCCCCGAGTGGCCCTGCACGTGGCCTACGCTGTGGGGGAGGACGAAGTGATGCCTGTGTACCACGGCAATGAGGTCACGCCCACTGAGGTAACGGCCACCTGCGCCCCTCCCCGCCCCGCGTGCACAGCCCTCCCAGAGCAGGGCCACAGGCAACTCCTTTTGGAGGCATTTATAGGAGTGGGTGAGGGACACAAGCATGGCCGCTATTGTGCAACCAGATTAGGGGTTTTATTCTGTCTCTTTGGGTTCCCGGTAAACAAAACCATGGTAATTGCAAAGAGAGGAGCGTAGAAAGAAAGAAACGCTCTCCGTCTTGTGTTCTCCGGGACTGCCCGCGTCTTCGAGCTCCCGTCTGTGACACGTGGGCCTTCTGGGGGGCGGGGGAAGGTGGGCTTCCTGGCGGCAGCTGCAGGAGCTCTTCAGTGAGCCTCTTTGCCTTGTGAGGGGCTGTCGGGAATATGTGGATCGGAGTGGGCGCCCCTTCCTCCAAGGCTCCCTCAGACTCCTGTCCTCCAGAAAGATCTGTTTGCAACCACTTTTCTGACCCTGGTGGGGGCGATGGGTCCCCCGTTCCCTCACCAGGCTGCCCGGGCCCCAGAGGTGACCTATGATGCAAACCTGGGCTCCCTGTGGACGCTGCTGCTCACCAACTTGGGTAAGTGTCTGGGACCCACAGGGCCTGCTGCCTCCCTGACCTCCCATGAGCCAGGGCCCCGGGGAGCCGGGGGTGGGGCCGGCTAGAGTTCCTTAGCTCCTTCTAAGGGACAGGGTGGGGGGCAGCCGAGCCCAAGGTCACTGGGTGTGTTTGTGCGCAGATGGACACCTGCTGGAGCCGGATGCCGAATATGTCCACTGGCTGGTGTGAGTCCCAGGCGTGGGGTCAGGGGCCTTGGGGGAGGTCCTGGTATCCTGGAAAGAGCCACATGTGAATGATCCAGTCTTGGCTGCACTGGATCAACCACAGAATTTTTTTTTTTTAATTTATGCATACAAGAGCTGGGGTGTAGGCCAGAGGAGGGGGTGGGGTGCGGGTGAGAAGATTCACCAGCGACAGAGTGGGGAGCAGAACAGGCGGATCTACTGAAATATGCTGCAGAGGGGACGGCGGGGAGAGAGGAGAGGTCTGCTGCGCCCTGTGGGTCAGCTCCCTGGCCAGGGATCGCAGATAGCTTCAGAGCGCTGAGACTAAACCCCTGGGCCACCAGGGAGGCCTCAACAACCACAGATTTTTAATTAGCCTCTTACCCCTTCCTGAGGATGTCAAGGACCTATGGTCCAATAGCTGAAGACAGAGCCAGAAGCAGGAGCAGCCAGTGGCCACTCCCACAGGCCTCTTGGCCTCACTTGTAAAACTGGGGTTATGCCACCATATGCCTTACCACCGAGGGCCTCTGTGACCCCTGGAAACTCTCACAGGCCCCAGCTGGGCTGCCTTTTATTTTCCTGGTGGCCTTTGGCCCTGAGCACCAGTCTGGGGGCTAAGGGATCCCAGCTTTGGGACTTTGGGTCATCGTGGCCAGTGACTTGGAGACTGGTTTCTGTCATTTGTGTTCAACCGCAGTTGGCAGCCTGAGCAGCAGGCTCCCTTTGGAGCTGCATCTGGGGCAGGTACACTGGCCATCCTGCACCGGGCCAGGCCAAGCCCCTAGCAAGCCCCAGAGCCTTCAGCAGACACAGAGGGAAGCAACCCAAAGGTGGCGGCTCTGCAGCCCCAGCGGCTCCTCAGGGCCTAGTAAGCTGGCTGCTCGGCTCAGCTCGCCTCCCCGGCCGGAGCCCACTGCTCCCTCCGCAAGCCCGCAGTTGATCCGGGGTTCACAGAGCTCCAACTGCGGCTGAGCGCATTTCCCGGGAGCTGTGTCAGCCTCCGAGGAGTACCCGGTGCAGAGGCTCCTGCTGCCACCTGCCTCGGGCAACCATTAACAGACTTTTCCTCCCACCAGAACCAACATCCCGGGCAGCAGGGTGGCCGAAGGGCAGGAGGCCTGTCCCTACCTGCCCCCCTTCCCCGCCCGGGGCTCCGGCTTCCACCGCTTCACCTTTTTGCTCTTCAAGCAGGACAAGCCCATCGACGTCTCTGAGGACGCCCGGCCCTCGCCCTGGTAATCTCCGTCTCTCCACGTGCACCCCCAAGCTCAGCCACTTCCCGGGCTTGCTGGTTCTTGCTCAAGTCTCTCTCAAGACAAGCAGAGGGTCGTTGTGCTAGGCAGGCACTAGGGGCTTCTCAGCACTGCCTGTGGAGGTGGAGGGGGGTGTGGGGTGCTGGGGGCCCCGCTCCATTCTCAAATGCTCCCGCTTTTCTCACAGCTACCAGCTGGCCCAGCGAACCTTCCGAACTTTTGATTTCTACAAGAAGCACGAGGAAGCCATGACTCCAGCCGGCCTGGCCTTCTTCCAGTGCCGCTGGGATGACTCGGTCACCCACGTCTTCCACCAGCTTCTGGGTAAGAGGGGTGCGAGGCTGAGCTCAGACTTCCTGACCCTCCCCCAGAAGCGCCTCTGGGAGGGCGCCGCCACGGGCCTCCTGGGCGGGCTGGTTGGGCAGTCCTGCCCTGGGCCCAGCCCAGCAGATGAGGGAGAGGGACTCGGGTCGAGGGGCGCAGGCCAGCAGCAGTCACACCTGAGCTCCCTCTTCCTGCAGACATGCGAGAGCCTGTGTTTGAATTTGTGCGGCCGCCCCCTTACCACCCCAAGCAGAAGCGCTTCCCCCACCGGCAGCCCCTGCGCTACCTGGACCGGTACAGGGACAGTCACGAACCCACTTATGGGATCTACTGAGTGGCAGAGCGCCCCCTACCTCAAAGTGAGTGGGCCCGGCCTCCTGAGCCCCCACCCGCGTCAGGCTGTACATGCAGGAACAGAAGACACGGCTCGCCAGGGCCCTGCCTGAGGAAGCCTCGGAGCCCTCCAGCAGGACCAGGGCTCTGGAGTGAAGGGGCTGGCCCCTCCGGGGGGAAGCAGGGGTGGGGTGTGAATAAAGCTGATTTTTGCTGGAGCAGGTCTTGGTCTGTGTTCTGGAAGCAGCAGGAATCCCTCTGGTGAGACCTAGGGACGTGTGGTGGGAAGAGGGCCTCCTCCCCCCGACCCCCCACCAGGAAGTGACCCCTCGCCTCTGCCTCCTGAGGATGTCATGGGCCCTGTGATCCAGGGGCTGAAGACCAGTTCAAAAGAAAACACTAGTGTTGGCCCCAGGCTGCTCCCACAGGCCTCTTGAAAGTGAGTTGCCAGGGCCTCCCTGGTGCCGCAAGGGGATAAGACGCAACCTATGAAGCTATCCGCAGCCACTGCAGCACAAGTTCAATCCCCAGCCAGGGAGAAACCCACATGGCGCAGCAGACCTCTCCTGACTCACCTGCTGCTGCCTGTTCTGTTCCCCACTCTGTCTCTGATGAGTCCTCTCACCCTCCACACCTCTGGCCTGTACCCCAGTTCTTGTATGCTTACATAAGTAAATGGTGAAAAAGTGAGTTGCGAGCCTCCCCCATGGTGCAGCGGTTGAGCGCTGGGCTGCGAAGCTGCCCGCAGCCTCTGCTGCGCCGGTTCAATCCCCGGCCACCGATGAGGGTCCCACATGGCGCGCAGACCTCTCCTGCCGTGCCTGCTGCTCCCCTCAGCAGTATAGTTCATCAGTCTGCCTGTTCTGTTCCCCGCTCTGGCTCTGGTGAATCCTCTCACCTTCCAGCGCTCCTGACTGTACCCAGTGCTTGCATAAATAAATAAAATCTTTTAAAAAAAAAAGTGAGTTGTCCCCCCCAAGCAACAGCCCTTTGTGCACAGCATGGTGGAGGCCTGGCCCGCTGGGTGGTGCTGGCACTTTCCTCCTCTAGGGGAAGAGGCCGCCTAGGAACCAGTCAAGAGGTGAGGTGGTCCATGTGCCTTTTCCAGAGGAGAAAGTCCTGGTTTTACAACACGGAAGACATAATCCCTGCTGCGTCACCGTGAACCCTCACCACGAGGCCGGTGTCACGAGTTAATGCTCTCCTCCCTCCAGCCCCCGCCCAGCCGCGCTCGCCCTCCCCAGCCAGGGAGCTGGAGGCCAGGAGCCCCGCTGGGCCGCAGGAACTGTGTGTTCTCTCCCAAAAAGTGAGGTTCCACTTTTTGGGCCTGTGAGCAAGATGCTCTCCCCAGCAGCTAGCCAAGAGGCCGGCCAGGGATTCCAGTGCAGTTGAGGTTGTGTGGGGTTTCCATTATGGGGGTGATGAGTAAACCTCTGCTGACTGGTCTCTGTCTCTGGGTGACCAGACATTTCCATCTCACTGTTTACTTTAAAAGCACCAAAATAAGGCCTGGCCTTGAGAAGGGAGACACCCCAGTCTGGCAAATGCCTGAAACTGGGCTGGAGGGGAAAAAGTGGAGGTGCGCGGGGTCAGGAGGGAGCCTTCATGGGCCTGCTCAGCGCCCCTTGCTCTGCCTGCCCAAGCGCGGGGGGAGATGCTATGGAGAGGTGGTGCTGGGACCAGGGGCCGGGGCTGGAAGAGGTTCGTGGTGGTTCTTAGGCAGGAGGCCCCGCGGGTTCCTGGGGGCTCCTGCGGCCCTGGCCTCCTAGAGGTGAGGGCTGTCCCCGCACAGGAGCTGGACTGAGGGTCGAGGGAGGTCCCAGAGTTGGCCTGGGGTACCGGGAAACAAGCAGGGGTGCCGGGAAGCAAGCAGGGGTGCCGCGGAGCCCAGGGGGAGCGCGTGGCCGAAAGGAAAGCGGAACCGGCCCTGGGGGGTCACGGGGGCAGGTCGCCGCCGGCGCCCCGGCCTGGCCCGCGCCCCGCCCGCCCCGCCGCGGCCCCTTTAAGCGGCGAGGCCCGGGCACCCCGCGCGCCCCGGCGCCCTCTCCGCCATGGCGGCGCAGCAGCTGGAGGAGCGGCTGAGCTGCGCCATCTGCCTGGGCCTCTTCCGCGAGCCGGTGACGCTGCCCTGCGGCCACAGCTACTGCGCGGGCTGCATCCGCGGCTGGTGGCGCGCGCGCGCCCGGGAGTGCCCCGAGTGCCGCCGGCCCTGCGCCCCGGCCGCCTCGCCGCCCCGCAGCCTGGCGCTCAGCAGCCTGGTGGAGGCGGTGCGCGCGCGGCGCGGCGCGCGGGGCGGCGGGAGCCAGGTGCCGGGGGCCGGGGGGCGTTGCGGGGCCGGGAGGCGGAGGGGCGTCGGCCGGGCCCACCGCCTCTCCACCCCCGGGCGGCGCCGGCAGCTTCAGCCCCGGCGGCTGGGGCGCCCTCTTCGCGGGTCAAAGGAGGGGGGTCAGAACAGACCCTGAGCCCGGAGATCTGGGAGCTGGCGACAGGCCTGCGGGAGGGAGCCGCGGGGAGGACGGGGGTGGGGTGGGGTGGGGTGGGGTGGCGTGGGGGGCGCCCTTCCCCGGCCGCAGACGTCAGAGGGTGCGGGCACAGCGCGCAGGGGCCCCGAGGTGGAGGCCCCGCGCCACGGGAGCGCAGAGCAGCCGCCGCTCCGGGATGGGGCTCAGGGGAGCACGTTCTACAAAGCAGCCGAGTTTTGCTCCGAGGCGGGGAAGAGAGGGTGTTAGCGCTTCAAAGGGACTTAATCCTCCACTGCGGGCGCGCAAGGTTCATGACGGGCGCATCTACAAGGGAAGGGAAATGAGACAAAGTCTTAAATGCGTCCTACGGGATCCGCCGACCTGGGAACCCAGTGGCACTCCCAGAGCTGGCCTGAGAGCTGGCCGGGCGCTGGGAGCTGGCGGAGAGCCAAAAAGGGGACCCCCCCCCCCACCACCACCACCAAAGCCCGTGTCTGGTTTTATACCCACCAGGCTGCTTCACCCCACCCTCAGGTCCCAGCCACCTTCCCTCTGGTGGTGACGGGATGTGTCTCTGCCGCTGTCCCGACGCTGTGGTCTGGGGTGGGGGTGGCGTCCACAAGCCTGCAGGGGATTGGCTCAGGACATCCTCTCCCCCTAACACTTGGGGCTGTGTGGTGTTGGGGAACAAGAGCACCTCAGGGACAGTCCCAGGGAGCCCCCTGGGACCTGGGAGTCTGCCCTCCCTCCTAAAGCCTCACATCTTGCCATGTTGGAGGCAGAAGGGACAGGACAGAGCACACGCTCTGGGTGTAGAAAGTTCTCATGGCTTTGACCACGTGATCAGAGATGAGCCGGTCCTGGCCTCAGAGCGTTGCTGGGAGGGGAAGCAGCGCAACAGGCTCTCCAGCCCCAGCCCAGTGGGGGGAAGGGGCGGCTGCAGGGAGAGGTGGCCCCTGGCGTCAGGGGCGCGCCCCCTTGAGGCACCGGAAGGCCGCACCTGCACGCCAGAGGCCCGCCCTCTGCCCAGGCGCCACCTGCTCCGGGTGGGGAGAAGACCGTCTAGTCCCCTGGGGTGTGACCTGGTCTCCCGGGTGCGTACCGAGGGGCTGGTGCGGGCCCGCTCTCCGTCTCGCCTGGGGTGGGGCACAGAGGGGGTGTCTAGCACCTGCAGGTGTTTGTTGACTGACTGGGGGGGTCTTCACTACTAATTCTGGCCCTCTTGTTGCTTGGTCCCCGGTGGGCACGACAGACCCAGCTGAGAGCAAGCCTGGAAGTCACCCAGCAGCAGACGGCCGAGGCCGAGAGCCAGCTCCAGGAGCTGCAGCAGCGAAGCAGCCAGATCCAGGTGCGAGCGAGGCCGTGTGCGCCCCCCAACACGGTGCTCCGCGGTGTCCTTCAAGCAGCCCCAGCTGGACGTGGGGCCTGGGTCGTGGGCGTGAGCTACCTTCAACATCCCTCCTGGCAGCAGTGAGGGGCCAAGTGGGGAAAGACTTTCCAGGGACCCCATATTCCCACCCTTCAGCCCAGTGGGCGGCCCTGACCCCTGGCCCGTCTTCCCCCGGGGCAGGGCCCTGGTGACCACCAGCTCTTCCTGTGCCCACCCAGAGCTCGGCCTGCACCATGGCCTCCATGGTCTCCAGCAAGGTCACCAGCCTGCTGCAGGCGCTGAAGAGATGGGAGACTTGGGCGCTGGAGGACATCGAGGTGGCCAAGACGCAGGCGCTGGCGCAGGTACAGGAGGAGGAGCAGCGTGTGCGGGGCCACCTGGAGGCCCTGGCTCGCTATGACCGCAGGGCCCGGGACCTTCTGGAGGAGTCGGATGACCAGACCTTGTACCAGGTACCAGGCCTAGGGCGGCAGGTTGCGGGGACTGGTGTCCCCTCTGCTGCCTGGGCCGACCATGCTGTCCCCGGAACTCAGGAATTGCAGCTCCTTGTGCATCCGGGGCCTCTCGGGCCACTGTCTCCCCTGCAGTGGGACGAAGAGCAGCACGTGGGTGGCCTGAAGGAAATGCTGAATCAGCCGTGTGGCCGCCTCCTGACCGAGGCCAGCAGCCCCAGGGTCCCAGCTGAGCCTGCAGACATGCTCTCCAGCAGTAAGGCTGACCCGAGATCTCTCCCTACCCTTGTGGCCCAGCTCCCATGGGGGGTAAGAGTGGGGTCAGCCCCCCAGGACCACCCCTCCCCTTCACCCTATCACTGCTTTGTCCCCTAGAGGCCCCAGGTCCCCCTGCACCAGTCCGGAGCCCGGTCTGTCCACTGAGGAGGAAACTCTGGCAGAGTAAGGAGACTCAGCTGGGTGTGTGTGCACACGCGTGTGCACTGAGCGCACAGATGTGGCGCGCAGGCTGTGACCGTCCAGCCCAGAGTGACTGCTTCCTGCCCCCTCCCGGGTCTGGCCTGGCCCTGCACAGCTGTCGAGGGGGGCAGGCCTTTCACACAAGGCCGCTGCGGCCCGTGCGGTGTTGAGATTCTGGGCACACAGACTCGGGGTCCTCCTGATTCTTCCCCTTCCTCCCAAGTCGGGGACACTCTGTGAGCCTCTATTTCCTCATCTGTGCACTGAGGCTAACGGAAGGTCCCGCGCCGAGGCCGCTGGGGAGGAGAGCGCGGTGAGGCGGTGCGGCTGCCGGGGCCGCTCAGCCGCTCGCGCGCCTGGTGGACACTTCGTCCCAGCGGTGGAGCTGCCTCCTCTGGGGACAGGAGGGGGGCCGTGGCTCCCTGGCACTCAGCTTCGCTCCATGTCTCCCCGACAGATTATCGCAACCTGACCTTCGATCCAGACAGCGCCAACCGCCATTTCTACCTGTCCCGACAGGCCCAGCAGGTGAAGCACTGCCAGAAGCCGCAGGGCGCGGCCGGGCCAGGCAGCTTCGAGCTCTGGCAGGTGCGGTGTGCCCAGAGCTTCCACGCCGGGCGCCACTACTGGGAGGTGCAGTTGTCCAACCACTCGGTGACGCTGGGCGTCGCCTACCCAGACCTGGCCCGCCGCAAGCTGGAGACCCACACAGACAACATCGGCCGCGGGCCCAGCTCCTGGGGGCTGTGCATTCAGGAGGACCGAACCCAGGCCTGGCACGACGGCAAGGCCAAGTACCTCCCGCGGGTGTCAGGGCGGCTCCTGGGCGTGGACGTGGACCTGACCTCCGGCTCCCTCACTTTCTACAGCCTGGAGCCCAAGACCCAGCCCCTACACACCTTCCACACTGTCTTCACGCAGCCCCTCTACCCTGTCTTTTGGCTACTCGAGGGTCGGACCCTGACCCTCTGTCACCAGCCCGAGGCCAAGCTCCCTGCAGAGCTCCAGGATGAGGCTGTGAAGGAAGGCACGGAACCTGGTGGCGCTGTGGGCCCGGCACAGGTGCCACCAAACCCGGGTGCCGAAGAGCTGCCCCAGCCCCTGACCTGCGCACCTGAGGCCACGGCTCCAACGGGAATCGCCTCCACGACCAGCGCAGCGCCTGGGAGCCCTGGTGCTCCGGAAGAGGGCGCGGCAGAGTGTGTGGCAAAGTGATTGTCCAGTCAGCTCTGTGCAGCCCGCAGACACAAGGGGGCTGTGGAGACCACTGAGGAGTCCTGGGGAAATTTGATACTGGTCTTCCCCCTCCTCATCTTAGTCTGTTTTCTTGTCCTTTTTTTTTTTAACCTTAACATTTTGATATATTTTAATTTGTTTTTACATTGCACAGCCTTTTGATGGCAGAAAAGACCATTTATACAATGCATTTTTTTTTAATTTTTTTAAGAAGTGGGGTATTTTTTTTTTAATTTTTTTAAGAAGTGGGGTATAGGCCAGAGTTGCAGGGGGTGAGAAGATTCACCAGAGAGAGCAGGGGGCAGAACAGGCATATGCACCGAAATCCACTGCTGAGGGGAGCAGCGGGTGAGGCAGGAGAGGTCTGCTGCGCCATGTGGGTGGCTCCCTGGCCAGCTGGGGATTGAACTCGCACTGCAAAGGCCATGGACAGCTTCACGGCCGTGTGCTCAACCCCTTGTGCATTTTTTGATTTAATAAACATTTTTCATGTCATTAAAAATTTTCCCAGACTGATCATGTTATAAGCAACCCTTCCAACGTTGATCAGAATGAGTAGCCACGAATGACGTTCAAATTCTTTGATTTGGGGCTATCAAAACATTGTTGCAAGAGATGTGTAACAGGACTCTTTAGCCATATTTATGGCTGTGGACTTGGGCTAAATTACCTAAAGTGTAAAATAAAAAAAAAAAAACACCTTTTTAAATTTTTATTTTTTTTAAAGACTTATTTATGGATGCATACAAGAACTGGGGTGCAGGCCAGAGGTGCAGGGGTGAGAGGATTCACCAGAGACAGAGCAGGGAACAGAACAGGCAGATGGACCGAAGTATACTGCTGCGGGGAGCAGCAGGCGAGACAGGAGAGGTCTGCTGCACCGTGTGGGTAGCTCCCTGGCCGGGGATCAAATTCATGCTGCAGTGGCTGCGGACAGCTTCATAGTGCTGAGACTTAACCCCTTGCACCACCAGGGTGGCCCTGGCTTTTTATTTTTTTAAGCAATACTGTGGTCAGACAGAATCATACATGAGGTGCAGGATTATTTTCAGGTTGCATTTTCTGGGTCTAAATTCTTCCTCCTCCACAAGATTACTTGTGTGACCTCCGGCAAGATATGTAACCTGTCGGGATTCCATTTCCCGTGCTTTACCACAGCCCCTGCAAGGGGAGAGGAAAAGCGGGCAGGAACATGCTCCCATAGGGCTCAAAAGTGCCAGTTACCCTTTTCCCTTAGCTGATCATTTTAAAGGGAATTCATGTATTGTACAAACAGCTTTAAAGCTAAAAGTGGAAATAAAATTAACAAAACGGCACCACCCTGATAAGTCACTTTCCCAGGCCTTCCTCCCAGGGTGGCAGATGACCCCGACCAGGCTGCGGGGAGGGGAGCAGAGGCAGGCTGGGTCTCATGCCCGAGTAACCCCCAACCAGCAGACTCCCCTCACCCTTCCAGAACCCTGCGGGTCTGAGGTCTCAGCAAGCCCAGGCAGCCTGGCGGCCAAGCCACGGAACTGGGTGGTGCTGACGCCTGAGCCTCGAACTGTTCCTGGGTCTTGGCAAACAAGGGACTGTCATGATCAAGTGCTTCTTGTGGAAACCAACGTATGGAACTCATTACCCGCCTTCCTGCCAAGCGGGGCACACCCAGGCCGGTTCACGTCTACTCCTTCAGCCCCGAGATCTCTCTCCCTCGTTCCTGCATGCCTGCGTCTTAGCAGTCCACAGAACCTGGCCTAATGCGATGCCAGCCAACCCATTAGTCACTCAAGAGTGGGTCACAACTCTCCCTCCACATTTAATAGGAGCCTCCCTGGTGGCCTAGGGGTTAAGTCTCAGGCTATCACCTTGAAGACACTGGGCTGAGTTCGATCCCCGGCCAGGGAGCTACCCACATGGCGCAGCAGACCTTCTCTGTCTCCCCGCTGCTCCTCTCAGCAGTGGATTTCAGCAGATCCGCCTGTTCTGCTCCCCACTCTGTCTCTGGTGAGTCCTCACCCCCCCCCACTGGTCTATACCCTAGTTCTTGTATGTATAACAAATAAGAATAAATCTTTAAATTGCACGGTGGCGGTATAGCTTACAAAATAGGATAAAATGCGTGGCTTTAAGTGCATCGTTGGATGAGTGTTGACAGTGCCTCCACTTGGGGACCCCTGCTACACTCACAGCCCAGTGCCCACAAGTGTCTGCTGACCTGAACTAATTTCCTCAGACAAGGGACTTGGGCCAGTGCATCAATTTCCCATGTCAAGCTTAGAAAAGCCCAAGTTCCCCTTGGGGTAAATAGAGTCGCTAAGAGGCCTCAGCAATTCTACCCGCAGCCAGAAGCTCAGGACCTTTGCTGGGTGGGTTGGAGGGCCCTGGGGCAAAGGTGCTGACCTGCCAAGGTGGGCTGCCTGCCCCTCCCGGGCCCCAAGCCTGGCCAAGGGCTGGAGGGGACGTGGACTCCTCCTTGGCCTCCTTCCAGCGAGCCCCCCTCGCGCTCTCTGCCCCGCGCGCTCTGTACAACCCTTTTCAGCTGCGCCTTCCCTCAGGCGCCCTGGGAGGGGCGTTTGCCCCTGTAGGCCCTCCCCGTCCAGAGGGCGGGCCCGTGGCGCTGCCCGGACGTCTGAGTCGGGGACTGGCGGGCCGGACCCTTGGCCTCGGTCCCAAGGGGTGGCGCCGCGGCGCGAACGGCCCCCGGTCCCTCCCAGGCGGGAGCAGAACAGGCGGTGCCCGCGGCGGCCGGGAGCTATGGACGGCAGCGGGCCCTTCAGCTGCCCCATCTGCCTGGAGCCGCTCAGGGAGCCGGTGACTCTGCCCTGCGGCCACAACTTCTGCCTGGCCTGCCTGGGCGCGCTCTGGCCGCACCGAGGCGCGGGCGGCGCGGGCGGACCCGGCGGCGCGGCGCGCTGCCCGCTGTGCCAGGAGCCCTTCCCCGACGGCCTGCAGCTCCGCAAGAACCACACGCTGTCCGAGCTGCTGCAGCTGCGCCAGGGCTCGGGCCCCGGCCCGGGCCTGGCGCCGGCCCCCGAGCCCACGGCCCCCAGCGCGCCGCCCAGCGCCCCGGAGCCGACGCCCAGCGCCCCGGAGCCGTCGGCTCCCTGCGCGCCCGAGCCGTGGCCCGCGGGCGAGGAGCCGGTGCCATGCGACGCGTGCCCCGAGGGCGCCGCGCGCCCGGCCGCGCTCTCCTGCCTCACCTGCCTCGCCTCCTTCTGCTCCGCGCACCTGGGCCCGCACGAGCGCAGCCCCGCGCTGCGCGGACACCGCCTGGTGGCCCCGCTGCGCCGGCTGGAGGACAGCCTGTGCCCGCGCCACCTGCGGCCGCTCGAGCGCTACTGCCGCGCCGAGCGCCTGTGCCTGTGCGAGGCCTGCGCCGCCCAGGACCACCGGGGCCACGAGCTGGTGCCGCTGGAGCAGGAGCGCGCGCTCCAGGAGGTGGGCCCAGGGCGCGCGGGCGGCCGGGCGGGCGACAGGCCCCGCGGGGCGCGCGCATCCTTCCCGGCTTGGGTCTTAGTTTCCTCCTCCAAGCTGAGGGTCTATGAGGCCCCGTCCCCCCTGACGGGGCCGTCGGTTCGCTGTGGGATCTTCTGCTCCGTGGGAATGGGGAGGTGGGAGCAGGGACCGACCGGTGAGAACTCGGAGGACCGAGGGCGCGCGGGACCTGAAGCGGGAGCGGGCGGGAGGCCGGCTGCGCAGCGCTGGTGCCGGTCCCGGCTCGCATCTGCAGCGGCTTTGGATGGGTGTGGCAGGCGCCCGAGCCGGCGAAGGGTGGGCCGCGCACACAGACGCTCTGTCCAGCGGCCGCGGGTGTCGGGGGCCTGTGCAATCTCTGCCGCTCCCCCCCCCCCCCCCCCCTGTTTCCTTTGGCCTCCAGCCGGGTCTTGGCGCCTCTGGCTTGGGATTTTCCGTCTCTCCTGCCTGGAGCAGTGACTCATAAGGCCCAGGGGATTTGCCTGGAATCCCCTTTTCTTGGGCCTGGAGTGGGAACCCTTTGGGAACAGTGCTCCCCTGGACAGCTGAACCCCGGCTTGTGCGCCCCCCGCCCATTCTTTGCCTCTTTCCCAATGAAGGGAGTTCTCAAACGAGTGTGAACAGCGCTGAGGGCCATGGCCGATGCTGTGCTTACGTCTGGTCAGAGGGGAGGGGCGTGCAACCCGCAGCTGGCCAGCCTGCACTGTCCCTGGGCGCTGGGGATGCACCTCTGGCATATTAGGGGACATCATGGCCACTCCAGGTCCCCCTCATGCACGGACACCAGGTCACCCCTCGCCTTGGAGAAGCCTGGAGGCCCAGCTCAGGGCTGGCCCTGTGCTCACGGAGGGTGTCCTCTGCAGGCTGAGCGGCCCAAGGTCCTGAGCGCCGTGGAGGACCGCATGGACGAACTGGGCGCTGGCATCGCACAGGCCCGGCGCACGGTGACCCTCATCAAGGTCAGACACCCCTCGCCTCCCCTCCTGCATACCCCCTCCTCCTGCCACAGCCGTGTGGTGCCATTCGCGGCAAAAGGGCCTGGGCTGGGGCCTGTGGCACCAAGCGTGTGCAGCCCCCTGACCTGGCAGAGATCCAGGGCAGCTCGGGCTGGTTCCTCCGTGTCCCCAAGAGGGCCCTGTGGGAAGGTGGGGTGTGGGGAGGCTGGGGCCAAAACAGTGACGCCCCCTCTGTCGCCCTGCGCAGAGCGCCGCCGCAGCGGAGCGGGAGAGAGTGAGCCGGCTGTTCGCGGAGGCCGAAGCCACCCTGCAGAGGTTCCAGGCCGAGGTGCTGGGCTTCATCGAGGAGGGCGAGGCCACCATGCTGGGCGGCTCCCAGGGCGACCTGCGGCGGCAGGAGGAACAGCGCAGCCGGCTAAGCCGCGCCCAGCACAACCTCAGCCAGGTCCCCGAGGCAGACTCAGTCGGCTTCCTGCAGGTGAGGGCCGTGCTGACCCCCTGAAGGCCGGGACGAGACAGCTGGGGTGCCTAGTCTGGAGGCTGTGCCAGGCTCCTCGCAGAGCTGCCCTCACCCCCGCCCCCCCAGCCAGAGGAGCTGTGGCCACAGGGCCTTAATAGGCATTTGTCTGGCACAGGAGCTTCTGGCCCTCAGGCTGGCCCTGGAGGAGGGGTGCGGCCCGGGGCCCAGTCCCCCGTGGGAGCTCAGCTTCACCCAGTCATCCCAAGCTGTTCGGGCTGTGAGAGACGTGTTGGCTGCAGCCTGTGCCAGCCAGTGGGAGCAGCTGCGGGGGCTGGGCAGTGACGAGGACGGGCCTCGGAAGCCAGGCATGGAAGGTGGGTGCACCCCCCACCCCGTGACTCACCCTTCCCCAGGCTCCCTGCACAGGCCCCAGGCCTGGTGCCCATTCAAGAGTGGAGGATGGAAACTGTGCCTGGCGCAGGGTGGGACCCAAATCCTGCCAGTGGCCAGAGCCACCACCCTGTCGTAGCCAGTCGCCCATTGGCCACAGCCTGGGGGCAAAGGGAGTTCCAAGCCCCAGAGGGGCTGAGGCCCGTAGAGCAGTGGTGCCAGCCTGCATGGGCCCAAGTGGCTTGGGATGTGGGAGGAAAGGGCCAGAGGGGGGTGGGGGTTGCACGTTCAGAGGGGATAGACATCCGGCAACTACAGAGCCCCCCTCACTGACTTCCCCATCCCCGGCAGACGCAGAGCTGCCGGACCCCGACAGCTCCGACCCTCTGGAGAGTGAGCCCCCCAGGGATTACTTCCTCAAGTGTAAGTGGACTCCACGCACCCTGGGCTCTCCTGAGGAGCTGGGCCCGACCCAGTGCCTGAGGCCCTAGATTCCCCTCCCTCGCCCCTGGGGTGAGCTAGGCAGCGTGTGGGGTACTCTCCAGCCAGCTGAGCTGTGCTGGCAGCACAGGGGGGAGAGGCAGAGCCCGGGCAGGTGGGCGCCCAGTGGGGAGCCTGGCCCTGAGCCCGGCTCCCCCTCCTGCCCTTGGAGCAGTTGCCTACATCGTGGACCTGGACAGCGACACCGCAGACAAGTTCCTGCAGCTGTACGGGGCCAAAGGGGTGAAGAGGGTGCTGTGCCCCATCAACTACCCTGAGTCGCCCACCCGCTTCACCCACTGTGAGCAGGTGCTGGGGGAGGGTGCCCTGGACCGGGGCACCTACTACTGGGAGGTGGAGATCATCGAGGGCTGGGTGAGCGTGGGAGTCATCACCGAAGACTTCTGCCCGCAAGAGCCCTACGACCGGGGCCGGCTGGGCCGCAACCCGCACTCCTGCTGTCTGCAGTGGAACGGCCGCAGCTACTCCGTCTGGTTCCATGGGCTGGAGGCGTCCCTGTCCCAGCCCTTCTCGCCCACGGTTGGGGTCTGCCTGGAATACGCCGATCGCGCCCTGGCCTTCTATGCTGTGCGGGACGGCAAGATGAGCCTTCTGAGGAGGCTCAAGGCCTCCCGGGCCCGCCGGGGTGGCGCCCCAGCCTCCCCCATTGACCCCTTCCAGAGCCGCCTGGACAGCCACTTTGCCGGGCTCTTCACACGCAGGCTCAAGCCAGCCTTCTTCCTGGAGAGCGTGGATGCCCACCTGCAGATCGGGCCCCTCAAGAAGTCCTGCATATCTGTGCTGAAGAGGAGGTGATGCTGGGGGGCACGCCCCCCCCCAGCTGTTTCAGCTCCCAGGAAGCTTGCTTCTCCGTGCTCCCATGAGCCCCAGGGAAGGCACCAGGCTTGGAGGCCCCCATATCTCCAGCCTTCTCACTTCTAGAGGCCTCTGCCTTCCAGACAATGGGGCTTCCACTTCTCAGGGAGGAGGCCCACCCCGGATCCCTTCCGGTGCCCCTCAGACCCTGTCTCCCTATAGCCTCATTTCAGGGAGAGGGCGTGTGGCTGGGACAGATCCAAGCTACCCCATCCTCCTGTTCCAGGTTCCTGAGACAGTGCCTGGCATACAGTAGGTGCTCAATAAACGTTGATGGAATGAACGACTCCCTTTTCTCTCCTCCGCCCACCAAGAATTGCCAGTACCTCTCATCTTTCAAGAGCTGGGCTTGAAAGGCAGGAGATGGGAGCCGAGGCCATTGGTCCTAGGATGCCAGTTGGGAGGGAAATGCTGGTTGAGAAGGAGAGGGCTAGGATGGGGTCTCTACCCTATGGGCCCCCCACTTTCTGGTTCTGGGCAGGTCCCACCTAGAGTCATTCTGGCTGCCCGAATGTTTGCTTTGGTTGGGCTGGTTCCCAGGGGCTATTTTCATCCCGTTCCGGGCCGCCCTGTGGTCTCTGTGCCCAGGAAGAAATGCAGACGTTGCCCCCAGAAAGCAGGGCACGGCTTCGGGGCGTGGGCAAGCTTGAGACCTAGAACTTGTGTCACACACGCACCTTCTCAGCCTGGGAAGGGATGTGGCTGCCGTCCCCGGGTGTGGCTGGAGGTGAGAACATCCACAGTAAAAATAATGGGGTTCGGATGTTAGGGTTTGGCGCATGGGGTTCTTGGGTCCCTCTGGGAAAGATTTCAGCAGTTGCCCCTCCGCAGCACCGGCCAGCTTCTTCGGGAGAAAGACATTCGCTTAGACACTAACAGGCAAAGGTTTATTCAGAAAAAGAGACACCTGCATAGACACAGGTGGGCCGTCTTGGGGGCAGGAGCTGCATTTTGCAAAAGCAAGGGGTGTTTTGTACAGTGTTCTTGCATGTGGGGGGTCATTCCCTTGTGGAATTTTATCACTTTGGGGTCTTGTTGGGTTGGTTTTCTGGAACAGATAATCCTTTCTGACCCTACCTCAGATTCCTGGGGAATTCCACAGCCGGTTTAACAACTGGTTAATCATCCCTCCCAGCGCTGGCTTTTATCCTTGTGAGATCTTGCATCTAAATTTCTGTACCCTCAGCTTCCGTCCAACGGACCTGCATCCTGCCCTGGCATGGGCCTGGTATCGCTGGACCCAAAAGTGTGCTCAGCCCCCACCAGGGAGACCTGGGCCCAGAAGCCCGACACACCTCTGCGTCTCTCCCAAGAAGGACCCAGGCCCTTTGCCCCAGACCCTCCATCAGGCCTGGGAAGCCTAGGTCCTGCTTTCCAGGGGAGGCTTGCTCCCTGAGGCTAGAGGGGGTTTCCAGGGCAGCCCCCCCCCCCCCCCCCCCGCTCCCTGGGTTCTCTGCAACCCAGGTGCCCTCTAGAGAGAAGAGGCCTGGCCTTGTAGGGGCAGATGGGCCTCCCCGCCAAGGTCAGCAGGGACAATGGGTGAGTTATACAGCCAGACAGCAGGGCCTTACAAGTCCTGCCCCTGCAGCCTCCACTGCTAAAAATAGCCCCTCCCGAGGAGCCCAGCTTTTGCCCCAGCCGCCAGGATGTTGTTTTTCCGGGCGGGACCTCCTTGCTCCTGGCGTTTTGTGTTTTCCACACGGTTCCCTAGGCAGCCACCAACACCCCCCACCCCACCCCCTGCCCTCAGCTCCTGGGGCTTTGAATCAAGACTGTTTGAAGAAAGACATTTTTTAAAAAGGTAAGTGTGAGAACCCCACCCATCTAAGCAAACCTTTTCTTCCACTACCATTTGCAAATGAAGAAACTGAGGCACAGACCTGCAGGAGCTGCCCAAGGCCACCCAGTCTGGCGGAGCTCCATCCATGCTCCATGGCTTAGGGATGTTTAAACAATCACACACATTCACACAAACACACAGCAAACATCCACACACACTTCACACGTCTCCACACAAGCCCTGGAAGAGTCGCTGGGCCCCCATTCCCAGGGCAGCAGAATCCTTGGCAGGACTGTCCAGCTCGGTGGTCTCCCGGGCTCCCTGGAGCCCCGCCAGTCACAGACAATGGCCTTGAGAGTTCTGGTCTTCAGGGGCTGAATTGCTATTAGCCTAATCTGGCTCGGCGAGGCGCCAACCTCCACTTGAGCTGTTTCTGTGGGAAAGCGAGCTCTGGAGTCCCAAACAATGATTGCGCACTGGGCTCAGGCCCCTTGGCAGCTATGGGCTGCCAGTCCCGCACCCTCCCTGATCACACCCTTTCCACACTCAGGAGGAAGGGGGGAGCCTTCTCATCTTCCCGCCTCCGCCTGCTTCTCTTCTCCCCCGCCCAAGCCCCAAGGAAGCTCCCAGAAGAGCCTGCCTCCACCTCCCCTCCTCCAGGCCCTGAGACTGGAGGCTGGATCCCTGCTGTGGCCAAACCCCGGGGCCTGGCTGGGGAGATGGGGCTGTACTGGGTGGGGCAGAGGTTTGCAGCCAACTCTGCTGGCCCAGGCTGGGCTTTCTCCGCAGGGAGGAAAATAACATTTAGCTGCAGGGACTGTGTCTGGTGTCATCCTCCCGAGGCACCTTCCCATTTGATGCCAACCTCCAAACTCTGGAGCACAAAATCACTCCCTTTCTGCAGTTACATCTTCCAGAAGCTGTCTAGGAACTGTGGGCAGCCCTGGGGTCCCCTGGTATCGCCCCAGATTCCCAAGAGTCCTCCAAGCCTCAGTCTCCCAAGAGTCCTCCAAGAAAGGACAGAAGGAGCTCACCCCAGCTTAAAGACGCAGGGGTACCTGGGACCACCCCCAGGCAGGAAATAGGCATCTATGTCCTGTGTCCTTTGTCTTTACGTGACACTCACATGCTGTATTTTATGCCATAATCTCTGATTTTGCTTTACCATAAAAATGTTTTCTGGCCCTCCCCGGTGGAGCAAGGGGTTAAGTTGCAGCACTATGAAGCTATCCGCAGCCACTGCAGCACAAGTTCAATCCCTCGCCAGGGAGCTATCCACATGGGGCAGCAGACCTCTCCGGTCTCCCCGCTGCTCCCCTCAGCAGTGGACTTCAATAGATCCGCCTGTTCTGCTCCCCACTATGTCTCTGCTGAATCCTCTCACCCCCGTACCTCTGGCCTACACCCCAGCTCTTTTATGCATAAATAAATCTTTATTTTTTTATAGATTTATTTATTTATACAAGAACTGGGGTACAGTCAGAGGTGCGGGAGGGTGAGAGAATTCACCAGAGACAGAACGGGGAGCAGAACAGGCAGACAGACCAAAGATACTGTTGAGGGGAGCAGCAGGCAACACAGGAGAGGTCTGCCATGCCATGTGGGATTCTCCCTGGCCTGCTGGGAATCGAACCCGCGCTGCAGAGGCTGCGGACAGCTTCACAGCGCTGCGTTCAACCTGCTGCGCCACTGGGGAGACCCCCATAAATAAATCTTTAAAAAAAAAAATGTTTTCTGCCCCAGCATCAGAGAAAGTTTTGTGAGTTCTAGAATCAGCCTTGGCTAAAAATTACACTTCACCACTTTCTAGCTGCGTGTCTTCAGGCGGGCGAGGCCATCAGCCCCTCTGTAAAACAGGGATAAAAGCAGAAGCAGAGCGGGTGCTAGGGCTGGGAGATGTCTGCACAAACCAGCTGGTGAAGAGGACCTCCTCTCCCGGCAGCCCGGGTCAGCCCCGCTTAGAACTCAGTGACTTTCCCACCATCTCTGCTCCTTGTTCAGCTGTTAGGGGGAAAAGGATGTCCTAAAGCTAATTCCATGCAGGCACCCGTTCAATATCGGGGCTGCTCTATAACACAACCTCATTTCGCAGCACCGAGGTCTGCTTTCAGTCTTGTTCTCCTGCTCCCAGGGACATGTGAAAATAAAACTGGCTTTTCTCCTGCTAATCTGACTGATGCCAACTTAATGCGCAGGCGCGGCTGGGGACACTAAGGAGGCAGAGGAAGTTGTGTCTTCCACACACAATGCCACAAAACAGCACACACATTTCCCGCAGGCAGAAAAGAGGAAAGGACAGGGGCCTGGGGGAGGGGCCCTCATGGGGGTGGGGAGGGGCATTTCCAGGGAGCCCCTCCCCACGCGCCCCTGGCGCAGGCCTGAAGGATGAGGAGTTGGCAGGAGAAAAAGGGCACGTGGGCAGGGAATGGGCCCCCATGGAGGAAGGAGGGTGAGTGGCCGGAGATGAGTGGGCAGGCCTGGCAGGGCGGAGTCTGGGAAAGATTCTGGACTTTTCCAGAGAGAAATGGAAAGCCGAGGCAGGGTTTCACTTGGGGAAATGAAAAGATCAAATTTGAATTTTTTTTTTAACACTTTAAAAAGACAGGTGTATGCAGAAAAGGAGACAGAAAAAGAGGCACCTGCATAGTCACAGGTGACAGGAGAGCTGGTGAGAAATGGTTCAAGGAGAGGAAATGGGGGACTGAAGGCTACCTCACTTTGCACCTTTCTCCAATTGGAGAAGAGCCCCCCAACTCCAGGAGGGAGGAGCCAGAAGTAGCACAAAGGGGCCAGTCGCACAATGGCCTCTCTTGGCGCCTCCGTCCCTGTGCCCCCTCCTGCAGAGGGATCCAGACCGGCTCCTTTGGAGGGGCCCCCTGCCTCTTTTTGACTTTGTGGGGTTTGGGAGGCAACCAGTGGAATGGAAGGCAGGAGGCTTGTGTCAACACTCCGACAGCAGGAATCGCTCAGAACAGAGCTCACAGCTGCCTCTGGGGAAACTGGACTTGACAGGGCCCAGCCAGGCCGGCTGGACCGGGAACCTCCAGCTGAGCCGCATCTCCATAGCTACCAGTAACAGCCCCAGGCTCTGCCTCCCCAGAGGAACCACTACTGAAACAATCCCGCCAGAAGACCAGCCCAGAAACAGCCCACTTCCAGATCCCCGGCCAGGCCAGGCCCCACCGACCGAATGGCAGAAGCTGAGGGTCCCCAGAGTTTTCTTTCTCCCGCTGGCTTATTTGAAAGGTCACGACGAACTGGCCCAGTGCACTGAGCATGAATCTGCTCCGTCACACTCAGGCACAAGAAATGTCAGTGTTGGTATTTTGTCTTAAATCAAATAAAATTGAATTATGAGCTGCCCTTGGCCAAGAGGGTAAGAAACTCCACCACGGGTATGTCAGAGGGGTGGTTTCTCCCTTTGTAGAAAGGTAACCTCGAGGAGCTAGGGGGTAGCAGAGCTTCTGCTGTCCTCTGGGGCTGCTGCTGAGATGCCCTTTGTGCCAGCCCACGCAGCGGTTGTGTGCTGAGCCTTCCCCCCCATGCCCCAGCCCTCTAGGCAAGGTTAGGGATTAGGCCCACCTCCCTTTCTGCTCTGAGCTCAGCCATCCTACAACACCCATCAATTGTCTCCTGGTTCTGGAGGCAGAGGCCTGAAGTCAAGGTGCGGGCGGGGTCCCTCTGAGTCTGCCTCTCCGGGCGGCTTACTAGCAATATCTGCCAGCCCTTGGCTCACTGCTGTGTCCCCCTGATTTCTGCCTTCATCTGCACAAGGCCTTCCTTGAGAGGGGGGGCACTACCACTCGAAATGTGTCTACTCCTCATTGCCCCTCTTTTTATTTTTATTTTTTTTAAAGATTTATTTATTTATTTATACAAGCACTGGCTACAGTCAGAGGCACGTGAGGGTGAGAGAATTCACCAGAGCCAGAGCGGGGAGCAGAACAGACGACCCACGAAATGCACTGCTGAGGGGAGCAGCGGGCGGCAGGAGAGGTCTGCGTGCCATGTGGGACCCTCGCCCGTGGCCGGGGATCGAACCGGCGTCGCAGAGGCTGCGGGCAGCTTCGAACCCAGCGCTCAGCCGCTGCGCCGCCGGGGCGGTCCCCACTGCCCCTCTTTGTAAGGCCCTGGGTCGTGCTGGACCAGCGCCCACCAGAATGACCTCACCCTAACGTTGCACCTGCGGCAGCACTGTTTCCAAGTAAGGTC